ATTTGTAACAAAACTCCTACAGCTTGGGTATTTCTGATTTATCATTGAACCGTTATCATCGCATTTCCTCACGACAGACGAGTAAGGTATTCTGACTCATAATATACTTCAGCCCAGAGTAGCCGTTATATATCCTCATCACATGTTACTTTATTGCGAATCTAGTTATATGCAGCCAAGTGGCCACATTAATCGTTAGATTCATTATCGCCCATATTTTTTTACCCATTTAGTTGGTCATTATGATGTTCACACTAAATTTATTGTAAGTATTCAATTTACTTAGAATATTCTAAACGCAATTAATCTTAAATTGGGCTTATGAAACACCCTTTTCGTGTTTGATGTCCTTTCAATAAATGATCTCGCAGGCGACGGAAATGAATGTTTATTGTAAACTAGAAAATTATTCCGTATTTTCGTCATCGCGGGCGGCCGAATCGGCGCCGACCTCTTTGATGTATATTCACACAACATAATATGATTTGACCTTGCGACACATTCTATCATCTATTTTAAGCCACCCCCACACTGCACGTGGGTATGAGCCGCTTATAATATGGGGTAGAAATGACATACATTATGATAAGTGGGTAATTGTCACGTTTGTGGTAACTTAGCATAAAGCTTGGGGTCAAATTAGGATTGGGTCTGGTAAGTTTTGACGTAAAAGCGATACAATCATAGTCTTCTGCAATTTCGTATATAGGTGCAACTTTGCTCTCGATTTCCTTTAATATTCAGTTTTGATAAATTCCAAGTTTTTTTTCGAGAGAAATTATATCTTATATGGCAATGTATTTAGCGTTCGCTTTCCACGCACGAACATATTTTCTCCTTGGGTTGAAATGTATTTATGGAATTAATGCAAATTGTGTTGGCTCTATATGGATGTGTTTGTTCAAGGTTTTTCAGTCTTTGTATGGAGTTACGGTCTATATTCAGCATTGTTTTGTCAAAAAAGAAATGGTTTTTAGCTTCTCGGCGTGAATTTCAATTATTAGCATCTACTTTCGCCTGTAACTGAGATATGTAATATATATGAGAGTGTATCGTATTGACTTTATTTTGTTTTTTAAGTATTTTGTAATCAATTTCTACTTCAAAACTGGCAGTCGTCGTAGCTTATTTGAAATAATAATGATGTTAGGAATTTTGACTATCGAAGTATTGAGATGAGATTGACTCTAATTTATTGTCTCCGTTTAAGTGTTATGCATGCTCTATTGATCTTTTTGTTAAACAGCAATTGACGCGGGAAAATTTCATTCTTTAGTTAACAAAGGTTAAATAGGTAATCCGGTTTGAAATCATAGCCACGATAATAGCTGCTCTCACATTCATTCAAATTCAATATTTCGCCATGGGATATTTTTCTTGAAACCCAATGTTATTTTTCTGGGTGGTCGCATCTAACTTATCAATGTATCATACTGTGGCATCTTTGCTAAAGCCCAAACTTGGCTTGTGTGTACTTTGAATTTGTTAAAATTCACACAAACTAAAAACTGGATTCGCTTAAATGACTTTAAAGTGTGAAAACTGAAATCGCGGCGGCGCCCGAGTTGCGCAGAAACAATTACCCTACTTAAAGCAGCTGCATTATGCCTATCTCATTCCGCAATCGCACGAGAACGCAGCCGTAATTACTTCGAATTTTAGGTTTACGATCTCCATGAATTCAGTAGCAAATAGTACTAAAATAAATATTGCCTGGTGTAACGTATAGAACATTTGCCAGCGCTAATGACAACGTGTCAATTATGAACTTGCCTTGTAGTTGTGGATGACCGACTATAATCCAAGGTGAATTTTGATTTTAATTTGTTGTTTATAAATTTCGTGGTCATGTTAATCTACTTTCAACAAACGTTTGAAGTTTGTCTAGTTATAAGTTGAAAGATGCAGACAGAAACGAGTGTGTGGTTCACAGTACTAACAGCGCGCTGAATATCAATAAATAAAACATATCCATCAGTTTTAGTCATGTACGTCGGGGCATAAAACACACCGAGCCAAAATCATTTTGTGATAGCATTGGAGCTCGTTTTTAAGGTACTGCCTATTTAGTATTCAAAGGAACCTTAAGGATAATTATAGTTTATGTGTGGTCATAGGAATATCTCCCTGAAATATTGAGTCCTCCAGTCACAGATTAAAGTACCGACTATGTTAAATTAAATGTTGAGATTTCATAATCGATTAATAGCGTATTATCCATGGTATATTTTAGAATACAATCTTTAAATCCGTGACTCTCTTCGGATTATTTTAGGAGATACTTAAAATGCTATAACTCGAAGTATGAATAAGTAAGTAATTGATTTGTTACGAGAAGGTCTTTGTTATTTTTACGATCTTCTTGTCAGAGATTATCCGCTGTAAGACAATAGGAAAGCAATTGAATTCAGAACAATTTTACAACTATAATTATTGATTATGGCTCATTACTTCTAGAGGTCATACCCCATTTTTTATTTATACAATGATGCAGCTAGGAATGATCAATGTACAGAGTGTAAATGGGAACTATGGTGTCACTGTAGGCCAATAATTGGAGATAATACGGGGGGAAATGAATAAATTTGAAAGTTCAGTTGGCATCGACCACAATTTGTCAGTTTCCTTTTTAGGTTTTTAAACATTGTTGTAGTAATGTTCCAAATAACAATTTCTTGAAAAGAAGTAGCATTAGAGAGTTGGACCGGCTGTTTGTGAACTTCTTTAAAGTGAATTAGAATAACAATAGGATATCATATTTATACGACTAGTCGATAAAAAAGTTCAACCGCGCGGCAGTCTTATTGTAGGATAGTTTCATGACTTATCTTAAAGATCGTTTGAGCTAGATGAACAAATCAGACTGGAAGGGTGACACAGTAATATTATATATGTTTTAATAAACTTTTTCTCTTGTATCAGACAAAAAGTGAAACGATCGTGTTATTGTTTAAACCTGAGTTTCACCAATGGAATGATTTCGCATGCGTCTCATTGTATTATTACCGTCTTCTGTTTGAATAAATTTATGAAATTGTTCAAATTTTCTGCAATTCCGATTAACAAGAGTGGACGCTTCCTCCATTATTCGGCGTTTTACTTTTTCAATTGTGCATGGCTAATGACTTTAAGCAAGCTCGCATTATGGGAGTGGCCTTAGCTAATTTATCGAAATCGTTGTGATTTACCCACTGAGAAGATTAAATCTTCAACAAACGAAAAGCATGAATTAGGTTCAGTAGGTCATACGCGTAGCTTTAACCCAACTCTTTAATGGCTCTGTGCGGATTATTATTTGATCGCCTTTCTTTAAAGTCTAAATCACCTAGCACCGTTATTTTTATCGCCGTCATTCGTAGTCCTTTCCGTATTTTTCTGTAACGATTAGTATTAGTAATCTAGTATAAAGTAGTTGCCAGATTCTATAACACCTCTCACCGCTTATTTTAGTTCCATACCCTATTTAAATTGAAGTTTGTCCTAGACAAATAAACCAAGTCACGTTTCTGAATGCTTGTCTCTGTTTACTTGAGCTGGTATCCAAAATATTTAATGTAAACTACGGTATGTGTAATGCTTACACATGTTCCACTATGTTTGCGATAAAGTATGATGAATCGAATCATAAAACAACCGACGCATGACAATTATTTTTGGCGCCATGAAATGTTTGGCTTTCCGTCGTTACAAAACCTTGCTCGCAAATTTATGAAAGTGTCACTTTTAGTTTCCCAGTGAAGCATACAAACTATTCCCAGACTCGAGTGAGAAATGTTGGATCCAGTTTATTGCTTTGCTGCTATATCTCAACTTGATCTATGGTGCGTTATTGACCTGCATTATATTATTTCATTCAATAAATCAACGCGCGGTTAATCCAAGTCTCGGCTCTCTTGTGCAAGTTCGTTTACAATTTACCGACGAATACGCTTTCCTACCCAATCGTGACCCCAGTTGAGCGAAATGTCACAATAAACTTCCATAGTTCAAACTTCATTTATATAATTTAGATAAGTTGTCTAATTGCAAAGTTGATTTGGTTGCCTTACGTCATTCAACAAAAAATAAATTTTGCGTATATCAATTGCATTATTGAGATTTACGGTTTTGAGGTTCATCTGTAAAATTTAAACTTTCACCGTTAGTTTAGTACCATGACTTTGTATCGCCGTTAACCACACTACGAAAGGTGACACTTTTGTCAAGCCCTCTGAGTTAGACGCCAAGTTAAACTTGTGATACGCGTATCAGTTTTCACAAATGCGGTCGACTTTGCTCCTAACATAAGCGTAGTATCTCACACATAGTTTTGTGCGCATGTGCGAATTCACTTGATCGATGGTGAACAAGTATAAAATTGTGTTGGAAATATGATATTCTGGCTTTGCTCAATGAGGAACAAATTTATGACTGAGAACAAAAGGGGTTATTGATTGCGTAATGTACTTCTTCTTCTTCTTCTTCGTGACTTCCATTTAGTTCCGTTTGTTTCAAATGAGATTGAAGCGTGGATAGTGTATTTCAGTTTTTGAGAAAGAGGTACTAATGTTGGCTTAGTTGTTACGGGTGTTTGTCCTACCTTGGTAAAATTACGATGAGAAATAATTTATTTATATCAAATATTTATGTAAAAAACTTTTAGAATATTTTGTTCGTCTTTTTTGTTAAATTACTGGGTTATTGTTGCAATATCTTTTAATATAAACGGTGAACAACAATCAACTGATGATTATTCGAATCATAATTCAAAATGCATTTGTTATCATTGCCAAACCCCAACTCCCGCGCCCCCATACCCACATTGTTTTGGGGCAAACAGACAAAAACATCGAGATATTTTTAGAGCAGTTTTAGCCAATTAAGCGCTGACAGACCGGAATTTAGATTCTCCGATAAACGAGTTAATATATCTGGCCAACAAAAAGCTCTATGAAATTCCTACATTAAAACATGTTTAAGTTTGCACCAAGTATAAAAACGCCTCTTTTCTTTCGTAACAGGTGTAGTTTACTTACAATACGAAGGGGAAACTAGAGTAGCTGAGCTTCCGTCTGAATTGACCAGCCTTGACACAATACGAGCATTATTTGTGCAAAGTTATCCTGGTTTACTCACTATGCCAGTGCTGGATAAACAGCGGCATGGTTTAATGATCAAAAATACGAAAACTGGGAAATTTGATGAAATCGACAATGTCAAGTAAGATTTTTTATAGTTTTCAACAAACTATGGAATAATTTTATAGTTTTATAATTAAAAAATCAAAAGGTACTTTATTATAATTCGATGATATCAACCTAAATCGTAAAGAATGTCGAAAATCAAGAATTGAATATTTTTTCAAATTTATGAAACCGAGATGATAGAAATGTGAAGTAACTCCAGTCCTTTAAAGTAATAAATATTAATTTATTATTTACGGATATCAATTTGAGCTCCACTGATGTGGCATTCTGGGTTTTTGTTCATATTAAACATTACGGGTCAACTCAAATTTACTATAAGATTCGCTCCATTAGGCACTAAAAGGTTATTTTGCTGTTGTTGAAAAGATGAAACATCACGCATATGGTCTTGAATTTGAAATCACTTGCTATATTTAGATTATATTTTAAATGTTAGCAGTACGGTTTGTAACTTTGCGGTCTCCAGTGCATTTTCAATTTGTTGATTGCCAAACTGTAGACTTTAAGGAATAAATGATTTATGGCGAAATAGGTTGTCGCACAAATATAGACCAAGTTGTTATAAAATCGGTTGATAGCAACTACACCTGTACTATGAAAATAAGGTTGCGATTGGCACACCAGCATGTAATGCTATGTATCATGTAAGACATACATTTATACATGCTATAAATATAGGATTTTGTTTCAAATTGTATTTGCTCATCATCGACAAATCATTTCTTGGATTAATGTAACTTTTAAAGAAAATTAGTCATTTATGCTTTATTATACATCCCTTCAAACCTACACACATACCACATTAATATTAACTTGAAAGATATTTGTTATAAAGCTTTGAAATTCGTGGCAATGAAACTGTTGATGATTTCCCGTTTTTCATATTATTGTAATTTAATCCGTATATATGAGAGTATTTAATTACTATTGTGTTCCATCTTTAACGCGACCTTTTTATCTTTTCTAAGTGACGTCACTCTAGTTGAAAGGTATTGTTAATGGAATTTCACCACATGTTGACATTCTTTCTAAATAATAGTGACACTCGCAATTATATAGATTTCGTCGAAACATACGAACACAAATAATAGTAAATTATATCAAATATGTGTCATTCTTCGTTTCAGGAAAATCAAGGATCGTTCGTTTATTCGTGCTAGACCGCGAGATGGCGTTTCAGGTATTCCTATGCCAGGGGCAAAAAAGGCTTCTGCATTGAAACCTAGTCCAGTAAACTCGACAAACAAATTTAACAACAGAACTGGACTTCCACAAAATACGAACCAAAACAACAATACCGTTGTTGAAAACAGTAAAATTAACAAAAAGGCAACGAGTAACGGTATAAAAGCGAAAATCCCAACACTTTCTCCTGTACATTCACCAGAAAGGTTAACGACAAACTCGAAACCAAAAAACAGTAACGTAAATTCTCGCGGTTTTGGATACGTTCCAAAACTGAAAATGCCGTCTCCAAAACCACAAAGCCCCACGAATGAAAAAGAAAATAACAGAAAAGACTCGAATAACAATTCAAATGTTAGCGCAACAGACGATTTGCACAGTCCGGGCCAAGTCCAGGGTTCTAATAACGCCACACCCTCCCCAACGGGTAATGGTATAGGCGGTGGATCTCTATCAAAAACTGGATTTTCATATCACCATGGAACAGGCGTACCCGCTTACCGTCGACCCGAAAATGGCAGTGCAGAAAACACGATAAGAGTTGTACAATCGCCCAACTCCGGTAAAAGCAAGTTGCAACCATTAGGAGAACCGCTGTCTAGAGAACCAAGCAGAAATGCGAAACGGTCCATTCAACCCCCTAAAACAAAGCTGTACGGAAGTCTCATCCCCGCTAGCAAACTGAGGTCGACTCCTAGTAACTCTCCAGCGCCTATTAGCGGAAACCTTATATCTGGTACAGAAACACCTAGAGAGGAAGAAGATGAAGGATCCTTGCAAGGCAACAAAGGTTGGTGGAGCAGAAATTTTCAATCTCGTAAAACGTAAATACAAATAACAGAGATGGTAAATTGGAGTAACTTGATAATGTATAGTATGCTTGGAATATTAGTAAAATTGTGAGTAATTCGTGTATATAATTCTCAAGTTTTAAAATTAATAATTTTCATGTTACAGGTTCTATAAAGCAAAACAAAGGCCCACCTCCACCTTTACCAATAAGACCTAAGACACCCACAAGAGGCCGCGCTGCGCCAAGTGGTGCACCTCCTCCAATCGCCCCTAAACCCACGGTGTCAAAACTTGGTAGTGCCCATTCGTCATTTTCGTCCGTCCCCCCATCACAAAAAGCCAACATCGTCAGCAAAGACACCGCTGCTTCAAAAATTCCTTTGGATCCAATCATTGATGGAGGACTTTCTTCAGATCTTGCCGTTTTTTCCAACATAAAACGACCGGAATCCCCTGAACGGAAAGCAAGCATATATGCGCGGGGAAGCACCCGCTCTCTACGCCCACGACAGCTTCCAAAACCAGTCAGTATCCCACAAGTACCTCCCATGAATTTGATTCATCGACAAGTATCTGATGAAGTATCTAAATCGGAAATCAATATTCGAGATATCAATAATGAAAACGCAGGAAACGGTTATTCAGACCAAAATCTTACAAAGAAATCGTCTGTCAGTGCACCAAACCTCACTCCATTACAAGATGATGCCCCTGCTTTTTTCTCTGACACTTTTGAACAAAGTCCATCTTTGATAGTTTCCCAGGATATAGGCGAGGAAGATTGTATCCATAAAGATGATTATGCAATTTTAACGTCCGAGAAAGTAGAAAATATACCCGAAAACAATTTAAAACCTGAGACAACTGAGCACACGTCGAGTTTAAAACGGGGATTATCGAGTCTGAAGCGTTTTATACCCGGCAGATCATCAGGAAAACAATCAAAGTCATCTTCCGAAAATCTTATCAAACCAACTCTTGAAATTGAACATGAAATTCCCATTTTAGAAGACGAAAACATTACCAAATCCGAAGACAACAACTCAACTGATTTGTCTGTTTCTAATGTGGCACAACCAGAGTCAGCAGATCCAGCTCATCATGTTAACGTGCATTCAATTGCGTCGATGTTTGAAAACGATTCCAAGCTACACAACGAAGCCAACCCTAGTCATCGCAATCACAACTCAACTTTGAAACATCCCGCTATTCCAACTACAAATCTTGTTAGTACCCTCGTAAAATCTGGTAACAATGGCGTCCAGAGAAAGGAGAGTTTGGGTGGCAATTCATCAGACACAAGTCAGAGTGGAATAGTCAAGAAGAGTAATTTAGTGAAAACTGGATCATATAATTCAGTGAATTCTTCCGATTCGTCGACAAGCAACGCGACGAACAATTCATCAACTGTTCACAGACAGCCATCCGTACACAAGAAAGTTTCATTTCAGGTATGAAATTTACAATTCAATGGCTAGGTTTTGCAAAGGTCAAAATAATAGTCACAGTTACTATTGAAGGTATAGCGACAGCGGTATATAGAATTTTTTTTAATTCTATAGCCCACATAGCCTATCAAGCTGAGTATTTGTCAAATGGTTTAAATTTCGTCACTGATATTTGCTTGAGAAAATCATTTAAAACACATTTTTGAATAGACCAACATGAACAACAAATAAAATTAATTCTTGAATATGTCTATTTTATTAGGATAACGTCATGGTTAGCGATGGTCATGGAAGCAATACTTACGTCCAAAGATTGAAATCCAAAGGGGACGAATCCGGGTATCCTGAGGTACAATCTGATGCGAAATCAAGGGCAAGTGCTGCGGAACAACTCAAGATCCAAGCAACTGAGTCTGATTTCAAAGAATATCTCAATAACCGAGCCCTAACATCGCCGGTCAGTCCTAGAAGTCCAGGCCGAGTCACCAGTCCGACATTGGACAGAAAATCGGCAGTTGAAGCTGCCATTGAAACTATTACTGGGAAGCCTAGTGCGCGGAAAATTAACATTAACGATAGTTACAGAGCGGCTACTCAAGGTACATTAACGCAACTACTATCCCCATCACAGATACCTGTAACTATTGGTGAATCCACAGACGATGGATTTGCTTATAACGTGACCACCAGTTATCAGCCACAGTCTTCATACAAAGAGATGTGGTATCCACGGCACAGCCAGATGTCTTCGGCCCCTGCTTACACGAATCCGATCCGTTCCATGACCCCAAATCCAACCCCTGCTTACAATCATTATTCGGCAGCTATAATGCCACCAGGGCAAATGTCGAATGTAGCTTACTCTACCGCGCCATCTAGCGTAAACATTCATGCGGAAAATTTGGTTGCCATGAAAAACGAACCGCAAGCCTATTCCGCGAAAGACGAACCCTACTTTCAAACGCAAAGTGGATTTCCCTACGACGACAACGAAATGACAGAGTCAGATCCAACTCCATACTATGAAAGATGCGGCAGCTGGAAAAGAGGAGCTCCAACATCGAATGTTCAGCACATTGGAACTCCGGTTTCCCTGGTATGTCTTTCTTGCGATTTTGCCTTTGAGAATAATGAGTGTAAATGTTTTTTTATTATCTCAATGTAGTATATAATAGTGTCATTGTCAACTAGAACTACAGCAAACTTTATATTAGAAATATAACTCTTACTCAAATTGACACGATTTGCCTAATTTACATTATCTGGTACGATTTTAACTGGTGAAAGATGTTAATGAAATGCAGAATTTCACTCTATATGAGTCTTTTTATATCTAAGTGTAATAGAAATCATTGAAGATCACGATTGTTTGCATTAGTGTGGTTAGTTCTATTCCATTTAACGTTTCTGTCGTACGATATTATATATATTATCCAGGCGTAAGGTCTGGCTTTTGTTTGTAGTAGATTTTAGGTTGTTATTTCAGGGAATTTGAAGTCTCGCTTTATGTCAACTTTGTGGAATCCTTTGCCTTGACTTATGCGTTTATTAGAATAAGGGATTCAAAACCATTTAGCGTATCCTTACAAAATGTTACCTTTTTGGGCTTTGGGCAAGTTTTTCTCTTCACGCATGGCGGACGAAGCGTGAAAAAATTTCTTTGAGTGGTATTTACTGGAAACAACAATGGTTGCTTTGAACGTGGTTTTTAGCAATATTCAAGCGTGGGCTAGAGCTAAAATTTAAGTTTATATCATGGGTATATATATCATAAACTTGATGTATTGTTATAATAAAAATTCACCGTGAAAGTTGGAGAACGCAATATAATAGAAATACTCGGCGGGGAAATTCACCTAACCTAACCCAAATATTTATGCTAAGGTATGGGATGACTCCTCAAAAAGGATTAAAACGGTTGTTTGCAGCACGCGAAGGATAAGGTCATTCTTGCAAGCTGATTTGTGCATTTTCTCATGATTGGCTACATTTTGCAGGGAGCTGTTGACAGCATTAGCAAAATAAATACAATCGGGGAACAAACTCAGAAAGGAGTGACAGACGGATTGGAAGATGACAAGGAAATAGAGTTAAGAAAATTAGGGTGGGGCGAATTTGAGAAAACCGCGCCCACCGACGAGGCAACCAATGAACGCGTAAAGGCAATGGAGCAGAAAATAGCGACTCTCACTGGAATGGTGGAAACAATGATAACACACGTGAGTACATGGTTTACTAACTGATGTGACATATTTACTCATACGCCTTTCTCAACATATCAAATTAGATTATAACCGATACATTGCTTTGTATTTGTACAACATAATTAGACATCGTACTGATATTGGTGGATATGTATATACTATAGTGTAGACTGAAGAAAATTTAATACAAACCTTAATTAGTTTTTAAACCAGGTATTTGAAGTTGAATAAACTGGTGTGTGGTTGAAAGTCATACTATGTCAAATGTTTGAAATTAGTACTTGGAATAAAAATATTTTCAATTATTTTTAAATCGATACTCTTATTGAACAAAACTAATTTTGTATAAATACTCCAATTTTAAATGTGCGCTTACTACCTATGGCTGTACCCGCGACTGATTTGTATTGCTATATTAGAGAAGGATTTAAAATATTTGATCAATTTATTCGAACAAGATCAATTAAGGCAAGGCTACTCCACACTCTCACTTAAAAGTAAAGGAGACTAATCTGTAGAGGACGTTGAAGGTAGCCACTGAGGTGACGAGAGACTTGTTCTGCTCAGAGAAAATGACATATCTGTCCACAAATAAACGGTTCCCACAACTTTACATTGTTTTTTCCAAAGTACTTTAATAGTAGAGATTTTAATCAATGGTATATTATTGATTTAGAATTGAAATGTGAATGAAATAATTAACTTTCGAACATTATTTCTGTAATAACATTGTCATAAGTGAGAAATTGCAATGTAATCAACCATTGAATAAAGTGTATATTTTTATAGATAGAGTATTGAAGCGATTCAGTCAATGACGACTAAAAATAGATTAATTAATTGCCATCAAATAATCGTCATTTTATTACTTGTTCGTAGTTTATGGATAATCTAACATAAATATGATGTAACCTTAAATATAATTATACGATTTAGAGAATTAATATCAGGAAATATCAAAGCAGACAATGAACTAATTAGAATTCATTATTACGATTCTTCGAACCATTTACTGAATTATAACTTTATAGTGGAAAAGTGAACTTCTTCGATCATGTCTAATAAGTCGTCGTCTCATTTTCCGACAAAAACATTAAAATATTCGTAGATTCAAAGATAATCTCATAAATAACGGCGCCAGGATTTGTTTTGGTCGGATTATATTCGGCCGTACATGAAACACACTAATTTATCTTATTTTATGAAATCGGTATATCATACGCATGCGTGGTCTGCAAATTGACGTTCACGACAACATCACTTGTTTTTAGTCGTAGTCAAACAATTCCCCCTCAGGCATACGACTGAGCTTTGCTATAGATATTTGTTAGATATGTCTAGAAACAGACGGTTTAGGATGAAGTTATTTTTATTCTTCACGAAGGACAAAAATTCAGCGTTCAGCGTAATTTGTTTATTGAGTTCTGAGGTATTAGCTTTGTTGTACAGCTTCAATGTTCTGTTATATCTCGTTTTGACTGGTTTAAGACAGTTGAAGGTCACTGAAACTATGTATTAAACAAATGAGAATGCGCAATCTATATAGTTCACTAATTATACGTGAATCAGTCAGAATTAACTGATTTTCGGTGGACTATGCTGTATATTTTAAGCTCACAAAATCTTTCCTGAGAATGAGACTTCATGAGAATTTCTTAAATGTTTCATCACTGGTTGTAAGAATTAGTGTATTCAAATCCGAATAGATTTTCATGTTTTTCTTCAATATTAATTTTGATTTGAATGTATTCGTAAACATTAAACGGTGCTTCTAAGTTGTGATTTGATTCTTAATTTTTCCAAGTAAATCCGGCATATGTCATTTTGTACTTGATGATAAAAATCTAATCTAAATCTAATCTAATATTCAATTTTTTGAACCCTCAAGTTTTAAAATGTTGATTCGGTATCATATAATTGGCCTGAACGACTTAAAATGCCTGAACATTTTAAAACACGAATCTTCCATATAATATATCTGAATATTGTTTCAAACTGCATTTTTAATATGGGTATTCTTGTTAGACCTCTTAGAGACATTTATGATTTAATCTTAGATAATAGTTTAATTGTAGTTATGGTATTGGTAATGGAAGTGTTAAAACCACCAAGAAGGGCCAATTCATTGGTAAGTTATCATTGAATGATAATTGCATTTTAGTTCATATCATTATATATTCTTGGGACTCCGGAAACTTTCGGTAAATGTTTCTGAAATATTGCAGTTATTGCTTTCTTGTGCAATATTTATATAGAAGTATATTCGCCACCCACCTTTAATGCTAAGAGTAAGTTCCGATTCACTATGAAAACTCATGTTACATGTATCGTGTTGTCAAACTTTCGGTTTTAAGTAATAGCTATTTAAATATAAAACATGCTATCTTATCATCGCCTTAACTGGTTTATTCAATTTTATATCATGGCATAGATCTTCTTTTGCTTCAAAATATTGTGAACTCAAATCTGATTCTAGTTTTAATATTACATCACATCAAACTTTCTGCAATATTTTTTGGGGTGTAATTGGGAAAAATTGGGGTACCGAGTTTAAAACATACTGTCCTTGTGTATGAAATTACTGGGACGAATAAATGATATATATATACCAAATAATATCATGACATTTCCGCATTTTAATCGCATTTATATTCGCGATTCAACTTAGATCATGACAACTTCTTAAACATTTTCTTGGGAAATGGTGTCTGGAAATTAGCCAGCAGGTGGATGCCGAAGCGGACTAGCTTAATTACACGTTTCTCGACGCACGCGCGTGAAGCAATTTGTTATTATTTATTTTCTATGTGCATTTTTAAGTATAATAAGAGGTGTTGGGTTACAATTTCATTTCCGATATTCTAGATATCTAGAGGCGATTTCATTTAAATTCAGCTTATCAGTGGGCATACTCATTCAAGTATGTAGGGTGGATAATTTAAGTTTCAGAATGCTCCGATTATCCCCTAATCTATCTTGATCGGGATTTCGGTATAAAATTACATATGAGAAAATAGTGATAGCAATACAAATTGATTATTTGTACAGCACCGGCTTCGTGGTATAAAAGACTGTTCGTTAAATATAATACAAGATAAGCTGCGTTTCATGGATTTTGGTATTGAAATATATATTTATTATTTAAGGGGTAGGATTTTGAACATAAAATTATGTTATAAATATTACTTTTTTGAATTGTATATGTAGGCTATCTATTTATAGGCTATAAAATTTGACCATGGTCATTCGAAACGTAACATATATAGATTTCTGTTAGTGTGCAGCAAAGCTGTTGATCTTCATTCTTGCTACAGAATCCTTACATGATTTACATTTGAAACCACTAGAGTTCGATTGAGTATGAATAGTTCCCTATAAATTAATAATCGCAATGATGTTCTTTTTTCGTTGGGTAATGTTTTTCAAATCCAATGCCCGGTAAAGCGAATTCATTCGACCAACATATCGAACAACATTCAACTATTAAACGAATAATTATTCCCAAATGTTCAATTAATTATTTTGCCATTCATAATTACAGACCGATGCTGATGTAAACATAGGCGACAGCGCCAATGCGACCAAATCTCAGCAGATGACCTACGACTCGGGTGTGACCTCTAGCGACAGTGATTCCACATCATTAAAAGATGTACGAAAACAAATGCTGCAGCTTCGAGCTACTGCTTCTGAATTAAAGAAACAATTGGATGATATAAAGCGACAACAGGTGGGAACACCTCAAATATAAATACTAATAATACAAAATTAAGACGATTCTCTGGGAAAGTAATTAGGTCACATCAACAAGTAATAAAAACTCAAATGTCGCTTTGCTCATAGAAAACTTCACATCAACCAAATTTGTTTCCGAGGGCACAAAATTTGCGCTGTGATCCTTGTGCAGGCGAAAGTCAATCAACGGGCGGGTAGTAAATAATGGGGGCCAAATTCACTTCCCAGTCAATGTGAATCATTTTTAAATGTGCTTTTCATAGTAACTCATAAAATTTCCCTACCTTTAATAAAGCGTTTTTCAAGAAATTGACTACCTTATTTATATAAATGTATGTCATATAGCCCAGGTTATGTTGAATTGAGCTGAAAATGTGGCAGCAAAAAGAGTTCGTACCTGCGTATGTCAATTGCTACCTAAATTATTAAAGTAAAAAAGGAAACATTTGAATATGTTTTCAGATAATAGTCGTCTTTAGAATTTTGAACCTTATGCTAAAATTGCTTATTTCATATTTTTACAGAGAACAAACTTCGAACGAATGAACGATATGATCGTTACTAGGAGTCGTGAACTGACATCTCTCATCGCTACGACTGCTGGGTCAGAACACGCACCAGTTCGTGCGAGACGACTCGCCCTGGACAGAGAGCGTTCGACCTACGGAGATAATGCGTCACTCACGGAACGTCAACTTACTGAAGTTGAAGGAGCGGTCGAGGAGTTACGTAATGAAGTTGTCGAAAGAAGGTAGGTTTGACTGATCTTTTGGAAGTATGTGAACCTAGATGGTGGACACCGGTACGTAGTATGTGTACCAGGCTAGGGTAAGGCCATAATTTCAGGTACAAATACTAAGGTAGTCACTTGGTTAGACCCCGAACTCGTAATATAACTAAAGTAAGGTAAATTGATATAAAATTGTGGTCTAACCCTAACCTACTACACATACTACGTTCCGGTGTTCACAATCCTGGTTCACATACTTCGAGAGTACCATTCTTTTTATAGCAACAAAATAACGTAATCTTCTTTCAAATATTGAAACCTTCTTTCAAATATTGAAACTTTTACCAAGCTGTCGATATCACGCATTTCACTAGTAACAAGGCCTTGTTTAAGCAGGTATAGAGAAACATGGGATGACACATAATTTGTCACTTAGGTTTTTTGCACCATTAAATATCTCATATCATTTTTGAATTGACCAAAAATGGATGTAAACTACATAATTAATGTCTATAAATCCTAACACGTAACCTTCGGAGTTTTATATTTTTAGAATTCGTGAAAAACAATGTCATAATGTCTATTTTGAATTCGACATCATTTTTACAGTGACGTCATAAAATGATATAAATTTTCTCTCGTTTTTTACAGATGTCGCGTAAATATGAGAGAAGTTGAAGCACTGGCCTTACAATTGAGTCAAGCGGGGAGAACAATCGCCAATTTAAAAAGTACGTCAATTTACCACAATTTAGTTATAAAACAACTAAGAAAAAGTCCTAGTAATAAGACTTTGATTACAGTCAAAAATATTTCATTAAACGACTTGACTTGGTTTATTATAGGATTAGATATAAAATATTTAATATTTGTTGTATTGGCACGTATTTTTGTTGTCCAAATTACAGGGATGAAAATTGATTAATCTTGATTCTTCGATTGTTACGTCACGTGTCATATGTTACAATAATGTCGAAAGCAGACGGCATGTTGGCGCAACTTTTTAATATTATTTTTAAAAATTACGACATTACACGTGATACGCATCGACGATTCCCCGCGAAATTCCCTTTTTCGAAAAAGGTCTGGTGTTCATGACATCACCGATATCGTTGGCGTCGCAGTCATGGTTCTGTCTGTCTCGGTGGAAGATTCTTTTCTTCCAGGCAAGATCCATAGCTGGGCTGTGCTTTACAACTGATCTCAAACAGATCACCATGCTTGATCCCAGGTACAAAAAGGAGAGAGGCACTCTCGTAGTTTACAACTTCAAATATTTAAGTACGATGCAGATACGCGTGATTGAGTAGGATTTGATTTTCAAAAATAAATATCAGACGCTTGTAAATTTTGAGAGCTTTTCAAAAGATTTGTATGGAAGATGCTTGACAAATATTAGGTGTTTACTAATGAATTGCTTGACTGTGGTTTCACGGTGGAATTAGCTTTCTTAGTTCCGCAAGGTTAGATTATACGGTACTGCTTTGAAGATATTTACATTTTGACTTAGAAAGGGCCATTTGCAATACAGTTAAGTTCGTCGTTGCAGATTTATGAAAGTTAGCTATATATTACTGTTTGTTTGTTTGTATTTACAAATAAACAATCTAAATTTTAATATGATTGAGGGTGAAATATTGGTTAATTTTACCTGTACTTTTAGGTTTTGTCAGTCTATTATCTGCGAGAGAATGAGTCGAGAATCACAACACATTGTTATAGATTTTGTAATACTAAACAAATGCACTTACTTGACAATTTAAAGTTAATGTATGTTAAGATAGTTAGTATATTTAACGCTGTAGAAATTAGAAAACGCTTTAAATGTGATTTAAAAAAAAAACTTCGTAAACAACTGCGCAAGGAATTCCGATACACAATAGCGTACCCGAGTAACTTACAGTTTGGATCATATGGAGGGCCTATTTTATTTTACCATCGTTAATCTGTACACAGCCACAAACTGACACACTCTAACAGTTATTCATTTCATCGCGTGCTTCTATATTCGTTAAATGAGTTTTATTTCCAATAAATATAAACCAATGTCGTTCATACTTGATACGCTTTAGCTGGTTAGTTTAGGCCCTTTTTGGTTTGGTCTACCGAATATACGTTGATAAAGCCTTAATATACGTCTATCATAAACACATTTTATAAATTAAAATTTTTTTGGTTGTTTTGAATTTCTAGCAAAACACCCAAAACGAAAGGTCAATAGCAGTCATGCGTTAGCGTGATAACCGCGCACAAGTTTCTCAATTTAGATCGAAATTCCTTAGAAGTTAGAACAGAAGACAGAGGTATATATAGTTTTATTCAAATGCCTTAAATTCGTGCCAATATTTCGTATATTTGAAATTAGTTCGCGTGTGAGTTGTTTTATTTACGAATTATGTGATAGGTAATCTTATTAAATTATCCACTGAATGCGTAAGTGAATAATGAAAATAGGAATTATCGTACTTGTCTTGTATGATTTGTTAGAAAAATGCAAAACCATTTGCGAATACGTATTAAATTTTGTATAGTTTCATCTGTTACATAGGCCGTTACTTTAATGCACCGTTAATAAACTGAATTGGCTCTTAATTTTAAAGACGGTAGATTTCTTTTGACTACCCTGGACGACAGTCATTACTTCAGTTCTCTATCTTAATCTCTAACGATTCCTCGTTGTTATTGAAAATCTCGACTTATAAGTTTAAAAATATATTAATAATTTTAAAGAGGCTTTATTTCTTAATATGTTTTTGCATTCATTTTATTAAGCATTTATAAGGGTGCCAAAGAAAAATGTAATTTTAACAAAATCTTACTTTTTCATGACTCGGTAAAAATGCACCCCCGAGGCGACTTAATTTGATTATCTTTGTTTTTTGAATGATGCAGTAAACACGTTTGACCGAAAATTGGATTTTCTAATCAATGGCCATATAAGGTGTGGGCTTAAACGTAAGTTTGTTTTGAATGTCTCAGATCCGACAAACGTTAAATAAAATGAAATATTTAGGTTTGAATATTCTTAGGATCCTTATCTTTTAATTACATTTATCGAATAACCAAGCATGATACATATATAATAAATTAGATTTGGGTATGGGTGACGTTTAATAGAGCCGTGTTTATTTAGACTGAAGTACTCGCATGACATGTGGATAACGTAACATCTAAATTATGTATAATATTCTCATCTCACCTGAGGAGAAATTGACGGGAATTTACTATTTCATGTCATTAGGTTATTTTGTCATGTGTCGCAGTGTATGTAGCGGTCACATGATTTGTTACTATTGCATAATTTTGTTAATACAAAATTATCTTTGAGTTGAGTTATGCAAAAAGTAATTTCCGGCCTCGAGTGTACTCAGTGAAATATATTTAAAGACAATGTAAATGGAAAATGGATTTTGTATGGTGGCCTAGAAATGAGGGAACAATTTTCAGTAGTATTCGGGCGAATATTTCAACCTATCATTAAAGACAGATTATTGCGAGGGTCGCAGAAAAAACTAGGAAAGACTTGAGCCCATACCTTTTGTGTTCCAAACTATGTCTGTGATTTTGTTTTACTTTCGTTCATGTCGCGACATGCAAATGAACAGCAACTTTGGAATGGTAATTATTTTAGTCTCAACTTTTTTAACTTGCGTGAAGATGTCTACAAAATACGAAAATATGACTTTTACGCACGCATTGTCACATCTCCCAACAAATGTTCAATTTCCGAGAGAAGCTTCAGAAATAGGCATAGTACTCCCGATTTTGTTGGTTTATTTGACCAAAATAACCTATTCGGAACACGTAAAGGTAAACCGTGACAGATTTCAAAGTACTGACCAAAGATGTATCTCATTTGCATTTATCATTGCAGCAAAGTCAGTATTAGATTGATTATTTTCCACGCAAAATTTGAATTGAGTTTGAAGTTGGTTAGAGCTGATTTCAAAAAATTCGTAAATAAATAATATATATTATATATTTTTTAAATTTTGTTGCCAGCGCATTCAAACGCGGATATAAATAATTTGTCTGGAACGCGCACATATGCACGTAGAAAAAAAATAATTGATTTGCAGATTTGCAAAACTATTCAATCAAAAATTGTTTTCTCATTTTGCTTTGTCACTAAGAACAAAAATCAACTACTTCGGGGTTTAAACTTCGCTTGTAAGTTTGCTTTGAGCAACCTCAAACAAAATTTTGTTTTAGCACTGTCCATTGAAGCGCTATACGTATCGTTGTCTTTTTATCTATTCAAAAATTACGTTGGTCATAACATGTTGAATGAAAACATCACTGTGTGTCCATTTCCAGCTGTCCATTATAAAAGTAATTTGTCAATCAAGGCGAGGCGAGAGCATCTTAAAAAGGCGTGTCTATAAATAATTGTAAAAACGAATAGTTTCATTTTAATATAATTTATAGATTCCTCGAGACGCATCATGATTTTGTATTCTTTACAATCCCACGCGCCGTGAATAGATCCACAGAACGTATTTTAATAGTAAATGCATCAGGGACTAAAAGCTTTTCTTTACTGTAGGTGTTAAAATCTTTTCTTTGCTAGCATTGTAAATTCCAACCATGGGACAAACAAATCCATACATAATTGTTGTATTCTATTTCCGGTACATGTTTGATCAATATTTAAATTCAGCTAGTATCGTGAAGGCTTTTCGTTTGCACTCGACCGAGAAAAAGTTAGCTCGAGTTGGGTAATCTGTGACGTCATGTATTGTTTTCCACAAAGATATTATTTTTACATGCGGGATAAAAGGGCCGGTTCTATTTACATAGGGACGTATCTTTTTATAGGCACTGTGGAACTCAAAGTCTATGCACGCAATATAGAAATGTGGGTATGTTTTAGCAGGGTACTGTACTTATGGCTCAATTACGTTTTATAAGACAATCCGTCGTCTGAATAGTTGTGTTTGATTACCTGACTGATTCAATTCCCAGTTCTCGACATGGATCAAGTCGTGGACACGGTATAGAATTTCATCAGTTTGGAATTTCACGTTTAACGTCTTCTATTCTTATATCGTTGACCTGTTGTCATTGTTTTCAATCAAAAGTCTTTGTTCAATTTGAGAGGTTGCTTTCGTTGTTATGTCGCAATTACCTCCCTTATATAGCACGCCAAAAAGAAAGAATTACAAAGTGAATTACTTCTGTTGATGACAGAATGTTGTCTGGAATGCAGTGCAAATGCAGATGGCAGTGCAAAGGTTTAGGGATTTTTCTAGGGTATTTAGAGAGGGTCCCGGTGCGATCATATTTATATCGAATTGGGAATTGTAAATCGGATCATTTGTGAAGTCATCATCAGAAACAAATTAGTTATTGAAATAAGCAGGCCTATCGTCTTTTTGTACATCGATTTTTATTGCTTTCGCTCTTTATATACAAGGTACGGAGTCTAACACAACTTCATAATAACTTCTGAAATATAACATTCCAGATATCTGTGATGTCTGTAGATAAAACCCTGAGACGAGACGAATTTTCGTATTTGCAAATAATAACCGAAAGCTAAACTTCGAATCCCATTTTCTTGATTTTGTACTGAATTATTAATGTTGAAATCTCAAATACATTGCTGCTTTGTTCTAGTTTTCAAGTCAGGTACGCGGTAGTAATCAAAATAAAACTTGAGCACATACAAGGTTGAAAACATTGTTATATAATGCTATTATGATGTTTTCGTCTTGCTTTCCAATCAATGTAATACAGGTGCTTACGTCAGAGAACTACATTTACTGCCGACAAATCAATTTTGTAAATTATTGCGACCTAGGGTAGCGCATTATGTCGATTAAATTATGCTCTGATCAAGCTTGCTCTTAGATTAGGTATCAAAAGAGAGAGATTTAGTCGTTTAGCCATACATTCGCACTTTGACCGCCGCGTCCTTCGCGCTTTGTTTACTGAGCGAGCACCATAGGCCTTTCCACGCATTTCTCCTGTCAGTTTGTAATACCTGGTACAGTAAAGTGCACCTCTTAGCATGCACTTGCAATACTGTCTGTGCACACAATGCCAGCGTTTTATCGTCGTAGATTAGTCATTCGTTATACTAATATCAACAGTACCACTTAATAAATACCTGCTAATGGCGCACGTTTCCGTTATCTCTGGTCGACAATTGTTTGAAGAGTTATAAAAATGTCGCCTCTGTTTCATTATCGAAGATTCAGAGCTTATATCCATATAAAGGGGGAAGTTCGATTATACAGATGGCATATAAGTAAACCAGGCCAGAAGTTAGCCAGGTGGCTTCTCCCTTGCGATGTTTGTGTGGTATTAGTATCATATGTTTATATATATAATCCAAAGTTGTATATAAGCGCACGTACCGTCTTTCAGTCGCACAGTCGTTGAAGGATATTCCCTAATTAGTAACAGCTTATACGAGGGAAGTGCAACATGAGTTTAAGTTTATGGAGTAGGATGAGACAAGCTTATTCAATTTTATCGCAGCTTGTTTCATGAAAATTGGCTTTATTTAAGGGGATAAAGAAAGTGAACTACATAAAAAATAATACCACTGAAAAACTCGTCGTCTGCTTTCGGGGGTATCATTAATACTGCTGATTATGAATACTAGTCTAGTAACGCTCACTGCACTTCAGTCGAAGGCTTTTTGTACATCGCAATTTGCAGTAGAAGAGACGCAGAAAGAAAAGTACCATATTACCATGAATATGTTATTTCATCCGAGTGTCATGTCAGTCAGGGAAAGATAAAAGCAATAGGCAATTCCGCGATAAAATGATGAATTTTTGATGATGCTCAGACGGAAACTATCAACGCTGTTGTAGTGGTGATTCACTCGTTTTACGCACAATGGCTGCATGAAATGTATACTGTAAATGCCGTTCGCGATTATCGCAGTGATTGTATTGCTACACTGTCAATTCGTGATAGCTATCAGAATGAAAGTTATTATTCCTTAATCTTAACTCGTTGATATAATTAACGAGCAGCCCCCCGGCACATATTCCCTCGATATTATTAGTCTTTGAAGTGGTTGAATATACTTGTTCATAAGTATAAGTGGTTGGATGTAATGTTCATAAGTGGCCTATTCGGAACTTAAAATAATTTTCCATACGTAAAACGATTCGGCAAATTTCCGATTTGTATTTTTCAATAGTTTCAAAGTAGGATAGAATAAACAGAATACTGCTAAATTTTAGTGTTAGAGGCAGAATTTTTGAAGATCGTTTTCGTGAAAACGGTAACAGTTCCATGCAACAAGTATGCTAAAGCAGCAATCGTTTTGTTTACGCGTGTTAGCACAGTTTAATTAAATTGAAATGTTATATATGTTCACTGGAATCGTTGCGCTATTATTGTTCAGAACAAAACAACAATAGTTTTTCTGTACTGATTTATTCCGAGGCACTTCGAAAGGTCAGCTTTAGCTTTGCCTACTCCATAATTTTCTGTGTGAGGCCGAAATAAATTTTTGTCCTCTTGATTTGCCCCCGCGCTTTGCAAAGAACACTTTCTAATCGAGATATCGAAGGAATTTATCGTAATTTAGAAATCGACCAGAGCCACCGTATTAGCATGTAATGTGCGCGCGAGTTATGTTATCAAAATATAGATGATTAGCGTACGATATACCATATTAGGGTAGTAAAACATGTTACATAACCTGATTACATGAGTCAACTGTTTATCGTTAAATTGTAAGACATCATTTCATTTGGAAAAATGACGTTGAGTGTCAATCCGTGTTCGTCCCTTTAATATTTATTACTCAGTATATCATGTCAATCATAAAATAAATAAATCAGTGATTTTCATATCATCACGTGATGCGAGGGAAAGTTAGGATGTCATGTCTTCTATACTTTGTTTTGGCTACGTGTGTTGCTTAAACCGAGGAATACAGGGTTGGTATATTGATTTACTTCAGTTATATATTAGCACGTCTTCATAATTAGCTTTCATAAGAAATGACCCCGTTTAACTTAAGACGAGGTAGGTAACGTAGTTATGTTTTAATCACTAATTCCTTGCCATCTATTCTTGCATCGATGCGATGTATATATTATTCTTCTTTCCTTGGTTGAAATTTCATTTAACCTGAAAAGTTCCAAATTTTAAGCTAAATTTTAACAAGAGACTCATAAAAAAAAAAACGAAACAAAATTCTGACATGTAGATCGAATTGAGAGTTGAAATTTTCCTCTTATAGAATTCTGTTACATTGTACAGCATTTCCCTGTTACTGACGTAGTTTCAAAACCATGCATTGTTATCACTATTCAGTATAATATTCTATTTCGAGGATTCCCAGTTTAGAAAGCATACTTGTGGTCCAATATCAGCGGTAGATATTTTAGATATGTATGGCCGATGATTTACATTATTCAAGCTTACATACTTGTGGTCCAATATCAGCGGTAGATATTTTAGATATGTATGGCCGATGATTTACATTATTCAAGCTTACAAAATCATATTGCGTATACTGCCGCATTGGACTTCCTTGTTTGAGCAATACAGTACAGCTGATGTTAGTACCAACAACCCATTGTTTCTTATTTGTAGATAGACCAGTGAACGCGTTGCTGTTGTGCTTGTTTTTTAGATGAGCAATGTTTTTAGAATATATCATACGCCTTGGTGGTGTGTTCTTTTTAAAACCTCATATTCATATTAGGTCGTATGTATCTCATTTTACCAAGACTTAAATATGCTTATGTATCAAAAATACTATGGGAGCCTAGGCTTTTCAGAGAGTTAAATGTTACACCATATTCAGAAACGAGAGTTCAAACTGAGTCATTTTCGAACATCAATTTTTATTACTGAAGTCAAACAAGACAAGCAGCAAAGGTTTAGAGCAATAATATTGATTGGAAAATTAGATTGTTCTGTATAGATGAGCCAATCATTGGTGACAGAGGCAGTCTTAAAACTGAAGCTTTTACTTACATTTGTGGTGTGTAGTGAAATGAAGTGCAGAAAGTTAGTATAGTGAAATGAAGTGAAAAAAAGTATTACGGTATATCATTCAATTGGAACTAATTGTAAGATAGAAAGCATTATACTCCAACACTGTTCGACTCTCGTTGGGCATTTTAGCCATGCAAAGATTAAATTATCGAAATCCCTAGTGTATAAAAATCACATCTACTAAAAGGTACTACAATTTTTAATAGCTAAATGACTGAGATATTTTTTCTTTGTCAATCATGGTACGGGACTAGAATTCGTCAGCCTTCTAGTTAATTTTGACATATGAGTAAACGAATGAGATATATTTAATGAGCATTTCTTGGAATATATATTTCGATATATCCACTCTCTCCACTCTGATAGATTTGTTTTTGCTTAATAATAATAGGCCGTATTGCAGCCTTAGTTGGTATAAAAATAAACGTTTCGTCCACAGAATTACTTGAACTTGCGTCAATAATAGGATGGGAGAAGCACACTAAATTGGAACAGCAATTTACTATTTTTTATCACTTATATCTAGTGCGTATTTAAATATCTCTTCAGGGCATAAATGTTGAGTCACATTGTTTTGAATGTTTCGGGTCAGCATTCATGAGAAATGCCAGTTTATTGTAACTAACATGATAGATAAAAAGAAAGATTTTCGGTCATACATGCTGCATAAGAGATGTGACCATATTGAAATAAGAGCGAAGTGATTGTTAGGTAATTACAAGGACGTCGCGAAACTTGTCTGCCAAATATTCAGCGCGTTGGTTTAAACAAGTGCATCACGTAGCTAGTGACGAGAGAATAATGACGATAATAGTTCTATTTCACTTTATATGTCGAGATAAAAATGAAGGTTTTCTGACATCTTGTTTTATTGACATCTTACAGTCATACAGTACACTACTGCTAGATTTTAAAACTTAACTATCGGAGTCTAAAAACGGAATGACTGCCCCTGGTAGCCCATCATTGCTGGCCCGGTTGAAAGGAACTCCCGGAAGCCTCCGAAGAAAGTTCCGCAAAGGGCATTCATTAAACGCATCGACATCGCAAAGCGATTCACCTTCGCCCACTACACCGCCTGCAGAAAGCGGCAGTTTCAAGTTTGTTCATACCTTGAGAAAACATGATGAAAATTTAGACCACGGAGCAACTCATTTCACATGCAGGTAACTTGGTTCACATTTTAGTAATTTTATTGGCATCAGTTGAAGATACAAGGTTTGGTTATTGTCATAACGTGCTTCAATAAGTGATGATGAATACAAATTTGTTTTATTACATTTCGATTTTACATTAAATATTCAAACATCTTGCTATTGATTATGATGGTACTGTAACTGACAGCGTTACACACCTTTAAAAAAAAGCATAAAATTTCTGATTTAATTAAGTTACGTATTTTTCAAAAATATAAATTTTATTCTAATTATCGAAGTAGATATTTGAACAGAATATAATACTTCAACTTTGATTTTCAGATTTTTGGGTGTGATGAGCATCTACACATTAAAACCAGAACACTGCTATGGATTTGCTGAAGGACTTGCCAGAGATGTATTCGATCAAGACGGAAAAGAAGTAAATAACAATCATTCTGCCAACAAATGCCAAATCGTTGTCACGGACGAATCGATAGAAATATCTGCAATGCCACGAAGGCATCATAACTCTGGGAAACGAAAGCCCATTAATACCGGTACACCTCCTACAAGACCGAAACTTAATTCTTCAAACAGTCCTACCTTCAACAGAGTTAAATTTTCTGATAATCGTCCTAGAGCAATAACCTGCGACGAAGTACTGGTGAACGATCATCACCAAAATTGCAATTCCATGTTTTTCGATTCACCTCATCAAATTTCCGTTTTATCCCCGTATGCAAACGCACACACCCATTCAGAAAGACCGATGTCGGTTTTAGATTTAACTTCAACTAATTCTCGTTATGGGAGAGAGTCAAACCTCGCTTCCATGCCTGAAAATATGCAAGAAAATTTTTCCGCCAAAATCCCTCTTCACGAAGTTGCGTATTGTGTTACGGTACCTTCGAATGAGAGACTATTTTTACTTACATCGCGACAGGGATCGCATCTCATTTGCCGCGTTTTCCTATTCAAATTGCGGGAGAAATCAAATGCATTGACTATGGTTCTAGCGAACCAATTTAAAAGAAACTTCGTAGAGTGGCAAAGCCAACGAGCAGCGGGTACCAAGCGAAAAGTGTCAATATTTAAGGGTCAACTTTTGCCAAACTCTTGCCCTTATAATAAAACAAATTCTCAAAATTCAACTGGTAGACCCCGGGGTGAAAGCCAAGACAGTGGACACGAAGATTGCCCTTCTGACATGGATTCTGACGAGAGAACGAACGAAGAACTTAAATCGAGAGAATTTGAGCGGAGGTCGTCATGCATGCACTCTCCAGAGAACATTTTACGGCGGCGAGAAACAGAGAGCTCAGGCCATTTTTCCCAGCCAACCTTGTCGTTGTCAGACTTCACAACCGACGAGGATTCCGACCAGAGCGATGACAATATATTTAGTTTAATAAAGCCACTAAAATGACTGAAACCTGTTTTCTTTACAATGCCGATTCAAGACTCAGCCAAACGCCGTTAACGACGGCACATTTCGTTTTTCATCTGCTCGGCTTTATTTTACTGTGGTTTTATCATGACGCTTTGTTCGATTTAGTAATCGACAACACCCCAAAAAGGTGCTTTTTCTGCTTTTATTATAACTATTTCAACAAAACTTCTTTAGGTTAGGTTGGGGGTACATTTCAAGCAGTCACTAATTTGTGAGAAGCTACTAAAATCTTTCTGATTTAAAATTGCTTACCCGATTTACCCCGGGTGAGGTGAGATGCAAACATAATTGATTCCAGCGCCCCAATCACTTCGCCACCGAGTCTAAATAAAACTCGTTTCTGATCAAACTGTCTCTATCTTGACGGTCTGTATTGTGCAAGAACTAGGTATGAAATATGTCCATCCTATCCAAATTATTTCTCATAATTATATATCAATTTTCTGTTGTGCATATAATATTGCAAATCGATTTATGTGATTATTTTTTGGTATTAATAATGATTACAATAAGAGCAGAATTCATCCGGTGTTTATTGTTATTTTTTATCAGTAAGATTTCAGATGTCAGATTATTTCAACGATTATGGACATTCATTTGTGGATGTGAAAGTTGATTATCCTTGAATGAACCACCATAGTTACCAGACTGAAATAAAACAGCTAGCTAGTTTAGGTTGAACCGCATAACCTCAGTCACTCGTTGAATATTTATTTGACATTACGCATTATATCAGTGTCGTTTGCTTAGGAGAGTTAACTCGAATTAAATGTTATTTATTTATAAAATAAAAACCAAGAAAGCTTTTTATGGCGAATATTCGTAACAGATCGTGCCTTCCCTGTTTTTCAAATGTGACAATATTTCTCACTATGAGCAAACAGCAAACGAGAAATGACGTAGCTGAGGATAAATCTTAGACAAAGCATGTTATGATTGAGGTAGACGATAACAAACTCAAAATTCATTAACGTGACGTTTCTAATCCAGTCACAAGAGGTCATTTTTATTTACTTTCTTGCAATCTTTACTTATACCATAAAATCCCACAACATGACTTGGTAGTTATATTGGCTATTAACTCCTAAGGTACAATGGGTTCGATACTTTTCATTATTTAAATGCTTAGCGCACTCATTGACAATAGAAGTAAGCAATTAGTTTGAACTTTGCCAAGTTTTCCGACAAATAGGAAAAAGGTGAGCAGAAACTACAAACAATGCAAATTTATGGTCTTCTGGCCATATCACTCATAAGATCTATCGGTAAAAATATTTGTGTGCCACATGTGATTTTTTGGCGTGGGTTGTATTTTTTTAAGGATCAGGGTTTGAGTTAATGAGAAAAACCTATCTATTTCCTGCTTCAATAGGTTCTTTTCCTTCGATTTGTGACGAGATGAGAACGGTTGGGACAGCTGAAACCGAAGTTATAATTCAGGAAGAAAAATTCATGGATACCGAACCAGCAAGATTAGATGAACAATTGAAGAGATGCAAACAGCTTACTCAGACGCTCTTCACATTGAAAAAGTAGGTGGCAAACATAGAGCAAAATTACCTTACCTACTCAAGAGTCCAACTACCTGTTTTATTTCGCTGTTTAGACCCTTCTATTACATACTGTGCTATTTTTTAAATATTGGGTTTTAGTCTTTAACTTATATTGTTTACCGCTGTAGGTCAGTTTCCATGTCGACGGTATTATTAAGACTATAGAATACCATAGAATTCTTAATTGTATGCACTTTTTCATTCAATAAAGAATATGACTTTCGCACGTACAGTCAGTCCATGCCCAATCCCTCACTCAAAAGTGAGATTAGTATGAGATTACCGTTGTTTCAGAGGCAGATGTAGATGCCGGCGTACTCGACGTTACAATCATATGATATATATCGCAGAATAATTATTTCGAAATGATCCACAAATTATATCCAAGGAACAGTTATATTCGTGTTTGCAAATATCTTTTGCATAAAAACATAAAAATGGGTTTGTTTAATGAATAATGGCCAAAATATGTTTTATTTGCTTGTATATAGACTTGCAACGGTTCAAGAAGCACGGAGTAAGACACCCGTAAACATATTAAGCGGGCAAGGCGGAATGATGGGACCTAGACCCGAGACACCCTCTCATTACTTAGCTTCTCTAATGTCATACGGTTCCCCGAACGGGCGACCTGGAGAAAGGGTCAATGCAGATGACCTCAAAAAAGTGAAAAACGTCGTTTTGGGGGATGTTAGGTCACAAAAAGTCGACAGCACAAGGAGGATGCAAAGTATCCAGGTAAATTTGATTTAATTTCTCATCATTATTAGTTAGTTAAATATGATTCCCCGTGTAATATGTACAATGTGTGCAAAGTCTTATGCTAACTAAAAATTCAATAAACAAATAAAACAGGATGCCGAGATGAGATGGACACGCCGTGTGAAATATATCCGCCAATACGACTCCAGGAAAATGGAAAAGGTGAATTCATCATAAGCACGGGTGTCTAAAATACGATAAAAAAAATAACGATACTGATTCGCTTTGTTGCACTATAGTTCTAGTCCTCGATATTACGTGTCTTGAATATGCATGATTGTTGTTGCCTTGGTACTTGGTGTATAGGTAGTATCACGTTGGTTCCTAATTTTTCTTTTCATAGTTACCGGTAGTTATGGTGCTGTAGAATTTACCACATATATATATATGTAAGCTAAATTTTGCAAATGTGAATTTATAAAACTGAGCTTTTCTTCCCTTAATGGCAAATTTCGCTTATGGAAAGTTGTTTACTTTTGTATCTCAAATCATTCTAGTTTTGTTCAGTTGTTTTTGTCGTTTTTTGTCTTGGGTGGAATAAAATACAATTTGAATTAAACGGTTATTTGGGTCTAAATACATGATAAATGTATGACTAATGATCATGATACAAAGTCGTTTTCCGATTAATTTTTTATAATTGATTAACTGAAATAACACCTAACGAATAAATTGACATATTTTGGCCCTATTATAGTATTACCTTTCGGGAAATAGTAGTATTGCATTCAATTGTAATAAGTATATTTATATGAACGCAAACCTATCATATGCATTGTTGCACGATAATTCAACCAAATATACGGAAAAAAACAACCTTTTCCATGATACTTATATTTGTTGTATTGAACACCACACTGTTGTATATATAAATTATCTGGTCTTAAAAGTCTTTTCAGGTCATAGTATCACAAACTCCCTTAAATTTCAATCCGCGAACAACTACCAACTTTCTATTTTGTAACGCACCACAAAAGCACCCTAAAGGAAATATAATTACTCGGCTTCACTGTTTATGTAACATATAATTGAAGTATATGACAATGGTATAAGCAGCTCTGGCTCACACTTGGTGCAAATTGTCTGGTCATGTTGCATAATTCCTTATGGAATAACAAACTTTAACTGCATATTTGCGGTTTCACATGCATGCAGACAGTGCTGATGCATGAGGGTGATATCACCAAGCTAACAAAGAACTTCCACCACTGCCGATTCTTGAATGTATTACGTGTTTATGTCACTTCTATCACATCGTTAAATTCCCTAACAGCAATGCTCAGACAGATAAAATTATCTTTCTTAAAGTTCCTTGAACCGTCTTAAGTTTCGTTGAACCGTTGAATCCTTCCTTCACAATATTTTATGCTTAAACTTTGCAACGAAAATTTATTGTTGGCGTTAATTGTCTGACCTTTGTTACATCGAAAACCAATTTAGTTTTTGTTCACGGCATCTGGTTGTGAGATTCCAACTTTTTCGACATAAGAAAACCTTGATTTTTTTCTCACCCATTCCTTTCTTTAACAACAATCTTCTCTTTTAGGCGTTGGAATTGGCTGAAAAAGCATTGAGAAGAACTGACAACTTCCGGGTGATAGAGGAGAGACAAGAAATTCATTTAAAAGAAATTTATTTCAATGGAAACAAAAGGAGAGATGAAAAAATAACAAGTAAGAAAATTTTCTGATAACATGTGTTAAAATGATACCCTCAAAAGTAACTCACAAATGCAGTTTATTTTATTTTATTTTTTTTTTGTATTTTAGCTTCTCTATCTGAATCCAGTTCCGTTGACTCACTGCCTTCACCTCCTCCACCGATGAGCAATATGACGTCATCCCAACAAAATAATTTACATTCGGTTGAAGTTCCAACATATGCGTCATCAACGTGTTCTATGTCCACGGCTTCATCTGCAGCGGCGCCACACCGTCCCGTAGAAAACCTGATATCACCCGACGGGGGATATATCAGTTCCGAAATTCTATCACCCCAACATCAGCAACCATCTTCACTCCCGACACGACCCCTTCCGACAAATAGGTATCCACAACAAAATCAAACAAAGGGACCGGTTTCTGCTCTTCAAAAACAGAATTATCGATCGAATTCGCTACAGCGAACTCGCTCACAAAGAATGCAGCAAATGCAACAATATGAAGAATATCAACGTCAGAGGTCGCGGACGCCTAACCCATTCCCAACGCCGATGCAATTTGATAAACCTGGGTACGTACAGCCCCAAGCGGAATACGTCAACCAACAATATGACGCATACGGTGCGCAATATAACTATCAACAAGCATATCAAGACCCATATGGAAATAAGAATCCACAAACTTATGCGCCGGCACCCCTACAACCATACCAGACTCAACAATTTGCTGAAGCGCCATATCAATCTCAAATGCAATATCAACAATACGGACCAACGCCGGATCAGATGTTATATCAGGTTCAGCAGCAACAACAGCCGCAGCAAAAGCAACAACAATCTACGAAAAATCCCACCAGACAACTACGACGTCCAACAACCTTTTCACATAAACAAAATCACCCGTCTTCACCTCCATACCAAGGTAATTAGTTCACAAAAATACCAATAATCTCTGATTATTTGAGCTCTTCTATCGTCTAAAATGATTTCAAGAAAAATTTTCAATAAACTATATCAAAACAAAATCCGACATGTTAACAAATATGTTAAATTGTAGAGAAATTAGGCAATTCTGTGTCACCGTTCTACGATACAAAATACATTCATAAACTGTTAAAAAATTGTAATCAATCCTTTATTTTAGACTTTCCGTTAATTTATTTTTCTACTTTCAGATCCATCCCAAGGTATGTCGACATCATATTCTCCTTCTCCACTGGGTAACCCGACAAATGATGACGTCATGAGAAGGCGTCAGTCGGGGAAACAACAACAACAACCACAACAACAAAGCAATGACAAAAGTCAACGATTGAAGGACCAATATAGCAAGCTACAACAAATGCAAAGAAAGAACAAAATTGTTAGTATTCCTGTAATATTAATTTTGCCTTGTAGTCGTTTTTAACTTTCAACTGATTTGTATAATAGGGCACCATACAACTTTGTGAGAATTTATAATAAGAAAACACCACAATACTACCAAAATTTGCAGATAAAATCTTTGCAACAAAAATATTTTCTTGTTTTCACAGAATCAAGTTAAAAGACCGCCATCATCAAGATCTCAAATCGCGTCTCCGTCCCTTGTCAACAATCCCGCCAAGTCGTCGGATGTTTGATCCATCGAAAATTTCTGCCAGTTTGTTTCTTATATAGTAAACAAATTGGGCAACAACGATAACAGCACCGAAGCAAAGTTTGCGGGACAAGGCGATTGGAGAAGCGAGTAAACGCCGGTCAAAACTTGCTAGGATGGAATAGTTTGATTGATAATTTAGAATGATGGAAATGGATACCAAATTAATCGAATGTTTTATCATCAATTTCGAAGATAATTTAGTGTGTGCACAAGGAACGTGATACCTATTTGAAATGAATGTTTGAGATTGCAAAAATGGTTTGAGAATGAATATATATTAATTACATCGATTAATTCGAGTCATTTTGCATCTTTGCAAAGTCACGGAAATGTCGAGTTGTCGAAAACCTGTTTTTCCACTGTTTTACGCTGCTATTATAGGCTATGTACTAGAAAACTATGTTCGCTGGACGATTATTATTCTTATTATTAGATGCATAATAGAATATAACGTTATTGTATTTTGAATAATACTATTATTAGTCTTTAGGAGTAAGTTTCCTTTTCATTTTTTTCTCGTGCTATATTTTTAGAATTCAATAAATTGTCTTAAAAGTGACTCTGTGTATTCCTATTTTGAAAAGAAGAAGTTTTCGTTCCGAAGGTGGTGCAGCCTACTATATGTAGTGGGCGAATGGTTTATACCGAGCGTGTTGTTCCCCAATTATATGCAAAAGGCAATTCAGTGCTGCTAAATGTCAACTGGAAGTTGTCCACAAAATACATATTTGTAGAATGTTTGAAAAAATTATCAAAGCAAAATTCACACGAAACGAACTTAATAAAAGTTTTACAATTTTGTGTCATTCCGGGGGATGAGGTTAGTAGAATATAGTGTTCCAAGACATTAGGTGTCCATATCGTTGGTATAGAATTTGAAAACCGGAACACGTGCCCCATTTTTACAGATTTTCGATGAAAAATGTTTTTTAAGCCAGTGGGTAGTTTAAATATCTGATTTGCAGTAGCCTCAGTCTTTGTAACATAAAAATGAGTAGTTCTAAATATCACTCGCATGTGACGTGTTTTGTTTGCAGAGAGTATAAAACATAATATTTATTTGAAAATTGATATTCAAATATCTTAAAAATATTCGATTTCATTTCAAAATTTTTCCTGATAAACCTGACGTTGCGTAGTATGGAATGATAGTCCAGGAGAGGGATTCTACAAGAGATAAAAGTCCAATGAATCATTCAGTTAATATTTATAGCTGAATATATATGAATGAATATACATATATTTTTGCATATATACATAATTTGATGTAATCAAATTTCCTAAATTAGAAATCCCAACTGAACAACTCCTCTCGTCCGGTTATCAGTCTAAGACGGGCATTGGATTAATCAGCCAGTTATTTGTTCTGAAGCATGGACTTGCTGGTGGAAGAAGCCGCAGCTGATCAGTTAAGTGCACCACCCTTCCAGCAATCCTCTCGTACATCCTCTCATTCAGGGTAATGTTAGTGAGAGTTTGTTCGCTAACATAGCTGCTTCGTTCATCTGAATACCGGGTCACCCTTGTCCTCCAGCAGAACCCGACACGTATGGAAATGGGGGTATTTCGGGGAACAAGGATAAAAGCTTGATTGGAGTTTTGTGGTGTCTCGAAAAGCCGAAAAGGTCTTTATATTAACAGACATACTCGGTGGCGACGTTCAGCTGTGTTAGCTTAGCTATGTGTTGTTTTGCACATATATTTGTTAGTTCTATTACAACTGTCGATGACGGTTACATCTTAGATACGACTTTATGAAAAACTTGTTGTATTGCAACAAATGTCGAACGCTTTGTGTACTTACTTCTGAATAAATGCGTTCCAAGATGTTGTGTTTGACAAGCCATTATTTGTGGGTTGTTAAACTTTTTGACTCTCCATGCTGGTAGCATTACTGCTGCGGTCCTATATATATTCTAAATTGACTAAAATAGGAACATTCGTTTGGAACTAAAAATTGAACAATTTTCTGTAATATGCTGTTTCCATTTGGCTATTCCACGTGTCATATTCAGGATGAATGATAATTCATCTCGGACAGTGACTAGGAATTTCATTATAAAAATTTTAATTAATATTTTCGGTCGATTCCTATTCAAATATATGCACAGAGTTTATATATTTATTACTGATTGTGAAATGGTGTTTAATTTCCTATACCGATGTGTTATATTTCTCAGAAAAAGTCTCTTTTCGTCTGCAAATTCGAATAAACCTAAATTTGTAGGGTGTGTTTGACCGTAAATATATACTACTACGGTTTGACAAGCCACTATTTCATGGTTGCCAATATTTTCGAGTATTCATGCTGTTTTTATTGCTAAATGCCTGCTTGACAAATTGCCTAAAATATTTATATTAGTTTGGCACTAAAGAATGGGCATAGGGCGTTTCAGAATTTTCTGTAGCGCGTTAGGACCACATCGACAAGTCCTAATTAGTGGTTAAACCGACACCTCCTGAGTCCACATGGAAGCATGGTAGAATATTCAGTCAAATTTTATTGGAAAACGATTTTATATACAAATTAGTTTCAATTTGTTGAAATGCTCAATGTTGACTACTCTGTACTGTTTTTGTGAAAAGAAATAAATTTTTTTTTTCTTAAAAAAATGATTTTGTTTTCTTTGTTCGAATTTGAAAGCATCCAACCTATATTGAAATGACATATCGAGTCGGGTTCTCATCAAATTGCATCCTTCTTACCCAGTTGAACTATCCGTGTTATACAGCTGTGTTGAACAGTAGGCCTACTGAATTATGCATTAAGCAAAAAAGCAGGTGCTCGGGGTACCAAAGAAAGGGCGTCACTACAGCATTTTTTGTAGACGACCTACAATTGAATCCCAAAGAATGCATTTATTTTAGTAGCATAGAAACGAAATTAATTATAGCGTACTCTGCCTTGATTTGATTATATTTATTAATCATAATAATCCGAGGAAAAATGGTGGGTGACATCGACATAGGTCTGGAATGAATAGAAAGATACATCGCACTCGTAATCTAATGCGTTTATTCTTTAGTGCATGCGGTTGAATCTATGAAAAAGCACAACGCCGCACTAATTTCAACATTTTTTCAGAGGTGTTTTATAAATTTGGAAGTTGTGAACCAGATATAAGACGGTCAGTTTGCACAAGGGATATAATGAATCAAATTGATAAACCAAATGAGCTTTGATCATTTAAATTTAGAATTGTACGAATGTTAGATTCTTTTTTGGGGGGGATTTTGAAATATCCGAATTTGCAAATTGTTAATTTTGAGAATTTAATTTGGCACCAACCAAGTTGGGCCAAGCATGGGTTCATCAGATCCATGCAAATTAAATGCGAAAACAATAAAATTTCATGTTTTTCGCCTTTGTTGAATTTCACCAAATGAGATTTTTGATAACCGGATCACACATAAATGTAAACATTATTATCAAACATTACTATCAACTCAAATAGAGGGATGCAGAGTTTTAGTGAAAAAATCTCCTCAATCGTAATGTTGTAGTTTGAGAATTGCAAAATTACACGATTTTGTTCCTAACGACTCAATTTCGAAATTTTTGTCAATAAATTTTCGCGTGGTTAAACACAGAGGTCATCGTGCAACTGGCTACGCAGATCTAGTTTAACAAAACGGGAAAGCGTGCATTCAACAGTATTGTTTGCCGAAATACAGCTGAACTTATTATTGTTCATTTATTATATGTCCCCTAAATTGGATTTTTTTAATTTTGGTATTTTTGGCATTTCAACACTAGAATTCTGCCCTGGAAAAAGAAACGAGAAAGTATGTTTCAAACTTGCCTTAATAAACAACTTTCACTCACTGCCTTCACCTCCTCCACCGATGAGCAATATGACGTCATCCCAACAAAATAATTTACATTCGGTTGAAGTTCCAACATATGCGTCATCAACGTGTTCTATGTCCACGGCTTCATCTGCAGCGGCGCCACACCGTCCCGTAGAAAACCTGATATCACCCGACGGGGGATATATCAGTTCCGAAATTCTATCACCCCAACATCAGCAACCATCTTCACTCCCGACACGACCCCTTCCGACAAATAGGTATCCACAACAAAATCAAACAAAGGGACCGGTTTCTGCTCTTCAAAAACAGAATTATCGATCGAATTCGCTACAGCGAACTCGCTCACAAAGAATGCAGCAAATGCAACAATATGAAGAATATCAACGTCAGAGGTCGCGGACGCCTAACCCATTCCCAACGCCGATGCAATTTGATAAACCTGGGTACGTACAGCCCCAAGCGGAATACGTCAACCAACAATATGACGCATACGGTGCGCAATATAACTATCAACAAGCATATCAAGACCCATATGGAAATAAGAATCCACAAACTTATGCGCCGGCACCCCTACAACCATACCAGACTCAACAATTTGCTGAAGCGCCATATCAATCTCAAATGCAATATCAACAATACGGACCAACGCCGGATCAGATGTTATATCAGGTTCAGCAGCAACAACAGCCGCAGCAAAAGCAACAACAATCTACGAAAAATCCCACCAGACAACTACGACGTCCAACAACCTTTTCACATAAACAAAATCACCCGTCTTCACCTCCATACCAAGGTAATTAGTTCACAAAAATACCAATAATCTCTGATTATTTGAGCTCTTCTATCGTCTAAAATGATTTCAAGAAAAATTTTCAATAAACTATATCAAAACAAAATCCGACATGTTAACAAATATGTTAAATTGTAGAGAAATTAGGCAATTCTGTGTCACCGTTCTACGATACAAAATACATTCATAAACTGTTAAAAAATTGTAATCAATCCTTTATTTTAGACTTTCCGTTAATTTATTTTTCTACTTTCAGATCCATCCCAAGGTATGTCGACATCATATTCTCCTTCTCCACTGGGTAACCCGACAAATGATGACGTCATGAGAAGGCGTCAGTCGGGGAAACAACAACAACAACCACAACAACAAAGCAATGACAAAAGTCAACGATTGAAGGACCAATATAGCAAGCTACAACAAATGCAAAGAAAGAACAAAATTGTTAGTATTCCTGTAATATTAATTTTGCCTTGTAGTCGTTTTTAACTTTCAACTGATTTGTATAATAGGGCACCATACAACTTTGTGAGAATTTATAATAAGAAAACACCACAATACTACCAAAATTTGCAGATAAAATCTTTGCAACAAAAATATTTTCTTGTTTTCACAGAATCAAGTTAAAAGACCGCCATCATCAAGATCTCAAATCGCGTCTCCGTCCCTTGTCAACAATCCCGCCAAGTCGTCGGATGTTTGATCCATCGAAAATTTCTGCCAGTTTGTTTCTTATATAGTAAACAAATTGGGCAACAACGATAACAGCACCGAAGCAAAGTTTGCGGGACAAGGCGATTGGAGAAGCGAGTAAACGCCGGTCAAAACTTGCTAGGATGGAATAGTTTGATTGATAATTTAGAATGATGGAAATGGATACCAAATTAATCGAATGTTTTATCATCAATTTCGAAGATAATTTAGTGTGTGCACAAGGAACGTGATACCTATTTGAAATGAATGTTTGAGATTGCAAAAATGGTTTGAGAATGAATATATATTAATTACATCGATTAATTCGAGTCATTTTGCATCTTTGCAAAGTCACGGAAATGTCGAGTTGTCGAAAACCTGTTTTTCCACTGTTTTACGCTGCTATTATAGGCTATGTACTAGAAAACTATGTTCGCTGGACGATTATTATTCTTATTATTAGATGCATAATAGAATATAACGTTATTGTATTTTGAATAATACTATTATTAGTCTTTAGGAGTAAGTTTCCTTTTCATTTTTTTCTCGTGCTATATTTTTAGAATTCAATAAATTGTCTTAAAAGTGACTCTGTGTATTCCTATTTTGAAAAGAAGAAGTTTTCGTTCCGAAGGTGGTGCAGCCTACTATATGTAGTGGGCGAATGGTTTATACCGAGCGTGTTGTTCCCCAATTATATGCAAAAGGCAATTCAGTGCTGCTAAATGTCAACTGGAAGTTGTCCACAAAATACATATTTGTAGAATGTTTGAAAAAATTATCAAAGCAAAATTCACACGAAACGAACTTAATAAAAGTTTTACAATTTTGTGTCATTCCGGGGGATGAGGTTAGTAGAATATAGTGTTCCAAGACATTAGGTGTCCATATCGTTGGTATAGAATTTGAAAACCGGAACACGTGCCCCATTTTTACAGATTTTCGATGAAAAATGTTTTTTAAGCCAGTGGGTAGTTTAAATATCTGATTTGCAGTAGCCTCAGTCTTTGTAACATAATAATGAGTAGTTCTAAATATCACTCGCATGTGACGTGTTTTGTTTGCAGAGAGTATAAAACATAATATTTATTTGAAAATTGATATTCAAATATCTTAAAAATATTCGATTTCATTTCAAAATTTTTCCTGATAAACCTGACGTTGCGTAGTATGGAATGATAGTCCAGGAGAGGGATTCTACAAGAGATAAAAGTCCAATGAATCATTCAGTTAATATTTATAGCTGAATATATATGAATGAATATACATATATTTTTGCATATATACATAATTTGATGTAATCAAATTTCCTAAATTAGAAATCCCAACTGAACAACTCCTCTCGTCCGGTTATCAGTCTAAGACGGGCATTGGATTAATCAGCCAGTTATTTGTTCTGAAGCATGGACTTGCTGGTGGAAGAAGCCGCAGCTGATCAGTTAAGTGCACCACCCTTCCAGCAATCCTCTCGTACATCCTCTCATTCAGGGTAATGTTAGTGAGAGTTTGTTCGCTAACATAGCTGCTTCGTTCATCTGAATACCGGGTCACCCTTGTCCTCCAGCAGAACCCGACACGTATGGAAATGGGGGTATTTCGGGGAACAAGGATAAAAGCTTGATTGGAGTTTTGTGGTGTCTCGAAAAGCCGAAAAGGTCTTTATATTAACAGACATACTCGGTGGCGACGTTCAGCTGTGTTAGCTTAGCTATGTGTTGTTTTGCACATATATTTGTTAGTTCTATTACAACTGTCGATGACGGTTACATCTTAGATACGACTTTATGAAAAACTTGTTGTATTGCAACAAATGTCGAACGCTTTGTGTACTTACTTCTGAATAAATGCGTTCCAAGATGTTGTGTTTGACAAGCCATTATTTGTGGGTTGTTAAACTTTTTGACTCTCCATGCTGGTAGCATTACTGCTGCGGTCCTATATATATTCTAAATTGACTAAAATAGGAACATTCGTTTGGAACTAAAAATTGAACAATTTTCTGTAATATGCTGTTTCCATTTGGCTATTCCACGTGTCATATTCAGGATGAATGATAATTCATCTCGGACAGTGACTAGGAATTTCATTATAAAAATTTTAATTAATATTTTCGGTCGATTCCTATTCAAATATATGCACAGAGTTTATATATTTATTACTGATTGTGAAATGGTGTTTAATTTCCTATACCGATGTGTTATATTTCTCAGAAAAAGTCTCTTTTCGTCTGCAAATTCGAATAAACCTAAATTTGTAGGGTGTGTTTGACCGTAAATATATACTACTACGGTTTGACAAGCCACTATTTCATGGTTGCCAATATTTTCGAGTATTCATGCTGTTTTTATTGCTAAATGCCTGCTTGACAAATTGCCTAAAATATTTATATTAGTTTGGCACTAAAGAATGGGCATAGGGCGTTTCAGAATTTTCTGTAGCGCGTTAGGACCACATCGACAAGTCCTAATTAGTGGTTAAACCGACACCTCCTGAGTCCACATGGAAGCATGGTAGAATATTCAGTCAAATTTTATTGGAAAACGATTTTATATACAAATTAGTTTCAATTTGTTGAAATGCTCAATGTTGACTACTCTGTACTGTTTTTGTGAAAAGAAATAAATTTTTTTTTCTTAAAAAAATGATTTTGTTTTCTTTGTTCGAATTTGAAAGCATCCAACCTATATTGAAATGACATATCGAGTCGGGTTCTCATCAAATTGCATCCTTCTTACCCAGTTGAACTATCCGTGTTATACAGCTGTGTTGAACAGTAGGCCTACTGAATTATGCATTAAGCAAAAAAGCAGGTGCTCGGGGTACCAAAGAAAGGGCGTCACTACAGCATTTTTTGTAGACGACCTACAATTGAATCCCAAAGAATGCATTTATTTTAGTAGCATAGAAACGAAATTAATTATAGCGTACTCTGCCTTGATTTGATTATATTTATTAATCATAATAATCCGAGGAAAAATGGTGGGTGACATCGACATAGGTCTGGAATGAATAGAAAGATACATCGCACTCGTAATCTAATGCGTTTATTCTTTAGTGCATGCGGTTGAATCTATGAAAAAGCACAACGCCGCACTAATTTCAACATTTTTTCAGAGGTGTTTCATAAATTTGGAAGTTGTGAACCAGATATAAGACGGTCAGTTTGCACAAGAGATAGAATGAATCAAATTGATGAACCAAATGAGCTTTGATCATTTAAATTTAGAATTGTACGAATGTTAGATTCTTTTTTTTTGGGGGGGGGGGGGGGGGGGGGATTTTGAAATATCCGAATTTGCAAATTGTTAATTTTGAGAATTTAATTTGGCACCAACCAAGTTGGGCCAAGCATGGGTTCATCAGATCCATGCAAATTAAATGCGAAAACAATAAAATTTCATGTTTTTCGCCTTTGTTGAATTTCACCAAATGAGATTTTTGATAACCGGATCACACATAAATGTAAACATTATTATCAAACATTACTATCAACTCAAATAGAGGGATGCAGAGTTTTAGTGAAAAAATCTCCTCAATCGTAATGTTGTAGTTTGAGAATTGCAAAATTACACGATTTTGTTCCTAACGACTCAATTTCGAAATTTTTGTCAATAAATTTTCGCGTGGTTAAACACAGAGGTCATCGTGCAACTGGCTACGCAGATCTAGTTTAACAAAACGGGAAAGCGTGCATTCAACAGTATTGTTTGCCGAAATACAGCTGAACTTATTATTGTTCATTTATTATATGTCCCCTAAATTGGATTTTTTTAATTTTGGTATTTTTGGCATTTCAACACTAGAATTCTGCCCTGGAAAAAGAAACGAGAAAGTATGTTTCAAACTTGCCTTAATAAACAACTTTCAAAAATCGCGCATGTCACCCCAAAAATGATTTTTGTTTATTTATTATATGTTCCCCAATTTAAAATTTTTTGAAATTCTGACACTTTTTACACTTGAACACAAAATTCCTGCTTTAGAAAATTAGTCGAAAAAGTCGGTTTCAAACCCTACGTAAACAACGCCCGAAATCGCTTATTTCACCCCAAAAATGTTTTTGTTTATTTATTTATTATATGTTCCCTAAATTGAAGTTTTTTTTAAATTTCCAACTGGCATGACGTTATATCAAATTGCGCTGAAAGTTTCTACGTTTCGCCGAGATATCGTGGATTTATTTGAAGATTCCGCGTTGATGTTGGTGCAGAAATTTGTAATTTCAATGAAAGTTTGGTGTCGGGGTTTCAATTCTTTGAACGCCCCATATCAACCGAGCTGTCCAAATGCTTTACTTACAGAAGAGCAATACATAAAATTTTCATGTTGATATAATACAATTTCTCAACTAAAAACTCAAAATATTGCAAAAAACAATTGCACGCAGGACATCTTGAAGAGGAGTCATCAGTAGTTAAAAATGACTTTCCGATGATACGAGTTCGACATCGCTTATAATGAGTTACATGATTCTTTCGTTCGGGAATATCAAGGTCGACACAGGGTTTAAACCGAGAAGGGGTAGGTGGGAAGGCGGAGATTGGGTAATGCGCTAGTTTAGTAGATATAGCCCGTCTCACCGCCGTACGGTGCACTTCAAAAGTTTGTGTTGCCACCTGGTATTCGGCCGGGATAGAAACTTTATGTTAGTTGTCTGATGATGTTGGCACGACGTTTGATTTTTTCAGAATAAACAGAAAAAATCAATTATCGAGATCTGGAGGAAAAACGTCAAATCAAGGTACATTGTTTATTATTTCGGGCACTATAACTGTGAATATTTGCACCCCTACAACGAAGTTTATTGACTCAGGATCTCAATTACGGAAAAATAACAATCCTGATCAAGACCTATCGAATTTATTTTCATCGTACGTATCGCCGAGTGAGCTGAAAAAAATCTTCAAAAAAAAAAAATTTACGCCTGTACTAAATGAGATTTAAGACCTAGATGTGCATCTAGAGAAACTTTTCACTGCACAGAATAGAAAAGTTCGTCTTCACAATACTAGCAGTAGCTCAGAAGGGAATTGTGTCGTTATTCAAAATGATGACACGATTGATGAAGATGAATTGTCCTTACAAGATATCATGGGAGGTGAATGCGTGATTGTCGAAGTAAACAGAAGATCTAGAAATATAGAGGAATATTTTTTTTAAAAAGGTTCTAATCGAGTTTCTGTCGAAGCAGAACCCATTAGTCTCGTGTGTTTGCTTTGAATGAAGACGATGAGGCTTCACTCTCTCAAGAGGATATAATGTTTAGTTTACCTCAGCTAATCATTCTCGCAGAACCAGCTCGGAGATCTCTTCGAATTCTATTTGATTGCGATTTGAGTAAATAGGATATAAATTAGAGGTTGCGGGCACAACCCAGCAAATCGCTCCGTTAAATAAGTATTTTTTTTATTCTTAACTTTTGCATTATCCCAAATTTTGTTTTTCGATCTTTTGAAACAAGTAACATGTCATATTTGTGGCTCGTTTTATTTCATCCTTGGAGTAATTGCTAAATTTGGAATGATTATGTTGGGCAAAGGCGAAGAGGACAATTCTGTGGTATATATGATGTGAGAGATGTATCAATGAATAAATAGGTCGAATCAGTACGGCAATTTCTCAAACAGAATTTCTGGTAGACGTAAAACTCACTAGCACCTTCCTAGCACCTATGCACAACGAAACGTCTGCAAACACTACGATAATTTATTTACTGAAAGTTGATGGTCATTTTTTATACGACACAGTTACAAAGCAATTTACGATGCAATTAATTCAAACATTTTAATAAACCCTTGGCAGTGTCCTGTGACACGCCATTTATGCATCTGAATGACAGATATCAACAGTTTAAAACATACTTTATCAATTCTTTTTTTAAAGCAAGACTATAGTGATGTAATTCAAAAATATCAGATTTTAAAAAAATTACTATTTGAGAACATGTATATTATAAATACACAAAAAACATTTTTGGGGTGAAATATACGATTTTGATCGTTGTTTACGACAAGTTTGAAACATACTTTCTCGATTGTTATTTAAAGCAAGACTCTATAAATGTAATTCAAAAACATCAGAATTTGAAAAAATTCAATTTGAGGAACTTATAATAAATAAACAAAAAACATTTTTGGGGTGAAATATGCGATTTTGATCGTTGTTTACGGCAGGTTTGAAACGTACTTTTTTAATATTTTTCTATAGAAAGACTCTGGTGTTGTAATGCAAAAATTATCAAAATTTAAAAAAATCCCAATTTGGGGATATATAGCCTATATTATAAATTGGCATAAACCACTTTTGGGTGACATATGCGATTTTCGGTAGTGGTTTACAGCAAGTTTGAAATATACTTTCTTGATTATTTTACCATAGCACGATTCTAGTGTTTAAAATCAAAAAAAATTTTAGCATATAAAAAGATTCCGATATGAGGAACATATAATAAATCAGTAAAATTGTCAAACGGTGCATTTGGTTTCAGGCAGTTTTTTTAACTACCAAAATTTTAATTCTGAAAATTTTGCTTCAAAAATTGTGTCACCGAGATGATAATACACCAAAACTATACACCGATTACGCCACCTATCGGTGGGAGTTAGTTGTATGATGCAGCTCATTATCATATTATGGGAATTCCCCTGATATACTTGCTATCAACAAGCCGTTACACTAGGTGTGTAGTAAAGTATTTTAGCTTCAATGTGAGGATATTATTCAGCATTTTCGATATTTCTATGTTCAGATATAGACTATCACTCATTTAAGAATAACATATTAAATTATCTAACATGGGGGACAGCCCTTCAAAGCCACCTGAGTCTCGCCACAAAACTGATGTGAGACCGCAGTCGTCATCTCAAGCAAGTCACATAAAGACAAAAGCAGAATATCAGGCGAAAGAAGTAACACCGGAAATTGCTTTTTATTTGCCGGAGTATGCGAAAGATACTCGACTGTTAAAATGTGTAGTGTTAGGAGGTGGGAATCGAGGACAAGAATATGCAACATATTCAGCAGATTTTCCACATTTGGTAAGATTATGATTAATTCTCTTTCCAATACTTTTTGATTCAATCTTGTATGTTGACTACTACCGTACGGTACTCACTATGGTATGTTTGTAATATATTATAAGAGAGAAGAGTGATATGCAATGTTTCCTCTAATTTTTTTAGTATGTGTGCGCAGGAATTTTGGTGTGTGCGCGCACTTTTTTGGAAATGACTAATATTTGTGCAAAAACCAATGAAAAAATTTTGGCGTTCTAACCGGGTAATGGGTGGGCCAACAACAAACTTTCTCAACCTGCCAATCAAGAATATTGTTACATTACATCGAAATACGTCTTTGCGCAGTAAATCTATACGTGTGCGCAGCCTCTGAAAGCTGTGTGCGCGCGCACACTTTAGAGGGAACACTGGTGATATGTACCAACAAATTCTTTCCTACTAAGAAAAAAAAGGACAGCACGAAACATACACGTCTTTAATTAATAAAACTGGCATTATGAAACTTTATCAACAATCAAAATTTGTCTTAAATATTCTTATTTATCTTCTCCAACATGCTATTTACTGGTATTTATCATTAATACCAAGTAATGATAACTTTGTATGCAGCTTTTATTATCTAAATGAGGGATTACAAAATGTCAATCAGTACTTTTTAACTTTTATTCACACGAACAATTTAATATAAAAAGAATGTATGCTAAATACCAGACCCACTATCCTAACTCAGGGTGTAATAAATTGGATAGATAATTCCACAACGGGAAGATTATAATATTCCTAATCATGATGTTTTTTTTGCAGGTTAGAATTGTTGCTATAGCTGATCCTAGGCCGCATGTTCGAAAATTGTTTGGAAGGAAATATGGTATACCAGATGACATGCAATTCAAGGGTAATTTTGTTTCTGATTCAACTGATTATCTGCAATCTTTTTATGAAAAATCCTTTCTTATTCTGGTGAAAAATTGAAATTTCTGGCCATGTTTATGGAGAAGCCGTGTACTATAAAATCCATTACATACTTTTAGAGTAATACGAAAATCTTCAATTTTGTGAAAGCAAAAAATTAGAATGTCACTGACTGACTTTTTGATGTTTCTGAAATAATAGCAAAGAAAAGCATTTGATTATTATGCGAAACATGTCTTTAAAAATCTATCATGTTACGGTAATTTATTTATACAAACCTCTTTCCTTCAGATTGGAGCGACATAGTTGCGTTGGATAAGATTGCAGATTTTGTTTGTATCTGTACTCCAGACAGATTACATAGAGATCCTGCTGTTGCGTTTGCAAGGAAGAAATACCATATATTATTGGAAAAACCTATGGCTGTAAGTTTAGAAAATTTGCGAATAGCTCAAATATTACCAGTATATCATTTTCTATTCAAATTTTTATTTCATTTTAATGTATTAAAATTTTAACTAATGTTTTATAAATTATAATGGAACAGTCATGTAAGAGAACAGCCGACACGTTCCAAATTGATTGTGTAGAGTGGAGAAAGCCTTTTTAGCACTTGTTATAGGAGCCCAGTCTCTAACAATTTATTATATCTATCAAATCTATTATATTTTTATTAAATTATTTATTTTATGATCAATACTTATCATGATTCGCATATATAATATAGATATTAGATTTGGTAGTGTAATTAGGAACAAATGCCCAAAAAAATGTTCTGAATACTTTTCTTGAGTATTGGATGATATTCAAACAAGTTATCATGTCAATTGTCAACTAAAATACTAATATTTAACTCAGTAGTTATTATCACACTGGTAATTAGAATATAAATTTACATAACTAATTAGTTAGTATATTTCCTTTTCAGACCACTAAGCAAGATTGCATCGCAATTGTGAAAGAATGTAAAGAAAATAAAGTAATGTTGACAGTATGCCACGTTCTTCGATATTATCCGCCCAACAAAAAGATCAAAGAACTGATAGACTCTGGTACTATAGGAGATGTTGTTAACATACAACATCTTGAACCGGTAAGATTTGTGACAATTAAAATGCATTTTTCCAGATGCTTTGCCTGCTTGAAACAAGGGTACTCCTGAAGTATGTGAACCAAGATGGCGGACACCAGAATGTAATATGTCTACCATGTTAGGGTTAAGTCCTAATTTTATTCCAACATCCTTATTTTAGTTCTATTACGAGTTCGGGGACTAGCCAAGTGATTCCTGTAGTATTTGTACCTGAAATTATGACCTAACCTTAATCTGGTATACATACTACGTTCTGGTACCCGACATCTTGGTTCACATATTTCAGGAGTACCGAACCAAGTTTGTATCGACATAAAAATTTAAATTTACATGCTGAGAGCAATATTCAAATATTTTTATACTAGTTAGAATACGACTTCCTATGATTCAATTATTATTATATATTTATTAGCAAACGACCAAAAATGATTTCAATATAATTTAGGTAGTACACAATGATGTATTTTAACATTTAAAATATTGACATTTACATGAGTTTTTTCTTTATTAAAACATAGTTTTTTTGGTGCTCCCGAAGTATGCGAACCAAGATGGCGGACATCGGAACATAACATGGGTAACAGGTTAGGGTTAGGCGGTAATTTTTTTCCAATTTTCCTCATTTTAGTCCTATTATCAGTTCTTTGTCTCAACACTTTTGTATCCAATATTTATCAATACCCAATTTTATCATGAATCATGTCTGCCGAATGTCGTTTCTTTGTTGACATCAGATAGGATGAAAGCATGAAGTTTGATGCAATCTTGATTGATTATTCTTATCGTTTTGACCACGATGAAGCCTAGACCAGTGGTTCCCAAACTTTTTTGACCATCGCCCCCCTAAAGTAGTTTATACAACTTCATCGCCCCCCAGCACTACAAAAAATGTAAAGTCAGAAACGAATATATTACAGACCAAATGAGAAAACAAATCATAGTTTATAGTGTTTGTTAATGAGATGGATGAGCTTGGTGTTCTTCAGCAAGTTTTTTATTAGTAGCACGGCTCAAAAACCCTTTTTCACCATATATTAGGTCGGAAATGAAAGAATCCAGGGTTCTATCTCCTCAAAAAACGTCGTGTACTCTTGCCTTATAGCATTTCACTTCCTAAATTCACCAAATTTCACATTAAATTAATGAAAGCAAAGTTAATTTTTGCATATATTTTTTAAAAGTTAAAAACGGAACAACGCGCGAAAACTGAGACAATTCGTGAACTCAACTCAGTCGTCTTATTAAAAAATATTACAATGACATTTAATGTGACACTGTCATGTTGATGCATCAAGCTTGATAGCTTTACGACGCCAAGATTGGAACATTTTCTAAATGGGCATCACTAATCCCAGGTCTTCGCTTGTTCTTTGTAATGTCTCCATTTTCGAAAAAAATTTTCGCACAAAAATATGTACTTCCAAACATCTAAGTGAATATTCTTGCATGGTTTGTGAAAGTTTGATAAAGATTTTCTTTAGGAAGATACTTTCTTACAAAAATTACGCAGTGATGAATCTCTCGAATAGAATATGAATTTTAATTCCTTATTGCATTGCAATATATTCGAGTACTTACTGCGCTATTGAACCCCTGCCCTCAGCATCAACTTTTTTTTCCTCGTGTTTCCATTTGTCTAATTATAATTAAATTCTAGGCTCGTTAAACGAGTAGCTAGCTGTTTAATAAATTTTTAGGATATAATAAAATTTAGTCTAAACGTGTCTCACGATAAATTCTGTTACGTAAAAAAATGTAATTTACTCCTCGAGCGTAGATTATAAATAAAATAAATTCATCGTCAAAACCGCCGTTTGGATGTTTCCCTGGGCATAGACCTTCTTGCTTACATCGTGACATTGGCCAATCAGCAAGATGCAAAAATAAACGTAACAATGCCCCCTTTCGCAATCGCTCAGACAGACTTTCAGGCGTGGTCGTGAACATTCCTCATTTTTGAATTAAATTCGTTAGTTTTTAGTTGTTTTTCGGAAATTTAAATAAAAATCATATAAGTCAATGATTACTTTGTCCTCCTATGAGTTTCAGTTTAAATACGGTAATCAAAAATTGGTGTAGAAATAGCTGTGATAGACTATAGGCTAAATTTTTTTATCGGTTCTTTTAAAAAACAGATTGTTGAATGGTATGAATTAGAATGATAGTTTGAAACAAATACCCTATTTTACAGGCAAACACTCGCGAAACCACTCTTAAAAATAAGCACCGAAAATTTAAAAATGAAAAAGTATATAGGAAGAATTTTACGCGGTCAAAGGTCGGGGAGAGGTCTATTCAGTGAATCGTCCCGGGCCATATTTTTTTACTTAAGCCGTATTTTGTCGACCACTGGGATACGCCAACTACCGTACCTTACTGCGGAGACGAGTCCAGAAATCCTTTCGCGTGTGATAATCGACCACGTGAATCAAGTCTGCGAATGCACACAGCGTAGGCTACAGAATTGAGTGCACGATACGCAGAGCAATAACAGATTTCGCGAAATCGCCCCCCTATCGCCCCCTTCGACTTTTTCGCCCCCCTCTGTATCGTTTTCGCCCACCGGGGGGCGATATCGCCCACTTTGGGAATCACTGGCCTAGACCACCTCGTCTTTATTAAAAGGCTTTCTTCTATCGTACTTTTGTAACTTGTCCCTACAATAAGTTTTCACTCATCATCTGTTTTCTTTTCGCATTTTTTTCTTGCACAATCTTAGTTAGGTGGAACGTTATAGCTGTTTTCCTGAACATACTGAATTACACTGCTTCAAGTCTCGTGTAAAGTGGATTCTTTGTCACAAGTATCACATTATAGTTTGATATAATTTCTCTTTCTCTTGGCATTTCGGTAGTCACACGTAACTTTTCTCATAGATGAGCCTGTTTCTCTTTGGAGCGAGTGTGGCATTTCATAAGTCACCCATAATTTTTGGGTGTTTTTTGGTAATTTACAACACTTAGTATACAACACTTCTGAGTGAATTACTCAGTATCTGACAGATTTTGAAAGAATAAAAAAAGGTTACTTTTTATCTCTAGATTGGAAATTGGCATTTTGCACATTCTTATGTTCGAGGAAATTGGGGGAACACTGCTGGAAGTAGTTTCTCACTTCTTGCTAAGTCTTGTCATGATATAGATTTAATTTCATCCTGGATGAGTCAGCAGAAAGGAAGTGGTGACAAAGCATCTTGTGAATGCACAGGAGTGTCATCATTTGGATCTTTGATTCATTTTAAAAAAGAAAACAAGGTAATACTTGATTATACATAGTTTTTTGGTTTCTAGGCATGTTGAGATTTTTTTCTCTTTGCCACTTAATTGTGAAACTGTGATGAGGTATTTAGTATTCTTGCTTTTGCAGTTATATAATGTAGGTAGGTTACATATATCGTGAATCATTTTTATAAAAGTATTTCTTCAAGCTCACTAAAAGCTAAATCTTAATTGCTATTACTGGTACGGTATGTCTCTTTACCGGGTGTTTTTTAATATTACACTTTTCATGTCTTCACTCTGAACAAGGTTCTATACAATCAGTCGCTGCCAAGGTGGGCATGGAATTCGAACCTCAGATGCCCCGCCCCCAAGCCTTTATTCACCCACTTGAAAACAAGCTTGTTTGAATCGGGTCAGTAAAGATCCACTCAGATATCAAAACCATATGTTTATATTTGTTTGCATAGGATCCCTTGTAATAAATCTGTTTTTAAACATATCTTACCAACACAACATCATATCTGATCAACACTAAATCATATCTGATTAACAATAAATTGGTATTGTAGTGACTAGTGGTATATAAAAAAAATATGACTGCTTTAACTTTGGAAATTTTTTTTAAATATTCTGTGCCTGTTATGCGATTATCTTCACTATATCTGAACAATATTGCCTGAATCATTTTAACCAACGAACAATGAAGTATTGAAAAGGTCACTGAAAGATTCAATATTGTATTTATATTCATCTCATTTTGATTCCGAGCTTTTCAATATAAAAATAAAATTGTGATTTTTATTTTGCAGCCAGAAGGTGCTGGTGATAGATGTTTCGAATGTTCAGTGGAGAAGTCATGTCCATATTCTGTATCGAAGATATATCTTGACAGGGCAAAACATGGAAACTGGGGTTGGCCTGTTTCTATTGTAACTGATGTAGAGGATATTGCAGTGTTAACTGATCGACTCCAGAACGGTCCTTATGGAAGATGTGTTTATGAATGTGATAATGATGTCTGTGATAATCAGGTCAGTCTTTCTTATTTATTTGTAGTGCAAAATCAAGCCTAAAAAGTAGGAGTATCAGTAATTAGGTTTATTAAGAGTGATAGTACCAGTAAAATTTTACTTTTCCCTAAACTCTTTCCGTCATATACGGTATATATCTATATAATTTAGTTACAAATAATTGAGATTGTTGTTTGTAGAGACTATTATGAGAAACAGTGGGACTCCCATAGTATGTGAACCAAGATGGCAGACACCAGAACGTAGTATGTGCACCAGGTTAGGGTTAGGCTATAATTTCAGGTACAAATACTACGGGAGTCACTTGGTTATTCCCCGAACTCGTAAAAAAACTAAAACAAGGAAAATTGGAATGAAATTATGGCCTATCTCTAACCTGATACACATACTACGTTCCAGTGTCCGTCATCTTGGTTCGCATACTACAGGATTCTTATAACAGTGTTACAAGCTGGTATGACTATAGCAAGTCGAATATCTGAATTGATTCAAAGTGGTTATACTTGATATAGTAAACTCTTTATGTTATGAATAATATAAAATATTTTCATTCAAGCATTTGTTATTTTATATATTTGACATCTAATGAAGAGATAAAAATAGGATTCGTATAACTTCCGACAATGTATAAAATTTAAAATCGAAGCAAGTCAAGCAACAATTTTATTCGAACCATTGTATGTATTTACATAAATATAGAAACAGATGCAGGGTACATTTTGCATTACTAAACTTTTTAGGACTTACCTATACTTTTTAATATAGCATTGAGCCTCAAATTCTGAATACGTTCTTAGTGGTGTATCAGAGACAGAGAGATGCATGAGCCAAATATAATTCATTAATAATCTAATACTGTAAATGTTATGTCGAAATATTTCTTTCAGTTTTCAGGAATATTATGTTTTTAATACATTGTATTCTGGATCCTTTACAGTCAACAAATATTTATATGAAATTTTTAGCATTGAGTAATATTGTTTGCAAATGGAACCCATAGTAAAATTATTTTATCGTCCTATAAGAAAGTCTTTATTTCTACCATCAAGATTGTAAATTCTGTTTACTCACAGGTTGTGAATTTCCAATTTAGTGGAGGACAAACAGCATCTTTTACGATGGTTGCATACACTGAAAGTATATGCTCGAGAAAGACAAAAGTATTTGGCACCAAGGTACAATCTATGAATAAATAGGATGTTTATAAAGTCTCGAAAATTGTAAAGGGAATTTATCGACACCATATATTGTTTTGGCCCTCACAGATGTATTAAATGAAGTAAAAATACTTGAACAATTACTGATTGAAAAACAACAAACCTGGTTGAGATATATTGAAAACTGACTTCATGACAAAATTGAAACTGTAAAGGGACTTTATGGACATCCTGTATAATGCTCTATTAAAGTATTACCAGAAGGGCAAAATCTTTGTGCGTATAATGAAAGCTTATTATAAAGTGTTAAACAAAATTTTGGTATTCTAGCGATCACCTTGCCGATACTAACTGTATTGGCATCGCAGTTTCAAGATCTGCAGTTTAAATTCCATTCCCATCACCTTTCTTAACGATGTATAAAAAGTAGTCTCAGCCAAACTGTCTCTATCACAATAATCGAAACCTGTGCAATGTACATGTAGTATTCAAAAGAGCCCTCTATTAAATAGGCCCTTGCTCAGAGTGAAGGTGTACATAATCTTATCAATTATACTGGCACACGGAATTCTTTGTAACAATATATATTGTCAAGTCCATGCTTCGAAAACAAATAACTGGCTAACTAATCCCATACCCGACATGGACTGGTAACTGGACGAGAAGCTGTGGTTCGCCATATGATTAAGTCGTCTTATCGACTTTCCTTTCCCCGGGATAAATATGTAAGTCCCACCCTATCCTCTTTTTTAATCACTCAAAACAGGGTGAAATATCATATGTTGGGGGATCACACGTGAAGCATTATGATTTCTTGACCCGAAATACAAAGGAATATCATTGTACTGCTGGATTGGGTGAAATGACAAGAATGAGAGGACACAGCGGTGCTGATTTCCATCTTATGGATGCTTTTGTGAGAGCGGTTATGGTATGTTTTACTTATCATAATTTAAATAGACGTTTTATACATTATGCCTGGCATTAGAGATAAAGAGGAAAAATTGTACTGGATAACATATCAGAATTGTAACTGGACTCTCGATTTTCTTAGATTTCACCCTTACAAAGCATATCTAATGACTTCCAACATTTAAATTTATCTTGTTGAAATGGGGTTTCAACATACATTGCTTGATCGAATATAATATGAAAGCATCGGAATAGTTTTTCTTCAAATTTGACATGACAAATTTAGCAATTATGTTTCTTTGAGGACTGGAAATGACTAACCAGTTATTGCTTTCAAATTTAATTGTAATAATTTTACCTTCTGTGTGAACTGGAAGTGTCAGAGCACGGTGTTGTATTTTTCGAACTTCTCGCAGTCAGAATTTGAAATTCTCAAGATTCTATGTTGAAATTTCAGCTTTTTAATAGAGATATTTGAGTTAAAATGTCTGAAACTTGACTAAGCATTTTCAACAAACCGTTGAAGGATTTTGCTTTTCTCAACTTCGGGATATAAAGTCGAAATTTATCTCAACCTGAAATTGGCAGCTGGAATCAAAAAATTTATGAACCATGAGCTAAAGCCCGGAGTACTATTTTATATCAAAAATTTGCTCATCTCCAAAGTTTTGTATATACTGCCCTCTTAGTTTTGGACTCAGCTTATATGGGAGGATATATGGATAATCTATTTCTAGCTCTAGTTGCGTTAATCTGTCAACAATTTGTTCAATCCAGGCGATTTTTAGAGAATTACATTTTAAATCTATCATTTCACAGTATAATGACCCAAGTTACATCCGAAGTGGACCTGATGAAACATTGAAAAGTCATATGTTAGTATTTGCTGCAGAAGAGTCAAGATTAAAAGGGGAAACACTGAAAGTATCAAGTGATGGAAACTGGTCATAGTCAGGCGATTTACAAGACTTTCATTGAGGAGACCATAATTTTCCTTATATAAATTGTTTTAAGACATTCATATAAATCTAGCATAATCTTTCTCTGTAATAACGAGTTTATTTGTCATTACTATCATCGACATGTCATAATGCATCGTTTCCAGTTACATAACCTCACAAATCACAATCCAACGTCCATTTATGCTTCCTTGGGGACAAAATTCAATTTGATAAGTACGGGAGATCCACTACATATACTGCAATCTGACATAGCTGTACTGCATCCCTTCATTCATATTGAAAAAAAGCAACGAATATGAATGACCTGAGTGATGACGATGATTCAGTTTTTATTGGACACAAAGTGTACTTATTATATTGTAGTGTCACTATATTGTTGTTCTTGTTGGTATTTTTTTTCATATCGTTATGAAAAATTGCTTTTTCAATCGCTTTTTCTAGCAACTTACTGGACCAATTGCTTTGAAATTTCTAATGGTTAGAGATTGTATTTTTTGCAAGAAAGCTATTACTTTTATTTATTTCAAATATTACTGTGAGCTCTATAGGATTCGTATTTAATGTGCGATGAGGTCATTGAAATTAAAAATTGCACATCTGTGGCGGTTTCTCTATGGTATAGAATAAGTCGTGAACATTGCTGGCCTACCCGTAATATAATGTGACATATTTCATACCCGTACTATTTCATCTTGGCTTTTGTGTTCATATATTTGAGCATCGCTCTCTTGCTACATTTACTAGTTTTATTTTCTCCACTTTATATCTTACTTTAAACTCGCACATTGTCACCATTATGTATCGTTGACTACTCGAGTCCTTCCTTTTCACTATAAAGTACTACTTTCAATGTTATGACGTTTCAACAATTCTTTAATTCAATTCAAATATGTATATGCAAAAATCCCTATTAAATTTTTAATTATACAAATATAAATCAACATAGTATATGTAAGGTATCAAGTTTTAAAGGCGACGGCGATGAACAGTAATAGAAAAGACCGTCTTCCTCGCTGAACGACTATTGTCCCAATATACAACATAAAAACAGTCAGAAATAGTAACACCACTCCACACTTTTTGTATTGCAAGTATTCAGATACTCCGATTAGATTAGATTAAAATGCAGTGTAAGTGAAGCGATATATACGAAGTGAATATGATGAATAAACAGGCAACTAAAAACACGAGACAATTACATACGAACGTAAAAAAATGTACAACGTAAAAGCGTCATACAGCAGAACGAGAGAACTAACGTATATGCATTGAAAAGAGACTTAAGACATACGTATTACGTTAAAAAAAAGAAATTTACGTAGTCAATTTCTTTCACACCAAATATGGAGCGAAAAAATGTACATCATCTGATCAGGATGAGGGCAATTCAGCTGGAGCTTGGGAAAATACAATAATTGAAATACATTATGCAAGGTTCCATTACATTTGAACCCATGACAATTGCACCTGTATGCTATTGCACCTATGGAATTTTTTTTGTTTCACGGATAGTTAAACCCATACTAACCCTAACCCATGGGTTTTAGCACCCGCATATAGATTGAACCCGTGGATATACGCATGGGTTCAAATGTACATGGGTTCAAATGTACGGTCACCATTATGCAATAATAGGAAAATTCATACTTAAAAAATGATTACATTGTAATAATGAAAATTGAAGCATGAGAATACAATTGAAAAAAATTTCCACGCAATAATATGAAAATACTGAAATAAAAATAATAAAACAAAATTAATAAATTCATCTAAACGTGTGGGTAATATAGAAACACAAGGTTTGGGAATTTGTTTCGAAGTGTTTGGAATATTTCATTTGTTGAAGTAATTGGGATATCGGGTACACCACGACAAACAAAGATTTCCTAATATTTTCATCAACTGGTTAATTCAGAAAATTCTGATTTTTAAAAACTAATAATTTTGTGGCCATTCCATGAGTGAGGAATCCTAGTAGTTTCACCAATAGGTACAGAAGGAGTACAAAGCATTACTAAATCATTTACTTGAAAATTGTTAGAAATAGCTGTTTTATTATACTTTTTTTCTGCTAATTTACGAAATTTCTCAAGACGCATTCGCGCCAATAAAGCAACGGAATCTTTTCTAGACATAACATCTGATAAACTATCAATTTTACGAGAATTTCTTCCGTGAGAATTATCGCTTGTCGGGTCTGTTGAATTTCTCAGGTCAAGGGAGTATCGTTTGGTTTTGGTACAATTCCGTGAGCCAAAGTAATGGGTGGAATATAAGTCGAATCGTGTATGGCAGTATTGTAAGCATAACATGGCAATGGTAAAACAAGATTCCAATTTTAGTCAATATTTACTGAAGTTGTCAATCATCGGAAAATGTATTTATTACCGGTATTAGACTTTGAAATCGTGAGAACCTGCTATAGAAGTAAATTCGCCAAGTAAATGATTTTTTTAACTTTCAATAAGAACGGACCAGGGTTCGTAATACGAACAGGTATTTGGGCATCGATTGAACAAGAAACAAAATTTGAAACAAGAGCCGACTCCTTTTGCTGCAAAGGTAGTCTATTTTTGAAATAACCAAAAATACAAGTCGGTTCCACTCAACTTATCTAAGAAAATGGGTTGAGAATCTGTCTCCGTAATATTATCAGTGCGTATTTCGGTGTGTTCCTTATCAACACCCTTCAAAATTCCCATTAAAACGACAGTTTTAGAAGGTCGAATTACAACTTCATCTATTGACGACACTTCGTAAGTGCGTCTTGGATATGGGATAGTTTCACGTGCTAAATAAACGCAGCTTTCCCGCTTCTAAGACTACAGTTATTGTAATCAATAATGCAGCAATGGTTAGTTTGCCAACCCCTTTCGTGTTTAACACTGAGTTAACATAGCATTGGGACTATTTATCGTCTTCAAGCTTCATATCACGATATTTACGTAAAACTTTCTTCAAGACAAAACAATTCTCATCTGTATGGTTGGTTTTCCTACAATAACCACAACCATCAGTCTTGCGTGGTTCTTGTGTGTCAGAGAAATCACTTCTGCCACAACCTCGGTTACATGAACCGCGACCTCGGCGGCCATTTTGTTTTTCGCGATAGTTTTGGTGCCCGGAATCGCCATTTCGTCTACCGCTATATCTTGACTTTGAGCTCGTCGTATTAATTCGCAAGTTTTGTATACCTTTTAGATCCATATAATCAGCTGCATACTCTTTAGTCTTAGTTGCTGTATCCGTTAAACATACAATAGAAAAGGTTTATCTAAAGGTCCAACCGTTCTCAAAAATTCTTGAGCTTTGGTGTTTCTAATGCCATTCACAAATTTTTCATATAATAAATTTTCTGTAGCTGGTGATTGTCCATAGGCCAAGTGAGCCAAAAGTTCAAGATCTCGTGCATAATCAATATAACTCTCGCCCACTTGCTGTAAGCGATCTCTGAATTTCTGTTGGGGGTTACTTTCACCAGCTACACTACAAAACTGTATCAAATGTTGCAATATAACATTAGAGTCGAAACTATCCTGGACCGGGATATTAAATTTCAAATGGATAAGAACATCAGCATCAATGAAACCATATAAACAAATTGCTTTTGCAGGGTCATCCCTAGCTCTAGTGTGGGACATACATGAATTGAACAAAAGTGCAAATTTGTTCGGGTCATCCCCCTCATGGAAAACTTTGAAAATACGGTTAAGGGTCTTTGTTGCTGAATGAGCAATCTCGTAAAATTCATGTGGAATATAAGGACTAGGTCCCACAGTAGTACCCGGTACAAATCGTAAAAAAGGTTGTTGAATAGATTGTTGTTGGTGGGATTGTTGTCGGGACCCAGGAAAAAATGGATTTTGCGGAGAAACCATAGAAGCGTTACCAGGAATATAAGATGAATAACTTTGGCAGTACATTTGATAAGGAATATTTCCATACAACGTATTTGTAGATCGACTACTAGGATAAACAACACTAGGTAAGGACGTCGTATTAACGCGTCTAGAAAAGGTTCTAACAATTTTGGTATCGTTACTCATAACACTTGGTGATGTTACACTCGTAGAAAAAACAGAATGGGTAACAAAAGTATTAGACATACAGACATACCTGGTACAATAACTTGTTCTTCTGAAGTCGACCGCACGTCTTCTCAATTTGATTTACTTTTGATTTTACGCGGAAATTTTTTGCACTGTGTTTCTGTGGAGCGATAGTTATTGAAGTATTCAAAATACAAGTACTTGCAGTTGTTTCAAAAATGTTCTTAGGTTTTCTGTTGCGTTATTCAGTACACCACAACATATATTATCAATGTATTGTTCTTTCACTGACCGGTTCGTCGCTTCTCAATCCAGATTCGCCCAAATTAAAAGGACTAATGTTCTTCGCCGGGATTTGACAAAGCGGACTGTCCAACTCTTCTGAAGTTGTCACGTCTGATGGGGGAGATGCAATTTGACTCTTTCCTTTGCCTGGTAAGGTGCGATTGTATCCTGGGTATGGATTTCTTGAGCGAATACAATTCAAAAATTGTTGTTTCATTAACTCTGGATCAGTTAGACGTGGTAGTGATATTGAATAAGGGTAAACCGTTTGATCAGGTTGCTTTATTACTTTGTCTGTATTGCTAGGTTGAGAGCAACACTTACTTCGGCCAAAACGTTGGCCACGCATTAGTCCGACGAGCAACACTAAAATTCCAAGAATTGCTACTAAAATGTTTACCGCAGATAGGATAATCAGTCTATCAATGGAAATAGTACACTTCTCGTCTTCCATCAAGATAGTCTCTTCGAAGAATAGCACGAGTGGTCGGGGAAATAACGAACGTGACAACCAAAAAACAATCGTTCCACCAAGTTTGAGAACCCAAGACGGCATCGAAAAAAAACGTATCAATCGTGATTCTTTGTCACAGTTGAGTTTTGTGATAATATTGTGTCAGTAGAAGTGAACATTAAGTGGAGTCTTTCAAAATCGCAACAAAGCACTGGCCGTCATATATTAAGCAGACTCCAAAATATTCGTCAAAAGACTCCAAAAGACCGTCTTCCTCACTAAATGACTATTGAACTGTCATTGGAATACTGGCAAAATACCCAGTTTTTCTGTTGTCACAATATAAAACATAAAGCAGTCAGAAATATTAACACCGCTCCAACTGTGCACTGGTGTATTGCAAGTGTTCAGATACTCGGATTAAATTCATGCGCAGTCTAAGTGAAGCAATATATACGAAGTGAATATAATGAATAAACAAACAATTGAAACTAAGAGACAATTACATAATGACGTAATAAACGTACGACGTAAAAGCGTCATACGACAAAACGAGAGAACTAACGTATTGAAAACAAACGTAAGACTAACACAAGCAAGTGCAAGTGCAAACAGACCTCCCAGACCTCCTTCTCCCTGACAAATAAAGATGCTAAGTATGACTACTTACCTACAAGTATTCGATTCTTATCGGATTCCTAAATTTCCGATTTCGGATCTTGATTTCTCGACATAGCTTACCGGAGAAAACTTACCCACTTAAACAAACCATATATGAAATCAAACGAGAGAACGATGTTCAAATATTTGGACACGAAAGTTCAAACTAAGTAGTATGGGCATTCAATCTGTCACAGTAGACAAAATCGCACACAAAAAACGTATCCCTTACTCATTTAGACCTAAAGCGAAGAAGCAAAAAGCCAGCATCATCATCTAAAGAACTGAGGGACTTCAAATTTGGAGATTTAATATTTTTTAATGTTCAAACAAAATATTTCGAATCTTTTTTTAATTGGCAACTCAATAACATCTTAGCGACCTTTGTATCTAATGATTCTGCATTGTAGAATTACTTGTTGAATATTTCAGATTCCTAATAATAATTCTGGGATAAGTTCATCGTTCTACTTTTGGATTAGGCCTAATTACAACCCTTTGAAAATGAGTCCTGAAACTTCCATTCACGGCGATAACAGTTCTTTGTTAAAACTATAAACAGAAAATGCGGGTTTTAAGTGCTGTTTAAAGTATTGAAAACGAAAATGTAATTCTTTCAACCACTAAACTGTTTACTGCGTCCAAGAAAACAACAAAACCAAACTAGTAAAATGTCTGATTCCTGTCAAAAGCGAATAATTTACCTTTTCGAAAAAACTCCGAAAATATTTTTGAATCCAGAATATATTCCATTTTAGACCACGTGCCAAAAGATACCCTAATATTACCCAAATCATAACGCATCTCTAAGACTCTAATTCCTTTAAACAGGGTGATGAAACCAAGTGCAGACAAATGTTTATTAAAATATCTACTATATAAATGTAAGAGTCATCAATTTATGCTTTGGAGCAGTTGTTCTCAATCTGAGGTGCGCGTACTAGTGGTACTAGCGCGTACTAGTGGTACAGCTTTGAATTATTGCAGCAATTAACTTTTGTATTCCCTGAACAGCGTTGTGTTTTAAAGACTTTCACATCTGTTGTCGTGTAAAGCTGACAAATAGCACTCAAAGCCACGATAAGGAAATAACGTTTACAAGTCTTGCCAAATGCCATTAGTTCATTGGATTATATACCTGTCAAAATCGGAACATTTTGATTGGTATTTGACGAACGATTTATGACATATATAGCATATAGGTGAAGTGTTTAATGCAAGTTCAAAGCTAATGCCGGATCAATTAGTTCTGACATAGAAAAGCAATAACGATAAGATGCATGGCTTATTCTCCCTATTTTCATTCTGTCAAGTGCGATGTTCTGCGTCAATCCTGTCTCCGTTTTGATTTTGTGAAGTCTGTGCTTGTCCAAGGGAAAAGTGTTGGTAAGGGTATGGTAGGTGAGGGTGTAGTATAGGTATGTAGCAGTGACGTAATTTTTGGATGACTTAGTAACGTAGGACTCAGGACTGACTTATAAAAAAATATTTATGCCACGCCCACTAAAAGTACTTGTGGTTCTGAACTACACTAGACCCACATGTCCCATCGTTCGGTAGTTCCAACTTCGTTCAGAATATGGTTTCAGTGAAATTGTGGATAAGATGGCTATCGCGTCCATATATTTACTCTATGGTTTGATAAGATGAAGGGGTCTGATGTTAACGAAACCGATGCAAGAGCGAAACTGTTTCTAACATAAGTTTAACATTCTTCAATCTTATTTTGGAGTATAATTTTAATTTATATCATAACACAGTATCGAATATATATTATATAGTGCGATAAGCCAGCGGTTCCCAAAGATTTTCTAAGTGCGCCACAAATATACAGAATTGTTTTGAACATAACTAATATATGATTGAATAATTCACATTTGTTTTTGTTATAAATGTTTTATTGTTTCTTATTCGGTGTATATGAATTCTTAAATTTATTTTACCTTTCCAAGTCCTTTACTTTCTGTTATGACGTGTCTGCATTACCCTTACGCAACTGTTGCGTAACAATAAAGGTAGACACAACTTGCTGCAATTTTGCGAGCTGGAGTTTATGTATCTGCTGAACCCAGTTTAGTAAACCGCTGCCATAAGCGCAATGTTGACAAAATCTTTCAACTTTTGTTACCAAATAACATCAGCCTCAATTTCCGTCATAATTTTTCGATAAGTTACACATTAGTGTTTGATTATAATAGTGCCACCAGAGCGCTGTAAAAATGGGAAACAGCCCATCAAAGCTATCACCTCCATATGTATTAAACTGCGAGAAGTATACAATATACAAGGAAGAACATCAGCCAGAAGAGTTAAAGGCTGGAATTAGATTACGGTTTTCTGAGAATGTGAAGAACACGAGATTGTTAAGATGTATAATATTAGGAGGAGGAAATCGAGGACAAAACTACGCATCATATGCTTTAGATTTCCCACAATTGGTAAGAATTTTTATCCAGATTCACATTATTTGATGAAAACATATAAAACAGAAATAAAGTTATTGAATTTAATAATATTCATATAAAATAAGTTCAGTTTCTCAATAAGGAATCTTGGTTGTATTTTTCAGTAAACTTGCGCACGCTAAACAAAAATAAAGCACACGAAAGTTAGTCACCAACCATTATAGTGATAATTTATATAATAGCGTTCTTTCTAAATTTTTGAATTGCACTGACTGACATTGAAATAAACGAATTGGACAAAACGTTCTAACAAATGCTTATACTTCTCCTACATGTACGTCACTGCGTAACCTACATCGGTGGCTCACAAACTTTTTACGCGACTCCAGTTTTTTATAAATAAAAAATTGCAGATATTCGCGACCCCACAACGAGTGAACAAATTTCAAAAATAGACATATTATATTATCTAAATAAAACAATGCGTGGTTTATCGACGCAAGACGAATGATTTACACAAAGCTCACCATTCATTTGAGTGACGCCAATCTTCAGAAACGCTAGGTTGGTCCCCCGACTCCCCCTGACATTTTGAAATTCATTTTTAGTTAAGTACGCTATTTGTGAAATCGGTTCAACTCTATTTTTAATAAATTCAAAATGTATGTCACTTCAAAAAAAACTTTTACGGTACCGGTAATTTTCCATATCAAAAAATGACCACTGATCACAAGGTGCGCAATTTTTAATTTTGATGATGTCATCATATAAAACTTCAACGTGAAAAACAAATATCATAGAGCCCACAGGGATGTTTGAAATAAATACCAATAATAGCCTTCGAGCGACAACAACAATTTTAAACTACTTCAAATCAATTGGTTCAGTAGTTTAAGGGGAAAGCGATTATTTCACAACAACAGTAACAACAAGAAGAAGCATACAAGCAACAAGATTTAACAAAGTCCTTTTCGTGTCCAATAAGCGAATTTGTTGGTGAACTAAGCATTATAACAGTAACAGCATATCGGCCAATATATAGTCAGGAAACCACGATTGTTTACAGTTCGATAAATCTATTTACAACGAACTATTTTCATCATTTTAAAATTGGAGTACCTGCGTCTCCCTGATGAAGTTTTATTTAGGATAATCAAATAACCCAGCGAATGTTGTATGTTTAAAGCGGGCTTATTTTCTAAACCATAATGGCTCGAAAGTGGAGTTCATGAAAATAAATCAAGTCATATTATTCTAATTCCTGGCAACATCTCTTCGATTCCCAACTTCAATTTAATAAAAAGAATTAGAAGTCAGCAGGAAACTAAGATGGATTTTCGACTGAGTAGACCACAGAATATATAAATACTGTATAGAGTGCGCTTTTCTCTCATTTCCGTGGGTTCATTTAAAGGCTCTCTCGTTTTGACGATAGACTTACTATACTACTTTATACTGCTAGTCATTTCATAGAAAGTTTGCCTCCTGCGGACTTCAAATTTCCAGATTCACAATTGAATTGATATAAGCAGATGAACACGAAAGCCCTTACAGTTGCACAGTTCACACGAAACACTTGAATTAAAAACTAAATGAAAAACATACTTAGATGAAATTTTGGAACTGCCACAGCTACAAAAATTTTCTGCTGCTACCGCAAAGTTTCTCGTTAAATAATAATCCAACACACGAGTGGAAAATTAAACACCTATGGTCATTCTTTTAAACCGGAGAAGAATTTTTCCCGAAGGAGGAAATTAACCGTTTTAAAGTAGGAATTTGCTTTTTTTATTTATATATATCGTAAGCACTTCGACAAACCAAACCCACTTGGTCAACCCAAAGTCCGAAAATTTGGTTTTCATTTTTTCTCGGTTTTCATTTTTCCACTTAAAAAAAATTATTTTTTCCACCACTGATTAGGCTGGATTTTATAGAAAAAAGACATACGTAAAATTATTTTGTTCCGCGACCCCCTAAAAAGTGCTTTGCAATCCCCAGGTTAGGAACCATTGATTTATACAAAACATAACCGCAATACTTTGCGATTTAAATAAAATGAAAAATGTGTGATCGAAATTTGCACCTGCTTTTGTTTTGAAATTTGCCGGACGCTCGTTTACTGACTGAATGCAGTCCCGAGATTCACTCCCGCTTAGACAAATTCACTACGTTTGACCTTGCCGTTCTCGATATGGCATTGAATTCGAAATTCTTTCATTAATGCCAACTTCATACCATGTTACAATGATAGTTCGCGAATGCTTTAGATTTAGCGGTGAACCAAATTTTGGGGATTTCTGACATTTTAAACGGATTTCACATAGGTAAAGTTGGGTTCATGAGCGAATGAAAAGTGATTGATTGTTTAATCACTTCTAATGCCCTCCATACGCGTTATTTTTCATGACCTATCATCGATTTGCAATATCATTGCACGTTTTTCTGCACTATTATGAGTTGAAAACTTTGAATTGTTTGAATTACTATCATCGATTTTTTCTTTTTCAGGTAAAAATTGTTGCTATCGCCGACCCAAGACTACACGTGCGTAAACAGTTTGAAAGGCTGTATCATATACCTGAAAGAATGCAATTTAAAGGTATCAAGACTGTTTCTAAATTATGACAGTAACGTCTGTTCCGTAGTCCATTCGATGTTATAACTTCTTTATTATCGTAACCTCCTGGTAAACATTCCTAATGGTGAAGAGAAGGACTTCTGTGATAGTGTAGTTTTGTTAGTTGCAATTAGTTTCCATTTGTGCGTATTTAATTTTAAATTATGTTATTCAATGAATATATTACAACCTCTTATTACGGCAATTCCAGGTTCTTACTGTTCTCTCGGCTATAAATATTCAGTTTTATCCCCAGCTTTATGCGAACTCCATTCATGAAAATTTCAATGCTTGCGCGACGTAATTTTTTGGGTACTCCTCAAGTATGCGCACCAAGATGGCGCACAACCTGAACTCTGGTTATGTACCAGGTTAGGGTTCAGGTTATGAACTCAGGTTGTGTACCAGGTTAGGGTACAGGTTATGCGACGTCTTGGTGCGCATACTTCAGGAGGTCCATCTTTTGATTGAATAGACATGCAAAAAAGTAAAAGAAAAAAATTAACGCTTGTTAGAAAAATAATTATGATAAAAAAAATTCATGGTTTGTAAACTTTTTTTTTTCTGAACTAAAATATTGCAATTCGTTCATTCAGATTGGCTTGAAATTGCTGCTTTAGACAAAATAGCAGATTTTGTTTGTATCTGCACTCCCAATACATCACATAAACAAGCTTGTGTTGCATTTGCAAGAAAAAAATATCATATATTATTGGAAAAACCTATGGCTGTAAGTTGTACAAACAAGCGAAATGATGAAGCTCACAAATTTTGATAAATTTTTCCTTTTGTATCATCTCATCTCATTATAATCGAGAACCTTAAATTACTTTATTTATAAAGTCAATATTTCTTATTGTATATAGCACAAAAATAATTTCATATATGCCTGTTTTTCTGCATAATATTTAACATTAGACCTATTTTTACAGAGGATATCAATTATTTGCAATTGTGACGTTTAAATACCTTCGAACTCTGTTATATAAAAATACTTGAATCCAATAAAAGTTGAAGTTATACGACTAAGATTGTTTTGTAATTCTGTGTAATTTGAAGTGGCATATATTTAAACATAAGTTCTTTGTCTATTTTGCTTCAGACCACAAAACAAGATTGCATTGAAATTGTCAAAGAATGTAAAGAAAATAAAGTAATGTTGACAGTATGCCACGTTCTTCGATATTATCCGCCCAACAAAAAGATCAAAGAACTGATCGACTCTGGTATTATAGGAGATGTTGTCAACATACAACATCTTGAACCGGTGAGATTTTCAGCTCGTCGTAAAATCATCAAATCACAAACAGATTATGTTCTTATTTATTAATCGAGAAATGGCCATCAATATGGATCGTTTTCCTAATTTGTTGTGATTGTTTGGACAACTTTTCTCCCAACTGTCTTTGATGCCTAAGCTGCCAGTATATACTGTAGTTGGGTATTAGGCCGTATATCTAAGCATTGCTCTCTTGTTTCAATTCTGATTTAAGTCATTATTTCACTGTGACGTAAAATATAAAATTATTAAGAGGGCATGATTACGAGGAAAACTCAAAAAATTGATTTTTATTCTACTTTTTAATATAAATCAGTACTACGGTAATGCTTCGTTTTTTCAATGTAGACAACGACTGTCAGTCGCCATCGTTTGGCCTTCATATTCAAACGATGTTATTTAATAGATTGGATTTTGTCATTTTGCACACAATTATGTTCGAGGCAAATTTGGGAATGCCATAGCAAGCTGTTCTTCTCTTCTCGCTAAATCGTGCCATGACATAGATTTGATTTTATTTTGGATGGGTGGACAGAAAGGAATCGATGATAGAACATCTTGTGTATGTACTAGAGTGTCATCATTTGGATCTTTAATTCATTTTAAAAAAGAAAATAAGGTAGGTTTAATGCATTAGTACATGTAGCCAAATATTTATTGCTAGTCACAAAGCTTACTTTATGCATATCCAAGTCTAAATAAACAAGCGAGGAGGTAAATGTAAGACGTGTTATAACTTATCACGTTATTGGAATCATTTTAGGGATTTTAAATGTGAAAATTCAAAGAGCATTTTTATATTTGCAGCCAGAAGGTGCTGGTGATAGATGTTACGAATGTTCAGTAGTGAATTCGTGTCCGTATTCTGCATCGAGGATGTATCTTGACAGGGCAAAATCTGGACATTGGGGTTGGCCTGTGTCATTTGTAACTGATGTAGAAGATATTGCAGTACTAACCGATCGACTTCAGAATGGTCCTTATGGAAGATGTGTTTATGCTTGTGATAATGATGTCTGTGATAATCAGGTAGTATTAATTAAAACTATTTTTATCTGCAAAAATACCATCTATTTAAGTCCATTATTCATTAAATTTATTCACAGTTGTAAATAATATTTGCACATTTTACAACAGGGGAGTACATTTTCAGTCTTTCTAAAATACGTTTATGCTTAAAACGCAATGCGAAGATGTTCAAAAAGGCATTGTGGAGTACGCGCATATAGTCACATGTGGTTGAGTAAACAACTATTGTCAGCTGAAATACTCGTCAAGAAGATGATTGAACTTTATTCGTTAAATAATAAATACCACCACTGCAGACTGCTTAATTCCCCGAAAATGAAATTGAAAACATCCGTTTCTAAATTTACTATGCCTGTACACGGAATGTGATTTACAGAGTTATAAATTACAAATCCAGTTAGCGATGTTTATTATAATTATTTCAGCTCTTATTCTTCGTATTGAGTAAATTATTATTTTGTGTGACAAATAGCTATTGATCGGTCTAAATGCAAATGACTAAGACTTAATTGATGTTTTGACTTTCAAGTGAGTGATTGTATATCAAATTGCATTGTGAGATTATCAATTTAATTTTTTATTTATTAGGTTGTCAATTTTCAATTCAGTGGAGGACAGATAGCTACATTTTCTATGGTTGCTTTCGCGAAAAACGATCGCGATAGAAAAACTAGAATATTTGGCACTAGGGTGAGGTATTTATTACAATATGTATCGTGTATTGATTCAAATTAAATATGATGAATGTTGATTTGAGTTCAAGATACGAAATTGTTTGAGTGACTAAGATGAAATATTAAATGATACGTACTTCCCATGACTTTTTAATCACAGGAATAAGTGATTCACGATTTCAGACCTTAATTTCTTTCACGGAAACATACCGGTACTGGATACCTTTTTCAAATAAGTCGTTGGTAAAATGTTGCAAAACACATTTTTATATAAACGTCATAAAAGATAGAATGAAAAACAGTAGTTTCTGTAGAACAAAATTTCAAAACTAACTTGCGTTTTTGACGATTGCACCATCGGTTGTAATCATGAATATATATATATATATGTATATTAGGCATAAAAATGTAGATAAACTACTGTTTTCTGGTTGGTGGGCTATCTTCTTATTAAAAATTTCCGCAATAGTCAGCCAATTCTACGTAAAACTTTCCGGTAATTTATTGAAATATGTGATAAAAACGCGCATGACATTGTAATGAAGTCAAAGTTATTTTGGCGAGATATTTCTTCAAAATTGAATAATCAGCGGTGTCTAATGTTGCGGGCATGGCTGCGGCATATTGAGTGTTTACATCCTCGGAAAATTTCTGAAAAAAACTTTAGATCGTTGTTAAAGATTTATTAAGTATATATATAAATGGTCCAAATTTTATAACACTAAAAAAACAGGGTGAAATATCGTATGTTGGGGGATCACACGTGAAGCATTATGATTTCTTGACTCGAAATACAAAGGAATATCATTGTACTGCTGGATTGGGAGATATGACAAGAATGAAAGGACACAGTGGTGCTGATTTTCATCTTATGGATTCTTTTGTTAAAGCTGTCATGGTATATTAATTAAAGTTACATTAATTTTAATAAAACAAAAGATTTTGGCGATTAACTCAAATTGTCAAAAATGGCTGGAAATCCTCGGGGTCGAAATATGACAGCATGTCACCTTTCATTTTTCCATTTTAAAAAATAGAACTGCTTAACCATGCTGGATTATTAAGTTGGCGCGAACCTTGTCTCTCAGGGTTAGTAGAAATCTTATCCTAATATGATACACACAAACACCTTTCATTTAATAATCTTATCTTATTGAAATGACTTTTAACATATCGCGCTTGAGCATATATATATATATATATAGAAATAGACAAGAGAATAGTTTCATATTCTATGAGTCTACATCAAGTCCAATTGCAAAAATATTGACGATAAAAATGTGATTTGTTAGGGCGGAAAATGACTACAAGTTTTTCGTAACATTATTTCTAAATTCAAATTTAGTTTATTTTATTTCACTCTTATTGGACCTATATTTGTATGTTTGTATATATGAGAAAATAATGAGTATCTACAATCAAAATATCTTTCCAGCTGGGAAAATTTGTCAGTGTTTCTCGAATCAAGTTGCGAGATGAGTTCCACTGTGACACAAAATATCAATTCATTGTCCAAGTCTCTAAGAAATACCCCATACCTACCCGCAAACTAAATTAATAATAAATTAGTCTGGTAAAGTTGACACTTAAAGAGAAGAGCCACTGACTGTATCGAACATTCAACTTTTCGGGATAGTTGACTTTCCTAAAACATTTTCACGTGCCGGATCGCTCAAAAGTGTATATATTGTAAATCTTTTCTTTTCCTATTTTCGTTTTTACAGTATAATGACCCAAGTTACATCCAAAGTGGACCGGATGAAACATTGAAGAGTCATATGCTAGTATTTGCTGCAGAAGAGTCGAGATTAAAAGGAAAAACCTTGAAAGTATCAAGTGATTTGAACTGGGATAGTTAAAGGCCTAATGGAGTATCTGATTTTTCTATGTGTGTGAATTTGTCATGTATCTCAGTGAAAAATGTAAAGATCTTGTTAAATTTACGAAAATGTTCGCACGCTTTTATTGAATCATAGTCCATCATGACATACTGCATATCTTTCACTACCTTATATTTATACGATTCGAAGTACATCCACGCTGGTTATAGACTAAATGTTCCATGAAAGTGCCAGATGGTCCATTATTTTGGAATGATTCATCAGTGCAGCTTACTTTATTTGCATCCTAGTTTTGCTTCACATTGATTGCCACAATTATTAGTTAAATTTTCTCTTCTTTATATCTTATTTCAAACTTCCACATTTACTCCATTATATGATCTTGCACTTTTCTGAACACACCCAAGCTGAAGTTAATAAAACATTTTATGATCCCGCCTTTCCACTATAAGATACTATAATCAATGTTATAATGTTCCTAAATTTCTTGGAAGTCTGCCACTCGAATTTGCTTCAACCCAATTTAAATATGTATGTGCAATAAACAATACTATAGTATTTATTTATTCAGGTATAAATCAATTTAAGATATCATTTACGTTCAATATGTATTTAATTATTAACTTGCATCACTTTATGAGTCTGTGGGGGTTCCGATATACTACGTTACCCTGCGGCTAAGTCAGTAAGAGTACAAGAAACATTTTATGAACTATGCACATATACTCAGTGTGATATACGCGTATTTTCGTGCACGAAAACGATTATGACGCAATGTTCAATATACCCGTGGTTCTCCAATGTAATATTATAAACATGGGCAGATGGGAAGTAGTTTTTAGGAAATTGTGTGATATTTAGAGCGGCTTTCCAACTTCTCCTGTGACGTGAAACTTGGTGATCGATGACCTTTAGTTTTGAATTTGCATCAGGGTTGTGAGTTGTTACAGACTGGAAACAAAAGTGAAAAAATTAAAAACAAAAACGGAAGAGGGTTATACAAATGAAATTCCACTGCAAAAGGTTTGATACTGAAATCTCTTGTCAAGCGTGAATCGCGGTTGAGGCTTGTCCGGGACGAGGAAGAAAACTAAGATACACATATATATATATATATATATATTCATGTCCCTACCCTCGCGAGTAGAAACGTGAATAGGATTCTGACCTGATCTTAGCTATTTAGCAACCAAACGCTCAACTTTGGCTATTTTCGCTGCCAAATTTTTCTATATTGACGTTATGGATATTACATAATATTTATGAAGAAATATATCAATCAAATATTAGAGGATTTTTCACGTGTAAATACAAAATATGTCCTTATATTGGCACAAAATCTTGCGCACGTAACTCAATGTACCAATTTGATAAGATAGGTAGGCTGAACATTCATTTATTTTACCACCCTGGTAGCCAAACCATATGAGCAGGGATGACCATAACCATTGAATATTTCGAATACATTCTAAAAAATAATTTCGAAACTGAAATTCCGAATACATTGTAAAATCTCCCACATAAATACTATCCATTTTTCTAAAATTCAGGGACATAGAAATTAGTCTTTGATAATAATCTTATCATTGTAAAGTCTGATATAAATTCAATCAATCAATCAATTTTATTTGGTCACTCTGAACAAACAAAAAACAAAACAACAACAAAGGGCAAACAAAATACAGAGGACCTGGAGGACGGGCATAACTTAATAATAAAGTTAAATACGTACAAGTACGTGCCCGTCCCCCAAAAGCAGTCAAAACACAATAAAACAAAAACACGATGTGACATCGGGCAATATCTTATAAATTAAAATGTGAAACGTGTATATGGTTCCCTACAGATATAGGAATCAAAGAACACTCGCTGCCGAAAAATGGTGATGCTGTAGGCCTAGTTCAATTACGTTGCAAAAGTAACACAGTGACAATTTTTTTTTTTACTAAAAAACAAGCTTGGTAAATGGATTGGATGTTCTATGCACAAATCATGAATTCTGGGGGTTGGGTTCTTTTGTCGTTTTTGGTTAGTTGAGTTCAAAATCATTGTATCCGTTCCAATGCTTCCAACATTGATATCGAATTTCCACGAACGACCACCATTCAGCCATTCCAGCAGGTGCAATGGTCCCATCTTTTCTACGCTCTGTTCTATCAGCCACGTGTAGATTCATAAAAGGATCGAAATCTCGCAATATACCCACAACAGATTGTCCACCATTTAACTTCAAATCCAATCTTTTATCCATAAACTTCTTTAATTCCAGTAGATGGGCTTTGCTCATGTTGATAATACGCGATCCAGATTACAGATACCGAAACATACAACGCGTAGCATTCACTAGTCTTTTCCAGCTGACACGTCCGCACCCGGAAAGTACCAATTAAATTGGGAATTTCTTGCTTCTAAGAAAAGAGACTCAATAAGCATTACAGTATTTATATATACCTATTAATTGGGGTGTTAACCGCATGGCAAGCAATAAAATAAGAGCAACTAGTCTCCCAGTTTTGAGTCATACAGTAGAATCGTCTTTTTTAACAGCACCACGCACTTTTTGGCACGGTTATAAATTCTGACTGTTTTCGAGTCGTTAGGCTAAATTCCGACACAATTATCTCTACCCAAGGATTAAATATTGTGATCCAATCAATTTTAAATTTGTTCAACTACACCGTTTCCTCCTGGATTAATTGCAGTGACCGCTCAGACTATCTCGAAACATACGATAAGGATTGTAAAATATTATAAAATAGTAAAATCAAAAACATCCTAGACGTGCTATAGGTATTTCTATTCGGCACTGATTGAAATCCTTTCATGCCGGGCTGCCGGCTGTAATTTATTGTCGCGACGCACAATTACAATGAAACATAAAACAAAATATATGTGAAATGTTTTCAATTAAAACGTGGACGGCGGCGCTAAGATGTCTGGGCAATATTCGATATTCTTACGAACACGAAAAACGATATTCGTTAGTATGAATAATGCTCAAATACTAGTGTTTTAACCCGTCTGCCCTGCGCACTTGAGGTAATATTTACATTGTATCGGAATATCGACGTTTTTGAAATATCGGTATAAGTATCGGCGTTTTTAGTTGGTAACGGTATAGCAACTAAACCCCAAATGTACCCCATTTCATGTTAAGAATATGAAAGAACCACTGGTGGGTCGCAAAAAGAATCTTAGTGGGTCGTTAAAAGATGTAGAAAGCTTTGATTAATTATTAGTTATCGATTTTAATCGGTAAGTATGTTGATAGTTATTTGTCTGTCTGTTAGATGCACGCGATATCTCACGAAAGCGAGATTGAATCTGCTCCAGATTTTGCATGTGCATTCATCATATGTCGTACCAGAAGCCTATTGATTTTGGATACATTGTCGTATAATTAGCGAAATATTAATTAATTAGTGATGGGACACAAGGTGTCACTATGGATTAAGAGCGCTGTTTTAGGGATCCCCTAACTTTCAATCGAAAAGTCTTCGGTCTCTGACCGATATTCTCGTTATACTGGTTATTACGATCGGTGGCGATTCGAATACGTATATCTTCAAAAAAACAAAATAAATTAAATTTAATTTAAATTCTAATCTGTCAAAGTTTCCTTTTTACGATCTTCTCAAAGGAACAAAAATTTGCTACACAAAGACTAACCATGTGGCCTTTTTACGCATAGCAGTTTTTGTACACTGTACAGCAATCGTGTTTCCTAGGTATTTAGACAGGATTTAGATTTATTTTCTTCTGAAGAATAACACTATGGTGTTTTTTTAGAAGATGTCTTTTGAGTTCATTTATCAAAAATAAAATTACATTGTAGAAAATCACGAGATTTTTCAATAAACATTATGCAAAAACCGACATCCATTGTTTTTATTTGTATTTCCTATACAAAAATCAAGTGACAAATATCATAATTGTGATTGTGACATCACAAAATCTTGAATAGTAGTGTGATCTTCACCTTACCTCGGGTCATTGAACCTTTCCTCTCCCACACATTTTAAATTTATTTCAAGGGTAGGGTTTAAGTAAAATCATGTTTGAAATTCAAATTAGGTCTCATTTTCAGGCCAGGTCTTTTTTCGAGGTAACACGGTAGTTTTACGATGATTAGCCATTGCTGTGTTCTGTCTTAAAAAGTTAAATGGGTCGCCATAAGCTGTGGTAATAAATAGTGGGTCGCAACTCTGAAAAGTTTGAGAACCACTGACCTAAGGCAATATTGACTGTCTAACCTCGGAATCGAAGTTTAATTTCTCAGCCGAAATTTGATACGTACATATCTTTCAACATTATTTTCGACTAACTTATGACGTCAAGTATATTTCCATTCGATATCTTTTCGACAAAGTCTAAGGAAACCCCCAAGCGTAGCTCTTACTTTCAAAGTCACATTCTGGGAAATTTCATCAAATATCGTCCAAACTGAAATCGATAATGACTCTTGGTGACGAAACAACGAAAGGTCAATCTAGTCAATTAATATAGCAATTAACCCCAAAATGTACGCCATTTCATGTTGAAAATAGGAAAACAAATTCAATTTTTCCCAAATTTCAAACAAAAACTTTCGTAAGAATCGAATTACACCACTTTTAAGAACATAACATGTTGTGTCCTGTCATTATCAAATTAAAAATTATTTCCTCAAGACATTTAGGCACTGATTGAAATAATTATATGTAAGTTTCCATCCGTACGACGTACATAACTACCCGTATTTTAAGATAAAAGGAGTTTCTGTTTACAACGATATCACATTTTTAATATTATCCACTACTCGATAAAGTATATAAAGCGTAAATATCTTTCAATGTTAATAAGTTAGTTAAGATAATAGTTATAAGATTGTATTCTGTATATATATTAGATATCACGTTTTTAATATTATTCGCTAATCGATTAAGTATATATGATATATATTTATGATATATATATATATAGCATATTAAAATAATAAAAATTGAATTGCCAAACATAGTGATGATTAGCCTATTTGGCGTCAAATTGAAGGGAATGCATTTGCCATCAATTTTTTATATTTTTCCATGTCTAATTTTTCTATGAGTTCGATTTCGTTGAGGGTGTACTGTTGGCCCCCAATATCGTTGTAATCGACAATCAGAGATCCCCTGGAAATGTTACCTCCTAATTCAACTCCAACACGGACTTTCGTGGACCCAATCACACACGTGGGGTCTAGAACAATACCCATTGAATAGGTATCCCATATCAGATACCCACTGTAAAACCCAGCCTTGATACGTTCCAGGTGTTCGTTTTGTCTTTTCTTAAATATCTCGCGGTAAAATTGTCTCTTTGGCTCGTCGCCTGTCAGAAGTTCATCAAACCAATCAACGGAGAGCGGGTGGTTCGTGACAAGTTCGGCTGTCACGAGTTGGACTTTGCAATGAGGTGAAAAATTGTTCAATACAATATGTGCTGCTTCAGGATCTGTGTAGAAGTTGTACTCCGATGCAGGTGTAAAGTTTCCTTTGCCTGGAATTGTTCCACCAAGGATGTGAATACTTTTTACTCGTTTTGGAAGATCCGTGTCAACTTTTGTTGCGATAGCAATGTTTGTCAATGCACCGATGGCAAGAATCTTTAAAAATTAAATTTCATATAATATCACATATATCTGCTGAACTAAGCACTAGGAAATTATTGAAAGTGTTATAAACTTTTGTCTCATTATACAGTCGTTAAAATTCATTTGAAGGAAGGTTAAATACCAAGCAATTCTCTGATAATAAACGACTTACCTGCAATTCCCCTCGATGTATTTTTGATAACCGTAAAATTGCATTCACAGCATTTTCTTCCTAGAAAAATACAAAACCACGATTGGCTTTATCGCAAAAATAGCAAAGCTAAGTCAATACGGTTTCGGTGAACTTGCACAAATTTTATCTCTCTACTGATAGTTTTTTTAATTTGATTTCCATTGGTATAAAAAATAGTTTATAAATTTTACGTGTCTACTTAATCATCGCTGTCTTTATCTAAAATATTAAAATTGTGATCTCGAGTAACAATAACCAACCTGTACAAGTTTCAACAGATTTTCATCGGCCCGTGGCTCAGCATCGGGGACATCTCCTAAACCGTCACTCCCGTGAAAACTTGCTGCATTCAGTTTGCCAGGGTTCCTAACAATGGGTTCGTCACAACCTTTGAAGATAGGAACCTACAACATATTTATTAATATTACTACTTTTATTATTGCACGGCGTTTTATAATCGTGCATTCATGCTTGACGTTGCACTGTTCACTACCCCGAATGCGCGGTTTGCAGGATTTAATATCGTGCAGGATAATTACGTGCGAGATGATTGTTGGTTCCCTTAACTGCTGGTCGAATACAGCTTTTCCTATCGTCAAGTCCATGAAACAGGAACAAAAAACCTGCACTTAGTCCCATACCCGACATATATTTAGTTATCGTATGGGCTTTATTATCTCCTTAGATAAAAGTCTTATTCTCATTGCCACAAACTGTACTATTCGAAAATGTTCGTGTCTTAGCTTACAATAGAAAGATTAAGCTGAGAATGATAAAGTTCATTCCAACCTTATCAAGCATGCCCATCAGCTTCAAAATTCTGGCGGCGTTCATCGTCACTTGGCGACATCCAACGTTTCCATTTGCACAGGTGATTCCAACAACTTCAACTTTTGGGAATTGAGCTAAAGCCATCATGATAGCGTAGCTGTCGTCCACACCGGGGTCACAATCGATTAACAAACATTTTTTGTCACTTGGTACAGATAACGTCCCCATCTTACCTACGTTAGTGTGTTAAGTACTATTTAAGATCTACATTTAATAAATTTAGAAAGAATATAAATATCGGATGCTGTTGTGTCTGAATGTATATTAAAATAACCCGGGCTAATAAAAACTAACATTGTCCAAAACACCACTCGTACAGAAATCTTTAAAATATGACTTTAAAAAGTAATTTGGCTATTTATGCAGTAATTATATTTTATTATTTTTGTATTAATATTTTGTACCTTCATCTAGCAATTTATTCAAAGAATCTGTCATTCACCTTCTACATAGATAGACGCAGCGCTAGATTAACCATTAAACAATATAAGCACGTGCTTAGGGCACCAAGCAAACAGTGGCACCACAGAAATTTTATAGCAGAATTTTATATAGTTTATCGGTGTTTATTAAAATATTACGAGTTCGCCAGACGTCTCAAAGTTCAAAAAGTTTCGTCTTCAAGTATAATTAAAAAGTTTTCGTCTTCAAGTATAATATTAACCTTCTTTATTAAAAATAAACACTGAAACTTATTTATTGGACACGAAATGGCCTATAAGTCGTTTTCTTGTTGGTGTTTTTTCTTCCTAGTTTTCTCCTTGTTGCTGCATTTTGAGTCTGATTAGAACGGTTAACTCTCGTTGTTTATTAAATTCAAAGCATGTAATCTCGCGATATTTCGGTCACTTTTGGGCTTTCTCCGACTTGCGGCCGCGAGACCTCCTAAAAAGTTTTTGCAGTCTTTCAACCTAGCAACCTTGAACCATCCTGAGGTAGACTACTAAACTACACTTGTGACTCGTATCCTTTGGTATATCAATTCACGTTGAGACTGGACGCTTGAATCTCTATTGTCGCACTCCCTCTGTATTAGAGCTCAACCGATATATCGGCCCGATATAGCGTGTTTGACGATATATTTGGCTATAATATAACAGTTAAAAAACCTAAAAATGATCGTAAAAGTTGTTTTATTTACTGTTGGTTGTGATCATGTTTAAAGGGGGCACCAAAGTCTTCAGTGCTTAAGGCATCAAAGGGGCATAATCCGCCCCTGGCTAGACGTAAAATTAAAAAATATATATACCGGTTAAATCGTTAATTAGGCACAGCAATAGAAAATTCCATGAGCCAACGAAGTTCCACATTTACTGAAATGAAAGACTTTTTGACCTATCACAAATGCATGCCGAACAGGAATAAATTGTAACGAAACTAAACTAATATCGATCAAAAACCTTTTACCTTATTTGGTACCGGTATATACATAGTGAATTGATTGAGAAAGAGTCGGGTATGAGCACTGTATATTAAACTTAGCCTGAGCGCAAATGACACAATTACGTCCAAATTCAAATAGTTTGATACATAGTCCTACACAAAAACGAATGGGCAAATTATTATTAAAATCGACACAAAATTTGTATTTTTCATGTTCCATTTAAGTTATTGATTTGAATATTTAATTGTGCCCGGAGTAAACATTTTATTATTTATTTAAGATTTATTTAAATCATACAATGCAGATAAACGGCGTGCCTAATTTTTAGTCGTAAGTGATGAAAATTCTTCAAGAAACCTTGCCAAGTATTTTCTAAACAGCGAAAAATAAATATTCTCAAAGCATGAATGTTACATGACTGCTCAAACTTCAGTATATATATATCTAATTAACAATTTCCTCCAAACGCGATTCTTCGCTTGCTTAGAATTAGAACAAATTGGGCATTTTGATGCCACTGCTACCCTTGCAAATAAAATTGATCACACTACACTTGGAGTCAGACAATAACTTCCGCAAAAGACAGAACTTCCTGCGGAAGTTATTTCAGAATCGTTTGTCAGTCTAGACTAGAGCTAAGATCTGAGCCTGATCCGACCTGAAATTCGGGCCGGGTTGGGCCAGAAATGTTAATCATTACGTCCGGGTCGGGTCGGGCCGGCTTCTTTATCGCTGACTTTTTTTTTAAATAAACATATGATCATAAAAAATATTTACTAAAACTATGTGTGGGCACTCATCAACACGACACATACTGTACTAAACTCTTGCAATGACAATTCAAAGAACTCCTAAATAAAATATAAAATTTCAGGTTTGCTTCGGGCTCGGGCCTGCAAATCTAGTTAATTAGTCGGGCTCGGGCTGGAATTCTTGGGCCCGATCTTACCTCTAATCTAGACAGACGATATTCGGCACTCCATTTTCAAACCTTGGCAGAGGAAAAACTGACATTGGTTACGTAATAATATGCTTTATCGGGCTCGCCCAGACTCAAATACTGCAAGTCAGCGGTTCCCAAACTTTTTGTTCACGGGGCGCAAAATTATCACGGAAAAAACTAACGGCGTACTTACACGAAAAAAATGCTGCTTTTCAAATAAAACTCAATTTTGTTATCACTTATGTGTACTTTATGCATTACAAAGTTTTTAAACACGTAGGCATAAGGAATAAAAGCAAAAGGTCAACTCTTCTTCCTCATCTCTGCTCGATTATCCTTCGCAATGCTGGAAAAATTACCCATATGCGCTAAACTCGGTTCAGTAGATATATAAACTGCAGTTCGCAAAATTGCACCAAGTAGTTTCTCCTTCTATTGTTACATAACAATATAGGCAGACACTACGTAACAGAAAGTAAACACCATGAAAGTGAAATTAATTTATCGATTTATATTTACAGCATTTAAAATAACAAACAAAAAAACATTCATAATAAGTACAATATCCACAATACTCTAAAATTTTTGCGGCACACCTAGCAACTCGTCACGGCGCCCCCTTTGGGAACAGCTGCTGTATGTGTATATTGTATTTTGCGCATGTATGGTACTGTATTCTTCCTGTTGTAAACACACAACTGATTGGAGGCAATTTTTGGGAGTATTACAATAAAATTCATTCAACACCAGACGCGATCGACTGCTCGAGACGTGTTGGTCACCCCTGGTATATAACAAACAGTCAATCACAGTACCTCGGCCAACAATTGTGAAACGAAAATACCAATAGACCAATCTATCGTAGATTATCTGTCCCATAGATCAGCGATTCCCAAAGGGTGCAGCAAGTTACTTGGTACAGATAACGTCCCCATCTTACTTAGGTTAGTGTGTTAAGTACTATTTAAGATCTACATTTAATAAATTTAGAAAGAATATAAATATCGGATGCTGTTGTGTCTGAATGTATATTAAAATAACCCGGGCTAATAAAAACTAACATTGTCCAAAACACCACTCGTACAGAAATCTTTAAAATATGACTTTAAAAAGTAATTTGGCTATTTATGCAGTAATTATATTTTATTATTTTTGTATTAATATTTTGTACCTTCATCTAGCAATTTATTCAAAGAATCTGTCATTCACCTTCTACATAGATAGACGCAGCGCTAGATTAACCATTAAACAATATAAGCACGTGCTTAGGGCACCAAGCAAACAGTGGCACCACAGAAATTTTATAGCAGAATTTTATATAGTTTATCGGTGTTTATTAAAATATTACGAGTTCGCCAGACGTCTCAAAGTTCAAAAAGTTTCGTCTTCAAGTATAATTAAAAAGTTTTCGTCTTCAAGTATAATATTAACCTTCTTTATTAAAAATAAACACTGAAACTTATTTATTGGACACGAAATGGCCTATAAGTCGTTTTCTTGTTGGTGTTTTTTCTTCCTAGTTTTCTCCTTGTTGCTGCATTTTGAGTCTGATTAGAACGGTTAACTCTCGTTGTTTATTAAATTCAAAGCATGTAATCTCGCGATATTTCGGTCACTTTTGGGCTTTCTCCGACTTGCGGCCGCGAGACCTCCTAAAAAGTTTTTGCAGTCTTTCAACCTAGCAACCTTGAACCATCCTGAGGTAGACTACTAAACTACACTTGTGACTCGTATCCTTTGGTATATCAATTCACGTTGAGACTGGACGCTTGAATCTCTATTGTCGCACTCCCTCTGTATTAGAGCTCAACCGATATATCGGCCCGATATAGCGTGTTTGACGATATATTTGGCTATAATATAACAGTTAAAAAACCTAAAAATGATCGTAAAAGTTGTTTTATTTACTGTTGGTTGTGATCATGTTTAAAGGGGGCACCAAAGTCTTCAGTGCTTAAGGCATCAAAGGGGCATAATCCGCCCCTGGCTAGACGTAAAATTAAAAAATATATATACCGGTTAAATCGTTAATTAGGCACAGCAATAGAAAATTCCATGAGCCAACGAAGTTCCACATTTACTGAAATGAAAGACTTTTTGACCTATCACAAATGCATGCCGAACAGGAATAAATTGTAACGAAACTAAACTAATATCGATCAAAAACCTTTTACCTTATTTGGTACCGGTATATACATAGTGAATTGATTGAGAAAGAGTCGGGTATGAGCACTGTATATTAAACTTAGCCTGAGCGCAAATGACACAATTACGTCCAAATTCAAATAGTTTGATACATAGTCCTACACAAAAACGAATGGGCAAATTATTATTAAAATCGACACAAAATTTGTATTTTTCATGTTCCATTTAAGTTATTGATTTGAATATTTAATTGTGCCCGGAGTAAACATTTTATTATTTATTTAAGATTTATTTAAATCATACAATGCAGATAAACGGCGTGCCTAATTTTTAGTCGTAAGTGATGAAAATTCTTCAAGAAACCTTGCCAAGTATTTTCTAAACAGCGAAAAATAAATATTCTCAAAGCATGAATGTTACATGACTGCTCAAACTTCAGTATATATATATCTAATTAACAATTTCCTCCAAACGCGATTCTTCGCTTGCTTAGAATTAGAACAAATTGGGCATTTTGATGCCACTGCTACCCTTGCAAATAAAATTGATCACACTACACTTGGAGTCAGACAATAACTTCCGCAAAAGACAGAACTTCCTGCGGAAGTTATTTCAGAATCGTTTGTCAGTCTAGACTAGAGCTAAGATCTGAGCCTGATCCGACCTGAAATTCGGGCCGGGTTGGGCCAGAAATGTTAATCATTACGTCCGGGTCGGGTCGGGCCGGCTTCTTTATCGCTGACTTTTTTTTTAAATAAACATATGATCATAAAAAATATTTACTAAAACTATGTGTGGGCACTCATCAACACGACACATACTGTACTAAACTCTTGCAATGACAATTCAAAGAACTCCTAAATAAAATATAAAATTTCAGGTTTGCTTCGGGCTCGGGCCTGCAAATCTAGTTAATTAGTCGGGCTCGGGCTGGAATTCTTGGGCCCGATCTTACCTCTAATCTAGACAGACGATATTCGGCACTCCATTTTCAAACCTTGGCAGAGGAAAAACTGACATTGGTTACGTAATAATATGCTTTATCGGGCTCGCCCAGACTCAAATACTGCAAGTCAGCGGTTCCCAAACTTTTTGTTCACGGGGCGCAAAATTATCACGGAAAAAACTAACGGCGTACTTACACGAAAAAAATGCTGCTTTTCAAATAAAACTCAATTTTGTTATCACTTATGTGTACTTTATGCATTACAAAGTTTTTAAACACGTAGGCATAAGGAATAAAAGCAAAAGGTCAACTCTTCTTCCTCATCTCTGCTCGATTATCCTTCGCAATGCTGGAAAAATTACCCATATGCGCTAAACTCGGTTCAGTAGATATATAAACTGCAGTTCGCAAAATTGCACCAAGTAGTTTCTCCTTCTATTGTTACATAACAATATAGGCAGACACTACGTAACAGAAAGTAAACACCATGAAAGTGAAATTAATTTATCGATTTATATTTACAGCATTTAAAATAACAAACAAAAAAACATTCATAATAAGTACAATATCCACAATACTCTAAAATTTTTGCGGCACACCTAGCAACTCGTCACGGCGCCCCCTTTGGGAACAGCTGCTGTATGTGTATATTGTATTTTGCGCATGTATGGTACTGTATTCTTCCTGTTGTAAACACACAACTGATTGGAGGCAATTTTTGGGAGTATTACAATAAAATTCATTCAACACCAGACGCGATCGACTGCTCGAGACGTGTTGGTCACCCCTGGTATATAACAAACAGTCAATCACAGTACCTCGGCCAACAATTGTGAAACGAAAATACCAATAGACCAATCTATCGTAGATTATCTGTCCCATAGATCAGCGATTCCCAAAGGGTGCAGCAAGTTACTTGGTACAGATAACGTCCCCATCTTACTTAGGTTAGTGTGTTAAGTACTATTTAAGATCTACATTTAATAAATTTAGAAAGAATATAAATATCGGATGCTGTTGTGTCTGAATGTATATTAAAATAACCCGGGCTAATAAAAACTAACATTGTCCAAAACACCACTCGTACAGAAATCTTTAAAATATGACTTTAAAAAGTAATTTGGCTATTTATGCAGTAATTATATTTTATTATTTTTGTATTAATATTTTGTACCTTCATCTAGCAATTTATTCAAAGAATCTGTCATTCACCTTCTACATAGATAGACGCAGCGCTAGATTAACCATTAAACAATATAAGCACGTGCTTAGGGCACCAAGCAAACAGTGGCACCACAGAAATTTTATAGCAGAATTTTATATAGTTTATCGGTGTTTATTAAAATATTACGAGTTCGCCAGACGTCTCAAAGTTCAAAAAGTTTCGTCTTCAAGTATAATTAAAAAGTTTTCGTCTTCAAGTATAATATTAACCTTCTTTATTAAAAATAAACACTGAAACTTATTTATTGGACACGAAATGGCCTATAAGTCGTTTTCTTGTTGGTGTTTTTTCTTCCTAGTTTTCTCCTTGTTGCTGCATTTTGAGTCTGATTAGAACGGTTAACTCTCGTTGTTTATTAAATTCAAAGCATGTAATCTCGCGATATTTCGGTCACTTTTGGGCTTTCTCCGACTTGCGGCCGCGAGACCTCCTAAAAAGTTTTTGCAGTCTTTCAACCTAGCAACCTTGAACCATCCTGAGGTAGACTACTAAACTACACTTGTGACTCGTATCCTTTGGTATATCAATTCACGTTGAGACTGGACGCTTGAATCTCTATTGTCGCACTCCCTCTGTATTAGAGCTCAACCGATATATCGGCCCGATATAGCGTGTTTGACGATATATTTGGCTATAATATAACAGTTAAAAAACCTAAAAATGATCGTAAAAGTTGTTTTATTTACTGTTGGTTGTGATCATGTTTAAAGGGGGCACCAAAGTCTTCAGTGCTTAAGGCATCAAAGGGGCATAATCCGCCCCTGGCTAGACGTAAAATTAAAAAATATATATACCGGTTAAATCGTTAATTAGGCACAGCAATAGAAAATTCCATGAGCCAACGAAGTTCCACATTTACTGAAATGAAAGACTTTTTGACCTATCACAAATGCATGCCGAACAGGAATAAATTGTAACGAAACTAAACTAATATCGATCAAAAACCTTTTACCTTATTTGGTACCGGTATATACATAGTGAATTGATTGAGAAAGAGTCGGGTATGAGCACTGTATATTAAACTTAGCCTGAGCGCAAATGACACAATTACGTCCAAATTCAAATAGTTTGATACATAGTCCTACACAAAAACGAATGGGCAAATTATTATTAAAATCGACACAAAATTTGTATTTTTCATGTTCCATTTAAGTTATTGATTTGAATATTTAATTGTGCCCGGAGTAAACATTTTATTATTTATTTAAGATTTATTTAAATCATACAATGCAGATAAACGGCGTGCCTAATTTTTAGTCGTAAGTGATGAAAATTCTTCAAGAAACCTTGCCAAGTATTTTCTAAACAGCGAAAAATAAATATTCTCAAAGCATGAATGTTACATGACTGCTCAAACTTCAGTATATATATATCTAATTAACAATTTCCTCCAAACGCGATTCTTCGCTTGCTTAGAATTAGAACAAATTGGGCATTTTGATGCCACTGCTACCCTTGCAAATAAAATTGATCACACTACACTTGGAGTCAGACAATAACTTCCGCAAAAGACAGAACTTCCTGCGGAAGTTATTTCAGAATCGTTTGTCAGTCTAGACTAGAGCTAAGATCTGAGCCTGATCCGACCTGAAATTCGGGCCGGGTTGGGCCAGAAATGTTAATCATTACGTCCGGGTCGGGTCGGGCCGGCTTCTTTATCGCTGACTTTTTTTTTAAATAAACATATGATCATAAAAAATATTTACTAAAACTATGTGTGGGCACTCATCAACACGACACATACTGTACTAAACTCTTGCAATGACAATTCAAAGAACTCCTAAATAAAATATAAAATTTCAGGTTTGCTTCGGGCTCGGGCCTGCAAATCTAGTTAATTAGTCGGGCTCGGGCTGGAATTCTTGGGCCCGATCTTACCTCTAATCTAGACAGACGATATTCGGCACTCCATTTTCAAACCTTGGCAGAGGAAAAACTGACATTGGTTACGTAATAATATGCTTTATCGGGCTCGCCCAGACTCAAATACTGCAAGTCAGCGGTTCCCAAACTTTTTGTTCACGGGGCGCAAAATTATCACGGAAAAAACTAACGGCGTACTTACACGAAAAAAATGCTGCTTTTCAAATAAAACTCAATTTTGTTATCACTTATGTGTACTTTATGCATTACAAAGTTTTTAAACACGTAGGCATAAGGAATAAAAGCAAAAGGTCAACTCTTCTTCCTCATCTCTGCTCGATTATCCTTCGCAATGCTGGAAAAATTACCCATATGCGCTAAACTCGGTTCAGTAGATATATAAACTGCAGTTCGCAAAATTGCACCAAGTAGTTTCTCCTTCTATTGTTACATAACAATATAGGCAGACACTACGTAACAGAAAGTAAACACCATGAAAGTGAAATTAATTTATCGATTTATATTTACAGCATTTAAAATAACAAACAAAAAAACATTCATAATAAGTACAATATCCACAATACTCTAAAATTTTTGCGGCACACCTAGCAACTCGTCACGGCGCCCCCTTTGGGAACAGCTGCTGTATGTGTATATTGTATTTTGCGCATGTATGGTACTGTATTCTTCCTGTTGTAAACACACAACTGATTGGAGGCAATTTTTGGGAGTATTACAATAAAATTCATTCAACACCAGACGCGATCGACTGCTCGAGACGTGTTGGTCACCCCTGGTATATAACAAACAGTCAATCACAGTACCTCGGCCAACAATTGTGAAACGAAAATACCAATAGACCAATCTATCGTAGATTATCTGTCCCATAGATCAGCGATTCCCAAAGGGTGCAGCAAGTTACTTGGTACAGATAACGTCCCCATCTTACTTAGGTTAGTGTGTTAAGTACTATTTAAGATCTACATTTAATAAATTTAGAAAGAATATAAATATCGGATGCTGTTGTGTCTGAATGTATATTCAAATAACCCGGGCTAATAAAAACTAACATTGTCCAAAACACTACTCGTACAGAAATCTCTAAAATATGACGTTGAAAAAGTAATTAAAGAATCTGTCATTCAACTTTCACATAGCTAGACGCAGCATAATCCGCCCCTGGCTAGACGCAAAATAAAAAATAAAGTTACCAGTTAAAACGTTGATTAGGCACAGCAATAGCAGATTCCATGGGCCGACGAAACTCCACAATTGCTGAAATGAAAGACTTCTTTATCTATCACAAATACATGCACGCCGCGCGGGAATGAACTGTAACGAAACTGATCTCGTATATCGATAAAAATCTTTTTACCTTATTTTGTACCAGTAAATTAAGACCGATAAATCAATTGAGGAAGAGTCGGACACGAGCACTGTATATTAAACTGCAAATGACACAACTACGTCAGAATTCAATTCTTTTGATTGTATATAATAAGCAGTCAATCACAGCAACTCGGCCAACAATCGTGAAACGAAAATACCAATGAACCGATCGATTGTATATGATCTGTACCCATAGATCAGGGGTTCCCAAAGGGAGCGGCGAGTTGCTAAGTGCGCCCCGAAAATTACATATCATCAGGCTAATAACCGAATTGCGTAAGTCACTTTTGGCGGTTTTGAGTTTTTTTTATACAATAGTTATCTATGTAACACTGCGCACCTGTCAGTTAATTCAGATTTTTTCCCAAGCATTTCGAAACGCAAAAAAATGGAAATTTATGTGGCATGCACATTATTGCAATTGCTCCGTCATATTGAATTCCAACATCGGCAACAACTCGAGTATTTTTCGAGTTTTTGCATCATAGATTCTAGATTAGTGTTTATAAATTTGAATACACTACGGCATAGGGAAGTGGGCACTTGTGATATCCACTTTCAGAGTTTATTTGAGGCTTCATTGCTTTTTTATATTCAATATTTATAGAAAGCCTTGTTTTCGGTGGGTGTGTAGAGCGCGTTATATTGATCAAATATATATTTCAAACGTAAACAATAATGTTATTTAAAACAGATAAACATTTTTCGAATGTTTGGTTTTCAGGACTGATGGATATAGTCAAGTTGCAAAATTGCGTATGTCCCCAAGTCATAGGCACATTTTTGCGTAAGTCATGTGACGTCACATGCCTACATCATGCATAATAATTTAAAATCCGAATACGACTAAAAAATTGAACCATGGGAAATTATTTTCTCTTAATGGCATAACAATATCATTGGAAAGTTTTTACGTTTTTCTCAAAATTGCTAAATATGACTTACGCAATTTGGGTATTAGCGTGGCGATATTGTATATATTATGGTTTCATTACATTTGAACCCACGTACATTTGAACCCATGACAATTGCACCTGTATGCTATTGCACCTATGGAATTTTTTTTGTTTCACGGATAGTTAAACCCATACTAACCCTAACCCATGGGTTTTAGCACCCGCATATAGATTGAACCCGTGGATATACGCATGGGTTCAAATGTACATGGGTTCAAATGTACGGTCACCATATATTATGAATGTTTTATTGATTCTTATTTTAAAATCTAAATGCCGTGTATATGAATCAATAGATACATTTCACCTTTCTATGTCGTTTACTTCCTGTTACGTAGGGTCTGCTCTATTCTTACGCAACAATAGAGGGTAGACACTACTTGCTGTTATTTCGTGAGCTGCAGTTTATTTATCAACTTAGACATCTACGGCCGAACATTTGTCTGCATTTATTCGAGAATTGCTCTCTTGTTCATCCAAATATTTGCTGTTTTATTTTGATGCATAGGAACACTTTGTATAAAATAGGCAATCACCTTATTCCGTTATGTTTGTCTGCCTTGCTTGGCTTGTCCCCCGATCTTTTTAAAAAACTTGTTGCCCAGCTGGACATCTGAGGCCTTGCTTTACTTGTACCGATGCATGTTCTTCGTATCTATATATTTGAGTAAGCTAACTTTATAGTTCATAATTAAATTTTAAATTTTTCTATCAAGACACGAGATACTGTCTGGTTCATATAATATACCACGCGGCGGCATCATAAATACAAATAGCCTTCTTGAACTGTTCTGACGCGGTGATAGAATATACCTGAGTGAAGATCTTATGTCCCGGGCGCTAACCAAAACAAACGAAATGGTACTTGGGTACAAATGGTACAAACAATCAAATGATCGGCACTTCGACAAGCTTTAGTCTACTAACTAAGCCAACTGCGTGAAACGGACAGTTAATGCCACAGTACCGTTACTTTCATGTACGTCGTGGCTAGTCTGTCTACATGCGTAAAATCACCTAAAGATACTTATCGTGATTTCATCGATTGCCAAATTCGGAGGTTGAAAGTTGAAGTTGAAAACAATCAAGCTGTTTCTATTATACAGGGAGTGCTGAGTTACTGAAATTTCTAGCATTTGTGTAAGAGCTGTCATAGATGTCATCAGTAACTAATCTCATTAAAAATTGTAACTTTTACTCTAGTAAAAGTTAAGTCTTCGCCTTTAAGAATTTGGCTCTTACACTGACCCTGCTGAAGATATAAATTTATATTTGTAAATACATGTAACTATTGCTTCTACTATAAATAACTACAGTTGATCTATCGATGATTAGCTGTTGGTTATCTATTCAAGTGCTTCTATTGCACCGGGGATATATTTGTTTATACAAGATATACACTGAGTGGATTTATTTCAATGCCGTTTAGATTAGTCCATTGGAAAATGACGCAGCTTCATGTATTTTCGAATATTTAAATAAATGTTCGAAACTATAAAATTCAAAACGTTCGTCTGTGCAAAATGCTTTGATCTTTATCATTGAGGTTTATCATTAAAGCAGATAACGAATTGCTTTTGCTTCGGTGCTACGTTTCTTTTGTTGCAATTCCGCAAGTGTCCATATTGTTTAAAGGGATTTTTTTAACTTTATGGTACTATACACTGTCTTCAGAAATATAATCGTTTATTTAGTTTGCAACTATCTTCGATGATTTGTATAAAAGTATGAACTATCACGTATAATTTCAAAGTTTTTATTGCACCCCGCAAAGTGTTATTGACGTGAATATCAAAAATCTGATTCTCTTTTATGATAGGCTGGATTGTGCACTCATTAAGAATCACTTAAATATTTGGGATACTGCAACAACATTTCATTAAACCAATATCAACTCCACGCCATTGAATATATCCATCATTCAATTCATGAGACCCCGAAAATTATTTTATGTTCGTTATTATCTGTCAAGATTACCCAAACGAAATATTGTCTTGAGCAATATACCATGTTTATTTTTAGTCAATAAATTGGATGTTTCGCGAGTACGTGATTGCCGGTGAAAATAATTTTACTCGTCAGGTTGCAGCGCGTCGCAGAAGCGTTTTGTGAGTTGTGATATCTCGCAAGTGGCTAAAACCTACATACACGTGCTTTGGCTCATTTTGGAAGGTTGAATATTATTCGTTTAGAATTTAGATTATATATACAACCTGTTTTCAACCAGTGGGCCATGGCTCATTTCAGGGCCACAGAAACCTTATTCAAGTGTCCCACAAGCCTATTAAAAATTGTCAGAGTTATTGATGAATTAGTGAAACTTTTATTGTTGTAGCAATGAAAGATGATGCAGCTCTGGGTGGTAATTCTCATTTTATTAAATAAAGTAGAAGTGTCCATCTTTGCAAAAAGAATTCATGAGAACTGGTTCATTCATTGCATGAAAAATTTAATGAGACACAGGATTTTTTGTGCAACAAAAGTGACAATAGAAAAATGGTTGTGAACCACACTTCTATACACAAACAACAACACAAGTTTTAGTTTTTTCAAATTTTGGTTAAGCATTGCATTTCATGCTCGTTTTTCTATCCCTTTTCAACTCCTAGTACGAATGTTGCAACAAACAAACAAAATCAAAAGTGGGTTATTCAAAACTCGGTCTTAAAATTTCTTGTAACACCTCATTAACGCACGTGTTGAGAAATATTTTGTTATTGGACACAGAGTGTACATATGGAGCGTTTAGTTAATATTATTATTTTTATGTCAGAACTGTTTCCATCGGTTTTTTTCCATTTTTTGCTCTAGAGATATTAGGTGGAATTCATGCTTTGATCCGGGTTAGAATACATTACTTTGTCAGAAGGTCAGCGTATATATATATAAAGTGAAATTCATACAACTGTGGCAAGTGTGAAATAAGTGAGACATGGCATTTTCTGAAGTGAGTCTCTATCCTCTTTGACGTGAGTGCGTGTCACTTTGTTCTCATGATAAGATCATGGGATTTCATATAGTCAGTCACAAAATGTCAATGGTTTACAATAAAAAATATGTAAAATCATACTAGCAATGAGCAATAATAAAGAATAATTTGTAATCAAGCTATTTACCACATATTTTTCACACATTTACACATGTTTACATATTTATTTACATATGTTTAACGGATAACTGAAGAAACTATACAATATCACTGCAGACATCAATCATAATCACATCTACAGAAATAATATATCACAACAGTAAATAGGTCAGTTTCGTGTCCGACAATCGTGCACATTATTTGTGTTGTGAATATGTGATCCAATGGAATGCAACACATTCGTCACATTCGGAGCCTAGATGTTAGCTCTAAAATCTATATTTTCTTCAAGGTTCCAAATATTATTCAGTGGGAAATAAATAAAGAGATGTGTATAATACTGTAATAGGTGAATGAAGATTATTTCATTATTTAGAAGTATTGATGTAAGATTGATAAAACTCATCTTTATTGTATTCGTCCACCGGTACCATATGTACTTAAATAACAAATATTTAAATAACAAATTAAACATGTTTAAAACATGTGACGTTTTAATTAACGTTAAATAGAAAGGACGACGTTGGTCCGATGATATTGTTGCCAAGGGGTTTTAAAATTGTTAAGTTATTTAAATTTATAAGTGATATTGAATTTGTCTCTCTTTAAACATCAACTTTTCAAAATGCCAAAGTGTATACACTATACCAGCAAAAATTTAGAAAAAATTGTCTTAAGGAATGGTTTGCCCCTTCAGATGATAAGAACAAGACCTTTTGTAAGTTCTGCATGTGGGAACTGAATTCTAGGTGATGATGTTAGCTTCTTCGACATCTAATATTACTGTATTATGGTTACTTTTCATTAAATTCAATGACTTCATCTAGAATCTAGATGTATTTTCTAGATGTTTTATTTTTTAATCTGGATGTTTTTCGAGGTCAATCTAGATGTTTTTAGTCAGGAAAAAGTGGCAGCCCTGTTATTCACCGCTTTGTTTAAAGGCGGCTATAGCCTTGAGGTTGTGTAGGCTATACGATGTCGGACTATATAACCTGTAATATTGTTAGCAACAACCGAGGCTCTTCATGTTATTTTTTCTAGTCAATGACCAATGTATGATTAGTCAGATATTTTCAGTATGGACGATTATTGAGGAAGAGCTATTATTGTGGGAGGAGGTCCAGTTGGAACGCTCACATCTATATTCTTAGCTCGTAGAGGATACAAAGTCGATCTTTATGAAGCCAAGTCGGACATAAGATGTTGCAAAAATGAGTCCGGTGAGAGATCATGATCGTTTTCTGAGCAATTTCATCCGTATCAAAAAAAAAATTTTGACCTATTCCAATAAACAGAACACAGTCAATTAGAGTAATAAATTGACGACCTGCCCAATATTTCAACCTAAATTTTGCTGGTTTTTGTAATTCACGGACACACCTTCGGATCAAACATTTAAATTGTGCATAATAATGTAAACGATTTCTTTTCAAAAACTGAATAAACTTAAATGTATGATGATTTATCAATGTTTTGTACTTGAAAAATCTACTAAGGAGCAGTTACTTTCGCTGTTCGACTACCAATCTATGTTTTAGCAGTACTGGTAGCTATTCATCCATTGGTGTACAGCATGTGCACAACTGAGATACGGCATACTGATTTTGATGCTTTTCGTTCAGCGGGACGACAAATAACTTTGGTGCTGAACTTAAGAGGTTTGACTGCACTACAATGTGCTGGGATAAATGAACAGATTGAGGCGATGTGGGTTCCAATGTAATCAAGGTGTGCAGAGTAGCTGTAGTCGTGAGTCCGTTTCAGCGTCCTATATTCCAAGACTCAAGCAAGATTATATTGCTGTTTGCTAATGTTATCAAAGATATTTACATTTTATACTTTTCGATGAATTTGCGTTTGTCAGCGACTGATCTCGTGACTCAAAACAATCAAATTTTTGACTACGCAGATCGATTTCCATTTCAAGTATTCAGAATCTAACCATCCTCCTGAATAGCAAATTTTTCGATTAAAAAAGATGGAGCTTTTATAAACAATGTATTGTTTAGTTAACGTATCAAACTAGGCTCATTTAGGTTCATTACGCGGCTTCAAACTTCAAGGGCCAATATTCCTAAACCGCGCGTCAAATCGAGTCACGAGTAGGGATGGCGGAATCGAGTCCGGATTCGATTACAGAATCGATTCTTTGCGGAATCGACTAGAATCGATTCCGATGCATTGGAATCGATTCTCTAGGTTAAAACTTGGATTGAAAAGAATGTGTAAAGTTTTGTGGCAATTTCTTCACATATATGTATAAACTGCTTCACTGCTATGTTGAGTTGCTACGACGACGCAAACTTCACTTCACTATATATAATATTTCGATAGAAGGCTTTAACGTTTATTTATTTTAAAAATCTCTGTGGGTTCTGAGGGATTCGTTTTTTTGTGCGATTTTGTCTCCTGTGACAGATTGGATACCCATACTACTCAGTTCCGGCCTTCTTGGCAGTCCAAAATTTGAACATCGTGCTTCCGTTTGATTTCATATGGTATTGCTTAGGTGGGTATGTTTTTTCGGTAAGATATGTCGAGGAATCGAGATTCGGAATCGACATCGAAAATTTAGGAATCGGATAAGAATCAAATACTCGTAAGTACTCGTACTTGGCATCCTTAGTCACGAGTAACCCGAGTTTGAAGTCGACTTTGTTTGCAGCCAGTTAGTTGATGGGAATCCGAGTCATTTGATTTATAGGACTCGAGTCTTTAATGATTGGTGGCTATAAATAACTAATTACCACTCCTCATACCCAACATGGACTGATATCCGGGCGAGAGATTGTGGCAATACACCAGATTGATCCGTTTGATGGGATTTGAATATATATACCCTATACAAGGATTTTGCATTATCTGTTTATTAAACTATATGTATTTATATTAGCTGTATTCATCCGACCAAAGGAAAACCATATACGTTGCCTTACGAAAGAAAGGGGCAGTATATTCTCTCGATCGGACGGCTTCATTTGAATTAGAGACTTCTTACAGAGGCGGAAAATACAAAAAATGTGACCATACATTTTAGACACAAGTTGCTGAATTGCGACACCGGGATCCCAAACGCGACTTTTAGCACTCCGGATGGGAAAATTACAGAGACAGGAACCATACTGATTGGATGCGACGGGGCATATTCCGCTGTAAGGCTGCAAATGATGAAGGGCAGAATGGACTATAGCCAATATTACATCGATCTTGGTTATAAAGAGTTTCATATTCCTTCGTCGCCAGATGGAGATTACTCGTTGAATCTCCACAACGGACACATGTGGCCGAGAAAACAATTCTTGATTGCTGCCTTCCCAAATTTAGACAAAACATTCACTTCTACCATAGTTATGCCTCGCCGAATGTATGAAGAGATTAATAATGAAGACGATGTTATATATTTCTTCAATAAACACTTTAAAGACTTGATCCCATTGATCTGTGAGGCAAATCTCAGATCATCGTTTTTCAAACAGGCACCCAAGCCGTTAGTGTCAGTGAAGTGTTCACATTTCCATTATGGAAAAACTACCGTGATACTCGGTGATGCTGCACATGCCATGACAGTGTTTTCTGGGCAAGGTGTGAATTGTGGTTTGAAAGACGCATTGATTTTCGATCAATTAATGGAAGAATTTGACTGCAACTTCAAAAAGGTACTTCCAGCTTTTTTTTAAATCTCGAGTAAAAGCAGCACATGCTGCCGAAGATATATCCCTACGGAATTTCACCGTGCATAGCTCAGAAGTTACTACACCATGGTATATACTACGCGAAAGGCTCAGAGTGATTCTCCAATATTTATTTCCTTCCAGATTTATCGGCAGTCGCACACGTGAGTGCCATATGACGTTGCTAAGAAAATAATTGAAAAACGAGAAATTTTTTTAGATGTGGGAATCATGGCTGCGGCAAGCATTTTTCTGTCTGCTGGGTCCTTAGCACTTTGGAAATTTTCAAGCTAACAAACATATATATTTGGCAGAGTTGAAATATGTTGTATTCAGAGTCTGGAATGCTTTTTAGACGCAAATGCGTAGACGACAAAAACAAAAAAAGAGTAAATATTGGAATCGCCATCGCTAAATGTAAATATTTTTTAAAGCCAAATAATGCTGCTGATTGATTGTACAATATTGTAATTTTATTTGAAGGGCGCAGTTTGCTTATATTTCCAAAAGTGTCCAGTAATAAAAATTTAATCGATGTGATGCTTAAAAGTGATGTTTCCGCGCGAGCGCCCTCAATCTGCGTTAACCATGTTTTTTAAATGACTTGGCCGTTTTCTCTTTGTTACATATTCCTATAGTTTTACTCTGTGTCATAATCTCAAAAATTTTTCTAATATCGCAACTACTGTATTTGCGCCAGTTATACCTCATTCTTAGGATTTATATGTTTTATCCCTCATTCATGTTACTTTTTATTCTAAACTGTAACAGCGCTGTAGGTGTCGCGACCCCGGTCACACGAATAACATAATTAGTAATATATATATTTATTCATTGTATCAGTTTTTTTTAAATTGTTTTTGTGATGACAAATAAACGATTGATTGCGCTGGCAACAAGATGGGCAACTTCAATACATCGAGGGGAAATGCACCGCTTATAGTATAGAACTGCGCATTATAACTAGGGTTATCATATTTTTGTGACTTCAAAGTGGGACGCCTCTAAAGACAACAATCCCTTATTAGCTGTGATCCTGTAACTTCACAGTTTTAGATTTTACTACGTAGGCCTACATTTAAAGCCATCCGGCTTTTGTCGGGACAAAACGCTAAAAAGTGGGACTGCCCCGCCTAAATGGGGACGTATGGTAAGCCTAATTATAACTAATTCATTATTAGGCGCCATCCATTAAATGATGCCATTCTAATATGCATGATCGACATTAGTGTCATCATTATCCCATATTAATTATTTTGACCATAAAAGAACAGAAGATCTGCGGTGTGTTTGCTTACCTGGAGCTTGGGAAACAAGTCCTCTCATCGCTGCCATCAAAGTGGATATGCGGTTTTATTCTGAACCCGAATTTGAGCAAAACTATCACTCACAGTAACATATTTAGAGATCATTTGACAAAACATTCATTTACAAATGTTCACTAGCTTACCGAAGGAGTAGGTTGCATATGAAAGAATCACTATAAATGGACTTTCTAAGCAAAATTTAATAAAAATCGTTGGCAGTTTTTTCATCTTTTCAATAATAAGCCTTGTTTGATTCGTATTGCATTTTGTTGGTAATATTTTAATGGCTCCCATAACATCTGTATTATTCTACGCCATTAACCAAATTTCACAACAGTTTTTAATCATTACCAAGCAGCGCCTTCAATTTCAGTTTCCAGCTTTGCAAATGACCGTACTTCTCTGGTGGTTAAATTGCTGACAATGTAGTACATATCGGGAGATACAGTGTTACATACCGATAACTGTTCGCCTTGTCTATAGAGGTGGTGGCAACCTATTTAGGTAGATGAGCATTTAAGGCACAATGACTGGTTTGCAGTCGGAATGAAAAAATGACATTTACGAGATAAAGTAATAAGTTCTTGTCGTGAAATCATGAGAGGATCGCAACAGGATTTCGCTTCTGAGACAGGAAGTGGAAGCATTGCGTCGGTTTTGCTCTCCAGAATGTGTAACTTGAAATGCATACCCTTCATGTCACTCCATGGCCGTGTTCCAATCAGATATATAGTAAGTATGCTATTAAAAGTATAGATGTATATTGGCATTATCAGTCAAATTTTCAGTATCGACTAAATGTAGACCGATATATTTAGCATTCTAATCTGATACTGAATGTGGTAAAAAATAAGTTAGAATACTGATATTGAAATTCTCGTCTATTGTTACTCTATTTAAAAGCTCTCGTTCTGTCATAGATCTGAAATCAGGATCAGGACTTTTTAGCAGTGATAGGCAAATCTTTATTAAATACTTTTTGTAAAAAATTACTTGAAAATATTCGGAAACACTATATTATATATATAAAAATAAATTGCAAACTTTATCCAATAAACAGTGAGACTTCAGTAATAGGTAAACACAGGCTCTTTTAAGGATGTAAGTGCATGGAGAGTTTTCATATTCTGAAATAAAATTGAATCGGTTATGAAGGTGATTAAGCTTTCGTTAAAAACCGCAACTCTGATATGAAAAACAAACGATGAAAAAACATAGACGATCAATTAACGCTAATTAAACAGAATACTTTAGAGTTTGATTTGGTTACAATAATTAGGGCATTTCTAAAGCGAAGTGAAGATTAGGGCGAAAAAGAAATTATTCGAAGGTATTGACGAAAATTTCGAATTGCTGCTATCTTGTTTTTTATTATCCCTCGAAATGAATCCACTCATTTTTTTTATTGAATCCATGTTTTTACAGTGCAATTCTGACATATGATTTATTTTTTTTCTAGTGAGTTATTGATGAAACCTATTTCTTATTGTGTATGAACACTCCGCGAACTATATGAATGATGAATTCTGCGTTTGTAGTAATTTGTGTGCCTGGACCTAAAGGTTCCAATTACAAAAAAAAAATCACATACAGTATTACATATCCTCCAAGTATTTAAAATTTGATTCGAAAAAAAAATATTCGATTGATTCTGAAATCATCAGGTATTCAAAAAGGTCCAGCCCCAGTCAAGATCGATCTTACTGGCACACGTGACTTCCTTTTTCTATTAACTACAAAACTATATAACATGGCACACCAATAACTAGATAACAATATAAACTTAGTCGCGAATGTACATTCCCAGCAAAACTATTTGTGTGCGCCTAAGAAGCTGATATAATAGTGCCGTCATAAAATTTTGGAATAGGACGGTTGCCATATTTATACTGCGAGCGAGAAAATCCTAAAAGACTGCTTAATCACGTGATGCCCATGGCCTCTTCGTCAGATAATCATGTTATGTCCGGAAATACTTGACAATTGTTCAAAATTCATGTATGTAGCGGTTACGTTACGGGTACTTGCTGTGACGACAAGTAGTCCAGCAATTTCACTTACAAATATTCTCGATGGGATTCGAATCTATAAACCCACGAAAGGTAAATAAATAGTGATGTGACGGAGATCGCATTTTTAACGATCAGTGAGATAAGGCATCCGCCATTAAACCTTTTACCGCGATATAGTTAGCAAATTACATGATTAGAAACATTGTTAAATAAAACTTAAATCGTTTTTCCAACAAATCTCTCAGTTGATGGGGTGGGTGGCTTAGTGGCAGAGAGCTGGATGATGTTGGCATCACAAGTATGATATACCATATACGGGCAAAGCGGTCCAGGAAAGATTTCGTTTCTTCTAACAACGGAGAAAGGCGAACATGCTAAATTCATCTACGATACGAGTGTGCTGGTCGAATTCATCGTTTTACATAGAAATTTGGCGGCATATCACGCGTTCATAGTATGTCATTATGTAACGTGGCTGCCATCATGTTGACATAACCCGGCGATTGAAAGATATCGGAGGACATATCTTCCCTCCCCGAATAATTCAAATTTAACCCTCGGACGAAGAAGGGCCAATCACGCATTATCACGTTAACCTGATTTTCACTCCTATAAAATGTAAAAGCGAGAGAAATTCCCAAAATGTCTCGACACAAAAGACAAATAACTAATGCAATAATAGCAAAATTCCAGCTGAATAAAAAAAATGAACCGAATGTCACCGAAGGTGTACCTGAGAAATATTTAAAAAAAATTGGCTTGAAATATCGGGCCCAATAGAAATCATAGAAAATTGAGTAATATCCATCTTTGAATACTGACTTTTGAAATCGATTAGCACATTGTTGAAAAAAAGAAAATTTCACAAAAATAAAAAAACGCAAAAAAAAGAAAATTTCGCGAATCCATTAGGATCATTTCGTGTCCAATAAAGTTAACAAAACGGCTCAATCCCCTAGTTAACTATATGTAGAGTATACAGATTTTTGCTTGAAGCGATAGAAAAAATAGAATTAATGATGATAGAAGAAAGGGTTAATTTAATATCACGCCATCTATGCTGTACAAGATTTCCAAAGAATAATAAAAAACATTGATATAAATATACCTAACGGGCGTATCACATAACGCTGTTCTCGACAATCGTTTTTAAACAATAAGAACACGTTCCCGACAAAAAGAAACTTTTGTTCTATTGTTTTGTTTGTTTGGGGTGAACTAAATATAGATCTTTGAGGGGCATTGAAGGTACAATCAAGAAGCTCTAGACCCGCGGAATGTAATAATCGTGAATAGCCCCACCCCTTCATTGTAACGATGTATGTATACTTGATTATACATGGCATGAGATAGCATTGGATAATATCACGATGACTATGACTACCACAACAATGTCAGCAAAATTCCGGCCATGTCCAAAGTTTTTTTTTCATGAAAACTTCAGTTATGTGGAATTCGCCTGTAACTTCACTCTGAGATAAATCTCCCCATTTTCGAGTGAGTGCACCAACCGAGCTTTGAGAAAATTGTCTTATAAAAAACAGCAGAATAAAAGAACAAAAAATTTGAAAGTAATTGACTATCAGTTGTGGGAAGAAGCAATATTTTACAACGATGACCACCCCAGCGAGAACAACAACAACAATTTTTCAAAACGATCCATTTGCCTTAGTGTCTAATTATAAACCATAAAGTGAATGATATTCACAGATTCGAGTTTACTACAAATATTGAAACAGGAATACAACTTTAATTTCTAGCGATATGTTATTTATTTATGTGAAGAGTTAAATTTATATTCCGATTTATTGTAATCTCTATTGTTACTGTATGTGTGGCAATTAAAACCAGTTCACTTTTTAAACAAATTGGGTTGGCACGCTAGGGCATTTGAACAAATATTGACAGCAAGAGATAAGTGGGGACTTGTGGTTGGTTCAATTGAAAAGCAAACTATCATCAACAAAAGAATCGTCCATGTATAAAACATGGATGAAATATGAAAATAGCATGTGATTTTACTATGGCCTAAAATTGATCCCAAACACTTTAAGAGTTTGAATTGCGAAACCTGATAAAATATTTCAAGTGCGTAACTAAGGTAACCTGATGTGAATGTAATCAGGATTTCAAAAGCTGATGTATTCAATTCTGAATTGCAAATGACAACAAAGGATTTGTCAACATATTAAAACACCATGATCAAATATAAAATTCCAATATTATATTTTAGGGTCATATTTGAATTTAAAAACATTCAATTGTTGCTATACACCAATAAAAACACCTTTAGTCTTATTCAGAATCAGAATTGAATTCATGTATCAATATAATAAAACACAAAAACCACGTTTAAACAGAAAATCACAAATTCAAATGTTTTAGGTCATATTGAAATTGATCCTATGCCACCAAAGAAAACACTATTAAGCATATTCAGAATGATAAATAGAATTTGTGTGTATTATTTATTCAATCAGAAATATCTTATTCAAAAAGTTGTTTTGTCAAGGATATACTTCCGGATAAGTCCTACCACTGTAACAACCTTCCCACTGGCAAAGAAAACATTTTTAAAAGTTCTCATAACATATTTGGTTATGTTAGAAGGTGGACAAAAGTCTTGCCGACATATAAATAATATTATCTTGTGTAATGTATTTGTTTTGTTCTCTAGTGAAAGCAATGACTTGTTGCGATTTATATTTTATGGGACCAAAACAGAAATGACTTCCTATGAGACATATTTCATTAAATCTAGAAAAATTTTGAATACAATGCATAATGTGCGATGGTGTTTTTCCTAGCAGATACTTACTAAAACCCAGGTATACCAAAAATGAATCCAATTTTCAAACTGATTTAACATTTCAAATTATTGATTTGAAGAATACCGTAGTTTTTATTTGAAAAAATTATTATTTTGAGAAATTGAAGTCTCCTTCAATAACCAAAAAGACTTTTATTTAATTTTTGACAACTATGACAAATTGAGTTAAACTTAAAATTAACTCTTAAGTAGGCCTATTATCATTATTTGAATATGACTCAATATAGAATATATTTGGTATTCTAAATTATTATTTTAAGATTTATTTGGAATAGAAGATATACAGATTTGGCCATATCTTATCTAAACATTTTCTTTCTGAAGGTATATTTGATTGTTAAATATGCTTAATCATGTATGAATGTCTACGTTACATCAAATTATTGTCTGTGATGAAATTTAATGCTTCCCTAAGTTGCTCCCAAACAATGGAAAGTACAACAACCTATTGTCTGGAACAAATCTGAAATCTCCTTATTATTCGGAACAATGAACACAAACGTATAAGGAATTTTTCTTCATAATTCTCAGAATTTAACACGAATTAAGCTGGATTGGTGGCAGCGCATTGTGTATTAGGTATTAGAAACAAGATTCTCATCGAACCTCTGATTACCAATTATGCGACATAGATTACTGAACAAGGATGGTTACCATAATCGCTGGTTGAATACGGCTTCCTCCATCATCAAGCTCATGCATCTGAAATTAATGACTGGGTAACTATCCCCCACTCAACACGGACTGGTAACCGGACGAATACCATGATTAAGTTGTCCTATCGGCTTTCTTTTCCCCACGATGTATATGAAATGCTTATCCCACCTTTATTAATAAGCCTTGTGATTATAAAAACTACCCTTTGAATACTTGACATCACGTCTATCTCATTCAATTAATTTTTTTCAATGAGATATCAGAAAACTACTGTGAATATTAAAATTTATTTCCACAGTAACAGCTGTTAAAAATGTCATTTAATTACACAGTCATCTTACCTTTGAATGTATAATATTTCCACCTAGTTGCAAGGCTTTTTAAAACGGAATAAAAATAAGTACAAAAACTTACCTTAAAACACTATGACAATACACTTGAAAGGAGTGGAGGATGTTGAGGACCCCAGAAATACAAAGGATTTGAATCTTTATCTTCAAATTTGAGCATAAAACTTAATTCAATTGCTTCTGATTTTGTTATTGCAGCCGAAGTTCTTCTCTTTCTTGTTCCGTTTGTTTCTTCTTTAGAAGCAATGAGCAATTTCTAACAAATAAAAATGCAAGTTTTGGGGAAAGCATTATAAATTAAATTTATCATTTATTCAGAAATTTTCCATAATATCGCTGCCATTACACGATTAGGATTTAAAAATTAGGATTTCAAATATGTGCTATCAAACAGGTTTTACGACGATTTACACCATACCTTCAATATTTTTTGTAACTCTCGAATTATAGTCTTCATATCAAAATTAGCTCCTGATGCTTTTCTCATTGCTTCATTCCAAGGAAATGCCAAAACAAAATCTCCAACTCGTGTTCTTGGCCATGGATTAGAGGGACTCATCTTTGTTGCTTTTGTACTTTCAATACTGTATGGCGACTCTGGAAAATTTTCATATAATGATCAGAACCTGATAAAGCATGGTACTTGATCAGTTGCTATGCCAATACCACTTAAAAGGATTGTAAAATGAAACTAACTGACATGAGTAGTCTGAAAAGCAAATCATTTTTAACAACTTCAATAAAACTATAAATTATTTAAGCCAATATGAATACACATAGCATGTTATACAAAACTTGAAAATTAAGACTTATATATAAAATTATGTGTATAAAATCATTATGTATTAATAGAAATTTGAGAACAGAATCTTGTTATAGAAAATGTGTTTCATACAGGTAAAGTGTTGAATTGAAGTGCATTTAACTTTTAGAACGACTATGATATTCCACATAGCAAAGAGCATACAAGGTACCTGTTTTTTTACCGAATGAAAAGATTGAGTTTTGTTTCATTAACATGTGTGGAATTACCATATGATATACATACGGTAATTACATATAGTAAAAACAAAGCATATGAAAATTATTACTTGATAAATCAAGTCCAGGTATATGAAACAAATAACTTGCTGAACACTCATATACCCGAAATGAACTCGAAAGCAGACAAGAGGCTGTGGTTCACAATATGAATAGACCATATAATTGGATTTACTCTCTCAGCAATAAATATGAAAATCTTAAGACTTCAAGATCTCATACAGACTGTTATTTAAACACTTTTCATCATCCGATATCTATATTATGGTACAATACATCAATAATACAATGCCTTCTATTTCCACAAAATATTCATAATAAAATATTATTATTGTTTACCGAGAAATAAAAGGTGATAAATCGATGTAAGTTGGCATAATACAGTCCTTGTTCAAATATAAAATGGTCACAAGAACGCGAGAGTTTGGCTTAAATCACCAAACTTATTTTAGTTGTCATAACATCTACGCTATCAAATCCTATCTACTTCCGATACTTTACCAATATTCAAGCCTCACCTACGATTTTACTCTGAATAAAACTGGAAATGATGAAAAGAATTTCTATAAAATCATACTTCGATAAAATACAATGAATACAATCCTGTTCTAATGCTACATAAACAAATTATTAAAAATATTCCAATTTATATATTCAATTCATGTTTAACAAAAAAACATATCGAAACCAATGTATATTAAATATGGAAATTCAGAATTTGAATTTGGAAATGCAGAAACAATATTTTTCATTTTTTAGAGTCTTCAGAAATTGTATGTAGTCTTTTGCGGTTATACAAATACTGTTGGACTCTAAATCCTTAATATGATAAGTTTTCAAACAAATGTATTCCAAATAAATTATTTCTAAAATCAGTTCCTCAGTTCTACTTTACAATATTTGTTTATTACAATCCTACTACAAATATTTTTAAATGGAAATTACAATTACAAAGACTATCAAATTTGAAAAAATAAAAAAGCTTTACAGTTAAACATTGGTACTGAAAATGTTATTCTCTTTCATTGGTATTCTATTTAAAAAAAAATACTCACTATGGTAATCTATCGTAATAATCAAACTGCATTACTAATACAAAATAAAAAAAATCTTAAGATAATTGCCATAAAGCTAGATTATGCGCACCCGATCCCCAAAACTCAATTTAGTACTCAGAAGAAAAACAGCATGAACATTTCTTTATCTGGATTTACAACTAACCATAACAATAAAAAGTAATGATATACATCTCAAATAAACCCATACAATGCACAAGTTGTAATAAAAAGACAAAATACTTACTGTAAGAGCTTAATGCTTTTTTTCTTGAAAATCTTTGAATTCTTATTTGTTTATTATCCGTAGAATTGAAACTTGATTGATGTGCATCATCCCTCACTGGTGTACGACTGATCGGAGCTGAATTTATAATTTTCTTTTTTCTCAAAGACCTAGTATGTCGGTTTAAACCAGGATCCTCACTTTCATCGATGGATTGCATACTCATAGCAAGAGTAGATTGTGGAGTGTTAGTTGCTTCGGCTATAGGATGGAGTCTTGAGTCTTTGAGTTGACTATCTATACCTCTGTTATAATCCATCGGTGTGAGTGTAGACTTAGACGAACGATTGAAACGAGGTGTCGTGGCACTAGTTTGGATTCGAGGCAGTGTCTTGGAATAGTTGGGCCTTGATTGTAGCCTGAAAAAACAAGGAGTAGACAGACCATTTAACATATATATCAATAAAACTAATCTGCAATTTTATTTACCTCATTTTATATTCAATAAAAAACCAGCTATAATAAGTCTTTGGACTAGATCACAAGTTCCCACACTTTGCTAAATTAGGAAACATTTCTTTCTTAAAAACAAAGCATACACACTGGATCTGACTTTAATTATTAACATTAATTACTGCAAGAAAAACTTTATAATATATGCCTATATAATCAACTAGCAATAAATAATATCCAGATAATATTTCGGTTACAACTTGCAAGGTATAAATTTTCATAACATCAAATTTAGAATACATATATTTAAAAATAATACAAATATTCATAATAATAAATATAATAAAACACCTACACACGTTGTCATTGTATCGGATTGAATTGTTCCTTATTAGCCTGAGTATTTTAAAAGAAAACAACAGTCTGGAAGTTTATTACATTCGTGTATTTTTGTGTGTGTGTTTATTTTTATTATATTGAGTTTGTTTTTGTGAATTCGTGTTGGTGAGCGGGTACATGATGCTCATCTTGTTTTGAATTTTTTTAAGGTTTTCCTCGCTCTCCAGAATTCTCCATTTTTTATTTGTTTGTATTGTCAGATTGTGGAGTTTTCGAAATAAACTAAACTATCTATCTAATAAAAAACAACTGCTTATGTACCTGAATGGTTTTCTCGAGGCAGTTCGCTCCTTTTCAGAACTCCTGCTGGAAGGCCGATCAATTACAGAAGATTTTAGTAGTTTCGTTGCCATGGTGTGTTTGTCGGATCCCAACAACCAACTGCCATCCGTTGTAAAATCACTATCTTCATTATCTTCCAACAAATCAGTTCTGCCAGTCAGACAAACGCTTTCTTCTTCAGCGAGATAATGTTCATCATCATTTCTGTTCGATTTATTAACTTATTTTACTTCAACCTAGTGTTTTACAGTGTAAATAAGGCTAATATGTGCCCATGTTTATCCCTTTATTGTTTGTATTTTCACTGCTCCAGTTTGCATAACAGTAACAATATTCACAAACTTGAAACCCCAATATCATTTTATTATTTATATTCATGTTTCATCAAAATGTTCACAAGCTGATTAGAGGGATAATCATTGTGCTTTTATGGTTTATATCTATTTATAATCTCAAAGTTCACAAGATACAAAATCACATATAATATATGTAGGTATATTATATGATTTTTGAATCTTCTTTGAAGTTTTGGCACCTTCACTGAATTCCTGTCTTGTGGTTGGATTTTTGCACAAAGGCGAAATCGAAATAAATTATCTATCTTATCTTATATATTCACCATCATTAAATGTGTACAACACAAAAATAGGCATAAATTGTATTAATAGGGAACAAAGTAGACGAATAAGAAACGCTTGACATGATATGAAATAATAAATCATGATTATTATTTGTATTTGATATTAAATTTCTTACCCTGCATGGTTTTGATTATCCACAGATGACTGACTAGATGCCATACTACTGTTGCTCAAATTTCTTGGAATGGAGGTCATAGATGATATCCCACTATCGCAAGATTCACCTTCTGGAAAATGAACTTATTTTGTCACAAAATCCAATAAAATGCCATCTAAAAATGCTGAAAACTGAATTTAAAATTTTTCTGTTCAAAAAATATATTTATAATATAAAAATGATAAAAGTTGGTCCTTTTTCGGTAAAGTTATTCTTTTTATTTCCTCCAGATTACTGCTAATTATTTCAAGTAAGTAAAGTATTAAGCCATTTCTATATCAAACTTGTATTATTAAAAACTGAGACAATTAACCAAAATTAATCTTTTATCTACTTCTGATCGTCTTACAATTTTAATTTGGTATTGTTCGTTAGTAGCTTCATAGTAAGTACCGGTAATACAAAAGAAAACAGACTAGGGCTGGCCAAAACATTCCAAATTAAAATTTTCAAGTGTGGAATATTGATTATATTCTAAATAGAGTCATGTTCAATCAAAACATACAGAGGAAGAAGTCTGAAATTTGAGAAAACAGTGAACGTTAAGATACACAGTGATACAGGTAATTCGATTTATAATTCCTAGTTTTCAGGAATTCAATGAAAACCTTTTTGGATATACAGTCACTTCAAATTGATGAGTTTGAAGCAGTGTGGTGCATCGTGCTAAGCGTTAGGGATTCACTTGACACCGCATCTATGATTAATAACCTGCGTGGGTTCAAATCCTGTGGCGGAAATTATATGCGAGAGGATTGCTCAACCTCTCGCCGCCATTGGGTGGTTCAGTTCAAGTCTATGCATCTGGAAACTAATCACTGGCCAACTGATCCCATAGTCGACATGGACTGGTAACCGAACGAAAGGCTGTGGTTCGCCATATGATTGAGCTGTCTCATCGCCTTTCCTCACTCCGGAGGTTAATATGTACCGGTAAATCCTATGCTATCCTAAAAAATTCTAGATTACTCCCATAACCAAGATTTAGAAATATAGTATATAATAATATTGTATTTGTTTTGGACAACCTTGAAACGGTGTGACTATTGTAATTGACAAACACTATTGTTACCTTCATCCACTAGTGTTTTGACAATGCTTGGTAGTCTTTGATTGTTTTTTGACAAAGTTGAACGAGGTGTGACATGTTGTTGAGATCCAGTGTTTGCGTCCCTTGGTGATGATTTATATCTTCCCAACAAAAGTGGACTTTGCTTCGATACTCTTGGTTTAGAATATGTGTAGGAATTGGAAGATGTAGAATTGGATGAACTATCATTTCGCATGTGGGATTTGCGTTGGCTATTCTTTCATATCTAAAACATGGTTGAATATGATACACTTGTTATTTTTGACAAAAAGATAATAAATCATTCAACTATAAGTTCATCACTATGGCAACATCAAAAAATATCAGGCATAAAAATATTTTTTTTTGAAGGAAATGCAATGACCTGGTGTCTGAGAGTGAGACAAATGCAAAAAAACAGAAATAATCATAAAGAAGAATACTTCTTACTTTAATTGGGAAGTAGAACAGATACTTTATGTTACGAGCCATTAAAGTTTCAACTATTCTCTCTCTTAAAACTTACCCTGAGTGTTTAAGACCACATGTAAAGAGCAAAATTTCACATTATATTGGTACACTCTGTTCACTGATAGAACAGCGTTCGCCAAAAAAGTGAATAGTTTATATATAGTTATAATTACATAAACCAGTTAAAGGGTAATTTAATAATTAATGGATAATAAAAATCCTAAACTTTTCTACATTTACTCAACAATCCTCTTACTTATATGCTGAGTTGTTTTGCATTAAACAAAAACAGACTAACCTTCGTGGCGTGCTGTACGTGGGTGATGGACTCCTACATTCCCGATAAGATTTTCCACCTCTTTCAGCGTCACCTGCTAAATATAAATTTGAATTTATTTGTGATTGAATCGCATTTTAATGGTTTATTAGTATTCTAAATAAAACTAGGACTAGTTATTGAGAGAAGTAAACATTAATAGAATACCTTTGAAGTTAAGGAGATCAATTAGATCATTGAGCATTGAATGTTTCGCTATGAAATCTGCCTGGCAATCCATACTCAACGCTGGACTGAAATTCACCTAACGAAAATGAAGAACGATAGTTTTTTCACAAATTTGAATCCTACTTTGTGAAATTTCATGGAAATTGTCAGAATCAAAATGTCGTGGAATTACTAACAAAACAACTATATTTTTTTATTCATGGATAAGGCTCTGTGTAGGCAAGTACTATATTTTATTACAACTGGGTTCTTTCCAATCCCAATTGCCTACCCAGTTTATTACACTAAGGTGGTGGGCATGGGATTTGAACCTGGGATCTTTGGCATGTGATAATAGACCAATGTATCCACATTCACAAATTGAAGGTAGGCATTTTTTAGAGATATAGAAAAATCAATGCAGTTGTTAAACTGATAAGATGAGTATATAATAAACTTATTCATATCTATGATATGACACAAATTACAATTTATGTTTATAGAAAAAAAATACTGTATTTCATATAATAAGTTATATTTATTGTTTACTTGCCTCCAACAACCATGGCTTGAAATTTTGATCAATAAGAATATCGAAACCAAATAATTCAAAGCAGCTTTGTGATTTCGGAACTGTAGGAGCTTGTGTTGCCAATGTTAAAACAACTATATTTGTTATTCTCTGCCACAACAAAGTTTCGTCCACATTATCCATTTGTCGAAAAAAGTGTCGCAACTATAATTAGAAAAAACAATATCTTATCAAAGTCTGCATGGGCAATTGGGGCACCATCTGATAGTTGGGCATGGCCGCCAAAAACAACATTGCCAAATAGGTTGGGGCCAAATCCACTGGCCTTCAAAAACGCCTCCCCAAAGCAGAGATGCCAAAACATTCCCTGCCTGATTAAAGTTACTGGAATGATTAAATATGCAAAGTATGATTCAATTTGAATTGATATACATTATTATAATATAATATGAAGATTTATATTATATCTTAAAGTAGAAAAATAACAAAATTAAAAGCATTCAGCCATGTAATAATAGCAAGATTCTGAACTGCATCTGAAGAAGTTTTCCAAATTTTTAAACTTCAATTGGTAACTCAACTTAGACAAGATTTACCTGGGTTAGAGTCCATTTGCATCCAGGACCCACTCGTTCTTTATCTGCTGAGTATGCGGGACCATATTTATTTATTGATGTATTTGTCAAATGTGAAAAAACATTTCCTAGCTGTCCAAGATCAAATTTATCTGTTCCAAATCTAACAATTCCTTCCTGTAAATAGAAAGAATCATTTTTCGATGAGTAGGAATGGAGGGACTCGAGCTAGAAATATTTTCAAAATCTCAATCAGAATCAGTTAAAGGTCAAAGGTTAAAAGACTCAAATTATACGACAATATGATATGATTCCATATTCCGTAATTACCTTCAAATACTAGTCAAATAACAACTACTTGTTACTCACCTGATAAATATAAATTGTGAGAGGATGAAAACTTGGAACACAGACATATATTCTCAAATCAAACTTATATCCAGAAATAAGCAATGGTGAGCTGATATATTTCTGAACTATCACAGGGCAGTCATAATTGAGATCTTTCAAATCTTTGAACACAAAAATTCCACGTCCCCTTGACAAATCAGTTGGTTTGCATATCCAATAAACATCCTGAATTAAAAGTGAATATTTCAATGAATACAGTATTAGTAGGCTTACCATACGTCCCGCTTTAGGCGAGACAGTCCCGCTTTTCAGCATTTTGTCCCTCATCCCGATAAGTCAGCCAAAAGTCCCGCTTTTCCAGCCTAATACACAAACATGTTCTTGTTACTGTTGTTTCTGTGTAGCGCAACGCTAGCCTTCTTACTGAAGATGAATGCGTTCCTTTCCCGCTGATTCCCATTGATGGCAGACGTATCGCATGTAAAACCAATACTAATTATTCTAAATTCAAATCATTTGTACCGGTATCATTAACGTCAATTCCTTCCTATTTTTCGAACTGAACCCGATATTTGGACAAAGAATAAGCGCATGAAATTTTGATAACAATATGGTCAATAAAGACAGCCGAGACAGCTTTAAATGTAGGAATATAGTAGGCCTATGTAGTAAAATCGGAAAATGTGAAGTTACAAAATCACAGCTAATGGGTTGTTGCCTTTGAGGCGTCCCGAAGTTTGAAGTCCCAAAAATATGGTAACCCTAAGTATTAGTATTGATGAATTTGTCGACTTGAACAATGGTATGAGTTTAGGCCTAATCTCTAAGCTTACAATTCCTACCTTCCCACTTTTCTGTGTTTCTTTTGCATAATCTGACACAAATTTAGTATATTCATTTGGTAATATGTATGAAAGTGGATGGAAGTCATAAACTGAAGCACCATGAACACACCTATAATGTATAAAATATAGCCTAAATAAAAAACACATGAATGTTAATGCATGAATTTTGAGTACGAATTCACATTTATAAAATAACGTAGATTTCTAACTGTAAGCCAATTACAAATAAAAAAGTTTTTAAAAAAAAAAATTAGTTTGACTTGTAATTCAAGTATGACCCCAAATCTATTTAGTCACTTGGTATCCAACCTCATTCTTCTTAAATTTCTAACAAGACAATCTTTTCTTGTAATTGCATCAGTACGTGGGAAATGATTGAGTCTCTGCCAATGAGCTACATCAGAATGTTCAGATTTACGGAATCTTTGTGTCCTCCACCATAAGTTCCACTCTCCTTCATTCTCCTCTGCTTCTTCTTCATATTCCGTCCAGCCACGCTCCACCAATATCTAAATGTGAATATCCAATTTTTATTATAATTCTTGATAACCCATTTTTAAATTAATTCGTAATTGTGTTAGAATTCAGATGTAGGTACCCTCTAACACTGGAGTTTGTCTGATTACTTTAAATGGCATCTAGAATACTTATACTTGACTGGTACCAATCGTAGTTAGCCATATCATTATGCTGTTTGGCAGTATTTCTTTCCCCAGGATAAAGATGAAAATCCCCATCCTTAACGACTCAGAATTTTTCTTAGTTTTATGTTACATCTGGACACTTCAGGTCAGATATGAGCATATTCACATAATCTGATTATCGTTCCCGATGTGCGGACATGAACATTGCTAAGATTATAGAATAACAAGCAAAACATTCTAGAAAATCACCAGTCTGTCAGAGCTAGGAAAAGAAGCTAGGTGTCAAAAGAATATGAAATATTGACTGCTTTTTCTCATAAACGTGAATTTAAGAAAACTTGCCTGTCTTATAACATCAGGTGTGTGCTCAGATAGACGAAATACAAGCCCATCCTCAATTGATTGAAGCTTCATATGGTTTGTTCAAAAGGTATAAGCAACTAAACCAAAGATGGGTAGTGTAGCTATAGCTGTATCTGTGTTTAGTTTGGGCCTATTCCAAGTTAACTGCAGAATTATAAAACGAATTTGTTACTGATTTATGTATTCTGGTATTTAGGCATGATGGTTCAAGGGAAGATAGTTAGATGTAGTATGGTCGATAGAATATTCTAGTACAGTGATTCTCAACCAGTGGATCACGAAGCTATTCAAGATGGGTCGCGAAGTGTTTTCAAATATCACATACAGTTTTCGATAAGATCAGAAAATTGTGGCATTATCATTACATAATACAGTAATAATGTAACCATTGGAATTATGCGTTGTCGCGATTCCTATAAGGGAGCCGGGCGCACTTCAGAATTCTGGAATTGTGTTAAACATAACTAATACTGTATTATATGATTAAATATTTCACATATTGTACCGGTATTTATTACCGGTACTGTATTCTGGTATTATAAATGTTTTATTGTTTCTTATTTCGAATGCTGTTAAGTTATATGCTGTACTGTGTAGTCTATATGAATCAATAAATTCAATTTACCGGTACTGTTTTACCTTTCTGCAAACAAACCGGTGATTATAAAATTATACTGTAATCCCGTACCGTGAAAGTGTACTACCGGTACCGTACCCATTCTCCATTCAACGATTACAGCATAACAGAATGCTACATACGGTAGCGCCACAATACAAAAGTCTGTCTCGCTTTTGCCTCGCTCAAGTCTAACCCGGCGTACCTTCGCTTTGGCAACAGAACTTCCCGATACGCATCAATAAAGGTAGGAGCGATAGGTCAAAAAACATCTTGGAAAACCATCCCATATTTTCTATTGCAAAAATATTTGATGCACATTTTGATAGTGTTTTGGAAAAGTGGCGCTTATAAACTGGTTTAAGTGCGTGATGCAACAACGAGTGTCACAATAAATGTCATTTGTAATGTAATTGTAAAGTCAATATTTCAGTAGCACGAATAAGATCACGAGTTGTTGTAGTCTTTTCAATTTCAACATCTGATTTTAAGCAATTTGGAAGAACTCTACCGGCATGGACACTCGAAAAGGTTGACAGCCAACAAATAGAGGCTTGTCAAGCACATCCTAAAAGTTTTGTTATATTTTTGTATTTGAACACAAAAAAAACTACTCACAAAGATTTAGCACATCAGGTATGAGAATTCAGGAATAAAATTGATTACTATTTACAAATACTTTAGTTATAAAAATACGAAAACAATACGCATATATTTTGGTGAGATTTATCAAAAAATTAGTTATCTATTAAAAATCAAAGTTTGGTCATGGAAGTAAAATGCGGAACTTGAAGCAAAATTTCTATATTGACAATACTATTTGGTGTCAACGGAAATACATATTTTAGAGAATTTGGAAAGACTCCAGCAGTAAGGCAGCATTTAGGCAATTTGGAAAGCCTCCAGCAGTATTGCAACTGGAAAAAATCGACATCCAACAAAAAGAGGCTTGTCAAACCTCAAACACACCTACATATTTTGGTATATTTGAATTTGTATACGAAAAACCTATATTCTCAGTGATAACATACATCAGGTTGGAAAAATTTTAATATTTTGTTCAATATAATTAATAAAAATAAAACAGAATAGGTGACAAATAGATGACGCCACCAAATAAACGCTTGCCTAATTCACCCTATAAAATTTGGTATATAAAATTAAATTTTAAAAATTTATTTTTAGTGCCAAACAAATATAACTATTTTAGGCTATCTAGGAAATAGGACGTCAGTAATCTAGCATGTAAATCAAATTGGCTTATCAAACACCCTACAAAGTTCTGTATACTTTAATCGGTGCTCCCGAAGTATGCGAACCAAGATGGCGGACATCGGAACGTAACATGGGTAACAGGTTAGGGTTAGGCGATAATTTTTTTCCAATTTTCCTTATTTTAGTTCTATTATCAGTTCGAAGACTAGCCAAGAGCCTCCCGTAGTATTTATACCTAAAATTATGGCCTAACCCTAACCTAGTACACATATTACATTCCGATGTCCGTCATCTTGGTTCGCATACTTCGGGAGCCCCCTTTAATCAATAAAACGCTTTGTTTGTCATTTAATTTCAGTTAAGTCCATGCTTCCGAAAACAAATAACTGGCTAACTAATCCCGTACCCGAACTGGACTGGTAACCGGACGAGAGGCCGTGGTTCGCCATATAATTAAGCCGTCTTATCGGCTTTCCTCTCCCCCGGGATAAATATGCAAATTCTATCCTATCCTATAAAAAGAAGGCCCCGACATTCAACTGTAATTCAATTTAAAAGTTGTCGAAATTGAAATGGAGATTACTTAATTGACCACCTTATAACCGGATTCTGCCAATAATTTTGAACCAGTATTGGCCAAACAAGTATTGCCTAATAATGATGGCAATGCTATGTTTTTTCTCCATTGTTGAGCCCAACCAATCCCAGGAACCCCCAACCCCTTCCCAACCCTTGTGTATGTAAGTGTATGAATTTGTTATTTTCGAAAGATTCGAAGAAGTTGAAAATGACTAGGATGCAGAATAGACAATACTTTGTCGGCCTGTTTGCCTATGATGCTGTTTTGATAACAAGAAGATAAGAAGTAATAAATTAGTTTTGTGTTGTGGAAGCATCGACAACCATGAAAAAACTTCATCTGGTTTGTACCGAATACAGGTAAAATAACTAATCATTTTTTGTCGACAGAATGATAAATTTAATAGACAAATGGTATCAAAAATAGGTAAATAGAAAGTAATGAGGTATTTTAATATTATATTTCAAAACCCAAATCGTCAAGACATGCATGATCAGGAAAGTATTTGTATAATTTAGTTATAAGACGAAAATGTTGATTAGCGTTGCCTTCTACCGTTATTTCAAATGGAGGGGTGGAATGAAAAATTCAAAATGCAAATAAATATAGAACAATGATTTAAAAAAAATAAGTATAGAACAGTGCTTTGTAATTATAAATATATATTCACAACAGAATTCAGTGATATATATTTATATAATGGGTGAAATATTATTTCAAACATTATTCGTGGTAAGATATCAAATATTGAAAGGTATTGTAGCGTAATAGAAATACAAATAACAATGTTAATTTATATCGTTATATAATATAATAAATAAATAATATATATACAAGTTCTTATATCGTTTGCATTCAAGAAAATTACACAGCATTTAAAATTACATAACAGTTGATTGCTGATTAGTCGAACCTTCTGATATGTGTGGTTTCGATGCATTTGTTTGTTAGCACAGCTGAGTTATCTTCATAGTTGTATACTTCAGAGGCAGTCGATAATAAGTGTGGAGAAGAATCCAAGTTCAATAATTGACCAAACCTATAAATATAATAAACATTAGACATGACGCCGATGGTGTTGAATTTTCTTTTGCTTTTATATGATATAATAGCTTAAGATAAACAATTATTTGATGCCTTTCGATCTCAAATTGAAGTTTTAAATGTTTGCATTCTAGTGTGTTAACAACGGGCTTACTGCATAAGATTGGATATAATAACACAGCTTGGTTACAAAATACGAACTTAGCTATCAAATGCAAACAATAACAAGTATAAAAGAAATAAACTCATATTTAAACAAATTAAATACATGACTTTGATCTATCATATTATGTATATATATATATAGATATGTTACACTTCTAAAATATTCAATATATACCGGTACTACTTGAAATGTGATTTCTTACTTATAATTCTTGACTATCATCGTGATATATCGAAAATTACCTCGCTAGATTTAATTTGTTTGAAAAGAGATTCTACTGGCTAGACTCGAGACTTTTTTCATTAAGTTAAACTTCTTTTTAGCGCATAGATTTCATTTTACCGTGAAAGACCATGGATAACATTTTTTTGGCAACTATTCTTCCAGAAATCTATTGTTCTCAAAAATAAATTCAGTCATCGATTTTCAATTGGTAATTCATAAATACCACGACCACTGGAATATAAGACGTATTATTTGCTGCCAGTAATTCATAGCAAAATCGCATCGTACATTGGAATAATTGATGTATATAGTAGAAGTTAGATAGGATGTTTGAAAAGTATTTACTTGCATTGTAACTTTTATATTAACTAAGCGTAATAAAATCCATATAAATTAGTTACTTGTATTGTAGATTTGTCATTGGTCCCATCTTTTTCTTCGATTATTCAATCTTTATAGTTCTGCAAAGCAAAGAAAACATTAATAATAACTAAGCTTAATCAAATCCATACAGAATATTTAATTGTATACATTGTAGATTTTCCTCGGTTCCGTCTGTTTCAATTTTACAATCTTCATAGTTGTGCATCTTAGATAATCTTAATGATATTATTAATGCCTAATGGAATCCATATAAATTATTTACTTGTATTGTAGACTTTCCTTGGTTCCGTCTGCTTTTTATTAATTCATTCTCATAGTTCTGCGTCCGAGAATCTAAGATAATACATACCGTATTAATAATAATTTAGTCTAATGGAATCCATATAAAATATTTACTTGCATCGGAGATTTTCCTCGGTTTTGTCTGTTCTTTATTCTCATAGTTCTGTGTCTGATAATCTAAGATAATAATAATAATAATTTAGCCTAATGAAATCTATATAAAAAATTTACTTGTACTGTAGACTTTCTTTGGTTCCGTCTGTTTCCCATAGTTCAGCGTCTGTGAATCTAAGGTAACATTAAAAATAATCTAGCCTAAGGAAATCAATATATATAAAATATTTACTTGTATCGTATAGATTTTCCTCGGTTTCGTCTGTTCCTCGTTTTTTAATCTTCAGAGTTCTGCGTCTGATAAGCTAAGATAGCCTTAATAACAATTTAGTCTAATAAAATCCATATAAAATATTTACTTGTATTGTGAATTTTTCTTGGTTTCGTCTGTTCTTCATTTCCTCATTCTCACATCTTTGCGTCTAAGAATCTAAGATAATGTTATTAATAATTTAGCATAATGAAATTCATATAAAACATTTACCTGTATTATAGATTTTCTACGGTCTGTTCTTGATTCTTCTTAGATCTGCATCTGTATATCTTC